ACATACATGCACGTAAAAGTTGGAACCTGTACATCCCACTTGATTTCTATCCTCCTCGGATTTTTATTTGTTAGTCATTTAGATTTAGTTTTTTAGCCTCGTCACAAACCAGGTTCCTCATACATGCATGCACATGGGGAGGAGGCATGAGGATGGCATAATAGGCAAGATTTAACTAAAATTAAAGGAACGCACAGCGAGGATTCCTTCACACATTTTTATTATTAAAGGGAAAAGAGTGGTATCTGCAGACTGAGCGAGTGGACTTATGGGGATTGCGTGGTCCTTGTTCCAGGTTTTCATAAAGGCAGATATTTAATGGGGTCCATAATATGTAATAAGACAGAGCAGCTCCAAACTATCATGCCCTTGGAAATAATTTGGATGGGAAGCAAAGAACCAGAAACTCACCTTGCCTATTATGTAGGTTGCTGGTTGGATGGTAGCAAGGAACGGTTGGATATCCGCAGTGAGAACATTTATAAGCCGAGATTGGCTTCAGGGTTGGAAGAATAAGATTCATGAGTCATTTAAGTCTCCTGCTTCAATGCAACCGCACTTGCCGCATCACATTGTATCATCCTTTCTCACGATGATCTCCGTAAACGAAATAATAATGGAGGTTGGTAGATTGCGCATTAAGCGCTACGGACAAGTGGAGCAATGAAGCTGCTACATAGACAAAAATAATGAAACTTAAGAGGCCCCATCCTCATGAAAAGCCTTCTTGACGTCAAAAGCTTTTTAGTGATGTTTTCCGTACTATAGGTTTGCATTTAACCTCTTAAACCACCATCGGAGAGCTCATTAATATTTAAAAGACTTTGCTACCAAGTTACGTCTTCTACCACTACGCTGCTGATGTTGAGAGAGGGTTTAGAGGGAAAAGCGGTCCAAGTTCAGATAGTACAAAATGGTTCGTTTTGTACACATTTACATGTCAGGGACCTTGGTCGTTCGTGGTAACGTAGTGGCATCATTATTACCTGGAAATACCCCAAAGACTTGTCGCAAACGACCAAGGATCTCGGTAATTTGCTACCTTTCCTCATTACCATATCGGATCACTTGAGCTGAAATAGACCATCTATTACTTTGTTCGCATCTTTCCTCCTACTGCCAGTGAAAACGAACCTGCGGGACTTTATGTCTACAAACCACAACACTTGCTATCCATATTTAAAACGACCCTTAAGTTTACTGGGTACAATCCCACCGCGTATATACGTATGTATATGCACGCATATGTAGAAACTGGTTGGAGGAGAAACTTCAAGCTTGGCTTGGGACGATACGTAGTCGGTCTGTAGTATCAAGTAGATAAGCCAGCGTGGTTTTGGGTTGCCGGTTGAGTGGGAGTGGATGGGAAGCTGCGATGGTGCGAAGTCTAGAGTGCCGAGTGAAATATTAACTGTGCTCTGCTAATGACTCAAAGAAACTCCCTTTCGCCTGCTTAAACTTTTCCCTCTAATGAACTCTGGTTGTAATGCTAAATATTCTCCCTGATGGGAAAAGTATATTCGCAGCAGTACGCACTTGCCTACAATGTTTATGCGGGTATGTTGTGGTAGGCGGAAGGAAAAAAAACTGAGACATAGCACAATGCATATGTACATATGCATCTTGCCAACAATTAGCTTTTAATGTGCTACCGTCGGTGGTAAGGTTACCTTTATTAATGGCCACTGCACAAAGTAGTAAAATTCATTCATTAGTTCATACGCACACCGAGAACTAGTTCCGTTATCATTGCGAAAATTCTCACGTACATAGACTGGATGCGTACAGTTAGTCTTCCTCAGTTTCTCAAAGTTTTGTATGCATTTTTTTGGTGAATGAATATCATCGTTAATCTTTAGCAAAACCTGCCTTATGTAATTTTGTGGAAGTCGGAAGTTGTTTAGATCTTAAATTTCCAGCAGTTCTTATCACCTCATGAATATACATATGGAGATATTGCCACTTCCGCTTCTATTAAATATCAAACTTTTCTGTATTTTTCTACATTATGCTGATGCATGTATAAGTTTAATATAAGGGCTTAAATGCATGATACACGTTCTTCCTTTAGAATGACTTACTTCTTTACAAACATCTACTTTGTAATGTGAATTTCATAAAAAAAACTAATCGTCAAAGACAGACCACAATTTGACGCCGGTTGCCCACTTCATTAGCGACACCACAAATTAAGGAAGAATAAAACAACGGAGCTACCCACTCGTTTGGTACATAGTTGCTTATCTGCAACATTGTCATTAATTTCTGGACGTTGTACATCCTGCGTAGATTTTAACTTGGATAAAACAACTCGGATCGTCAGTATTCATCTAGTTTGTTCTTCAACGGCCAACCGCAACATTTTCTAGACAGAATTTTTCAGTGATGAGTCTCCACCACTCCCATAAAATGAATGAATATTTAAATAGTTCCTTGCTCGCTTCTTTCTTCCGTTCCGGCTTTCTCCATTTCCGTCTTTCATTAACCAAACCGTCGAGCTAATGAATCGTTGGGTCGTAAACATGAATTTATTTTTTGTCACGTTTTTGTTAGAAAAAAGTTATGAATATAAATCGACCGGAGTGTGTTGTAGGTGACAAACAGCAGATGTTGTAAGACTGATTTTATTCGAGCGACATTGCTAGCATGATCCAAGGACATCATCATTATTGACTAGATCTGATGCCAAAGTAGGTTTTAGACATGCAATATCTATCTAATTAAAATGCTTGCAGTCTATTTAGTCTACTCCATTTCTAAACACACAATGAACTATGTAATGCTTCATGTTAACGTGTATACGATTTGATTCTACAAACACAATTTAGTATTGTTCATCATACATAATCCTATCTTTCTGTTTATTTTGTTTCCCCGAATTTGGAATAATAATGGTTCATGCTTTGTGACATTAGCGAGCACTTGTTGGACCCTTTCCAGGAGTATTTCATAATTCGTTTTGATTCAGCTTTTACTGCTGAAATAGCTGGCAGTTGATTAAAAAGCCAACTCGAGCCGCTGGCCGAAATAGGAAGTAGAAAAATTAAACACCCGACAGGATGAACGGCCAGATAGAATCAGTAGAGATGGATCGATAAGCCCCGGTGCCTTGTAGGATGGTGAAATTTGGAAGGGTAATTTAATGTTGTGGTACACTTGAATGTGCCGCAAATGAAACATTGTTCGCAATCATCTGCTACTTGTGCTTCACTGTTGTTGGTAATTTTATGATCATCATTACTACCACCCTTGTAGCAAACGTGTGCTCGATTACGTACGTAGTGCATTTCATATGCAGGATTGACTCCAATATGAATATGAATATTCAGCAAAAGATGAGTCAACCTGATACATATCTCTCACACCAGATGTTTTGAAGTGTCCTGGGGTTAAAGGACCAAATTGTGAAACGGTCATTTCTTTTGACATTTCATTTATTAAAACGCATAGAGTTCAAGAATCTATATTTTCATATACTTGTCAAAACCCTGGACACGGAACTGTTGGAATTTTCTATACTCATAAGAGAAACTTGCATTTCGACTCAGCACTGGCATTTATGTTATTTAAACATTCATATCATGAGAATATATGTATGTATGAGCTTGCATGAAATATAAGCAACAGAAGGTTTCGTATCAGTGGTTTCCCGAGTATTTAAAGTAAAAGATCACTTTTATAGATATCTGAACCAAGGCCCATAGCCTAATATACCACTTGCCATACACACATAGCGACTTTGGCATTATTATGGTTACATCAACCAAGTATGACCATAATAACATAACACCTGACCATAGTGCCCTATAAAACGCTCTGATAATCACCAACTTTAATTCTGCACTAGAGAAGTGTACAACATCACAATCCATGCAATTGAAATTATGTTCTTTAAGCTGCTGCCCCTCTGCTCATTGTAATATTTCATTACCTTACTTTACACAATAAAACCTTGTACATAATCCTACAACTTCTCACTCTGAAATTCTGTGCATTCTACAACTGCTACATACATATATAGCCAACCATGGATGTCTGATCTTAAATCGAGGGTGCGTACAAATTCAAATGTCAGGAGGCTACATACACATAAATAGCAGGGGAGTAAAATTTAATTATACCAGGTTAATAAGGGAAGTGATAGAGACCAGGACCTGTACGTGTGTATGTACATATGTACGTATGCACGGGGTATATGAGTGGAGCCAAACGCAGTGGAATATATTGTTGATATTGTTATCAGTCAATGATCATTACTACTCTTTTCCTTTATTTGGTTTGGGGCCCTTAAACATTGCACCACGCACAAAGGCAGTTAGTTTGGCTTTGGGACAGGATCACTGAGGATTTCGGAATTAACTGCCGTCACAATTAAGTTGAGCCGAATGGGCAAATTTTATGGTTTTTACTCTGAATTGCTTCACTGACTGACTTAATAAGTTGGGCAATTTAATAGCTTTGCCATGTTAGGGGAAGCGACTGGTGGTGGTGTCAAAATTTAGAAGGGTAAGTTTGGAAGTCAAGGCAAAGCAAATATTGTTTGGATTGTTCACGTAATAACAGTCAGTTCAGTGCTGTAAAGATTTTCACATTTGAATGGAATTTCGAACAATGGTGAAATTCGGAACGAAATCAAAATAAAATCCAAGTAAGCCACCTAGTTAAATAAGCAGCAGAATTTCTGGCTATGTGCTGAGTGATATACATTCAAAGCTACTCGTGGTTTTATTAATTTACAACTCAGTGTTCCTTTCAGCTAACTAACCAGATCGTGATCTCGTTGACTTTTAGGTTGGATTCTGAATAAGTGTGAGGTTTAATTTGTAAAACTTGGTAGGACTTGTTCAGGTAGAATTTTAATAATGAAAACTCAAGAAAAGTTGCTTTCACAGGAAGAAAGTTAGTCAAAATAGCTGGGCATTTGCAGGGAGGAAAATGAAATTCTGTCGTGCGTGGTTTTGAACATTGTGTAATATTGCGTTTTATTATGTCACCAACAGGGCAAACCAGAATGCTTGAGTTTGGGTTGCCGAGTTTGAAGACGAGAAACGAAGAAGAAGAGTTGTCAGCCTAGATAGAATCAAGGAGAGGAAAAAGTGGATCTCGGCGAAATTGAGACGGACGACGTCGGTTTGTTTGAAAGTCTGAGGAAGCTCGTATTATAACTCACCATGAGATTGTTCCGTCGAAAAACTGAGAGAACCGTCCCAGCAGCTGCCGCGTGTCTGGTTAGCCTTTCTCCACTGCAGCCCTTGGATTCCGCTGCTGCCGGTGGTGGTGCGAGTATTGGAAAAAGCGTGAGAAAAAGTCAAAGCAATGATTCCATTTTCAAGTCTTCAACAACCACAACGCGTCCACAAATACTTCATCTCAATCTCAAGGGGGTAAAAAACAACAAGACTGCCTCTGGGTCAGACGGAAGTCCCAAATCTCCTGTCAAGAAAGGTACGCACAATACTTTTACAAAATTATGGTTGTGGTTATATTACAAAAACGCGTGTCTCGTGAGATGATACATTGTCAGTCACATTGTGTACATATGTATTTATGTACATACCATCTGCATGTTAGGTACTATCTGTACATACGTCGTTTAAGTTGGTTAGGCATAAAGTATGTACTAGTAGTTTTCCCAATTTAAGAATTTCAAAATTTATTAGATTATCAATGTACAAAGGTTATTATACGGCGCCTAATGAAACAGAGTAGCACATGTATACAACTATGTGCATGTATATGTGCAAATGCTCGTGGAACCACAAAGATGACATGACACAAAAACTGCATGATTCACATTTGTTAAACACACAATAAATTTAGAAGAACAACATGTAAGTTTTTGCTGTAAATAAAGTGCAGCGAAATAACATATTCCAGGGCTTTATCAAAACCACTGATAAGTATGAGTCATAATAAAATATAACTTTTTTTTAATAATAAGTACTTCAACTTAATGATATTCCATGTGTGAGCGTGTTTATCTATAAAACAACCAGTATGAGACGTACATACGAGAGATAAACCACATGTGTACACATATTAAGCAAGCATGCAACTTAATTGATAGGGCATTCCCAAACGTATTATTAAGATTACCCTGCACTTGTGTAAAGACACGAAATAATTTAACAAGGCGGCGTGCGATATGCGGATGAGTAACCGGTTGCAATAATATTATGTTCATGAAATAATAATATGATGATGATTATGACGGGAAGGAGGATGTGTTGCACGCGATGCAACGGGTGCCGTCCGGTTGAAGCGCATTTGAATTCTTGCTTTGCAATGTACGTATCTACATGCTCATGCAGACCATATTATTTGACGAAGCGTGTCTCTTTTGTTCACAGGGTTAAACGGATTCGCAACATGGGGACGGAAAATGGGAAAAACATGGAACCAGTTCAAGAACTCGAATAATGCAGCAGGTGAACTAACTGCAAGTGTGGAGGTTGTTGATGGATCGGGCAAGTTGAGAGAAAGTTCCACCAGAAATGCAGGAGGAGGAGGTCAAAGGCAATGGCGTCTTTCTCTGGGTGTGGGACACAGTAATAAAGAAGATCGTCAACGTCACCACCGGAAAAGCGAGGGTAATGCTCTCCTAAGTCCTAATCATCATCACCCAATACCCCATCAAGAAGACCATCATCGGGAGGGGAATAATCCTGGCAGAAATGTTAATCCTAAGGGGGACATGGAGAGATATAGGGCTCTTTCAAGTGATGCTGCTAAAAGCAAAACTCTCAACGGACGTCTTTATAGGAAGCCGTCTTCTTCCGAGGAGAACTTGGGAGCTCTTCTTCTCCACTCGAATAAAAATAAGGATCCCGGCGATGATGAGTATTATATGAATGCGAAAGGACATTGCGTAAGAAAATGTTCAACTCTTAAAGCACCAAAGTCTAAAGCCGTTGACCGGGTGGAGTCCATCAAAGGAATGATTTTGTCCAGAGCTGGCAGAAGTCCTGCCAGACTGAGCAACAACAATGCGAGTAAAAGACATGAAGGTGGCGAAGTCAAAGACAAAAAACTACAGTTTCCGACCAGATCAGACCACAACAGACAATTAAAAAACAATAATAATTCCCCACTCTTTAGAAGCTGTTCCACCTCGACGCTGCCCTCGTATGTCGCAGGGGACGATCCAGCCGCTGACATTGACTTTAAAGATTTCTCCCCAAATAACCACCACCACCAAAATAATAATAAAATTCACAGTGGGACGGGAAACAAAGGAAAAATGCTAATGTTGGGTGCGTCACCATGTTATTATTCGACTGCTTATTCACCATCCTCTCCCATCACTAGGTCTCCCTCCAAGAAAGCAGTGAGCTTAGATAACATTGCCTCTGTAGGAAATGACGTAACGACCCCACAATCCTCAGCTAATAAAAAGTGTTTTCCTTATGGGTTCGTCCGCTCAAAATTGTCTGTTTTGCAAGAAGAGTCACAGCATCAACATCCTCCAAAGTTGCTGGTGAGCAGCCTGAGCAGTGATAGTGTTCATCTTAAACTCGCTCCTGATAATAATAACTTTTTGTGCAAACAAGCAGAGCAGAGTAAATCAAAGACAAGTCTTTTAAATAATAAATCCCAGTCGTCCTCCAAACTCTTGATTCGTGACCAGAGTCCAATGTCCAAAGGAGAAGCAATCCTACTCAGAACAAATCTCATCGCCAAACAGCCCATTTCTTTCTGTGGGACCATCACTAATAAGCAACAGCAGCAGAACAAGCAAGCAAACAAGCAAGGGCGAAAAAGTCACAGGAGCAGGAGCAATAGCCCAGCAGCGTCAAATTGCACCATTAAAACAACGTTCCAAAATCAAAAAGTTACAACAACAGAACAGCAGCAGCAGCAAAAGACAGGTGTTTCTCGTTCTTCGTCTTTCTGCTTCTTGTTGCCAAAAAATGGCTGCAGTACCAGCAGCATAAAAAGTGGTGGTTGTTCCAACAACAGCAACAGCTGTGAAATGCTGGACTCTATTCAAACTGTTCAACAATCATTTTACCATGATAATAATGTTGATCATCACGATGATGAGAACGGAAAATCAAGGTCTGTGCAACAGACATTAGAGAACATGAGCAAACCTACTCTCCTTGGAGCAGCAGGAGGAACGACGACGAGGCAAATTGAGATTAATAAGCAGCACACAAATCCTGCTGGTGATGCAAATACGAATGCAGAGCCATCAAACTCTTGTCACCTTTCAGCCGTCGTCGTCTCATGTCAAAGTCACCCCAAAGTTTCACCATCCTCTGTGGGATCAGGTCCCACGACGACACAAACACAAACCTTGTCTGGAGGATCTACTTACATTTCCTCCAACGAATCTGGGTACGATTCTGATAATGCAAAGAACGTAGATGAGGGGAATCCCAACCTGAATTTTAATGACTCTGGTGAATCGAAAACCATTGACTCCAGTGGATCTTCCAGTGAACCTTCGAGCTCACCTTTGCAATCCGACTCCCAGGCTGCTAAATTAAAATTACAAATGCACTGTTCTGGCATAGACGAGGGGACTTTTGAAGACCGTAATAAACAACTGGGTCATACTAATGAAAATGAAGGCTGGATCGGTGTTAACGCAATGGGACACAATGCCGAGCTTAAAATAACAAAGTCCAAAACGGCCGTTGTTCGCAGAAAGAGTGATTTAGCGAACGCCATCATAGCACGACACAGTTTGATCTCAACAACTGGCACCAACTCACCACCACCATCGCCCTTTGATTCCTTACACTCTTACAAAAGAGCAAGTCAAAATGTTGATGGATGTTACGCAGATCGACCTTCTCCGTGTCCTTTTCCTCAAATGTCATCAACGGATTCTGCGACTCATCCAATTTCCTGCGGTGAAAGTAGGGCTTCTTCGTCCTCTTCTCAATCCCATCATCAGCAGCCACACATCCGCACAAGGAAGCTCGGCAGCTGCATTCCGATGGAGAGCAAAGAAATTTTTCGAATCTGCACTTCCATGAGTAAAAGTGCACTTCCATTCACTTCCAACTCTGCCCAATCGACGTATCTGCACAAGGACACGTTCAATCCTCATCATCCTGCTTTCCCCACCACGACGAGTGGCAGCAGTCCTTATGGAAATCTGCCACCTCCTCCTCCTTCAACCTCGAGGAAACGGTTTCAACTGTTCCACATAACAAAGGATCCTCATGAGCCGTTGGGAATAGCGTTGCTCAGTTGTTTGGGTGAGAGTGGGGCCGTGGAACATCAAGTGAAAGATATTCACCCAGCCTCAGCTGCACAACGGTACGACATTTCAGTCTCGTTTTGTGATGAAAATTGAATAGGATTGAAACTTTGCTTTACATGCATGCAAAGAGTGCGTGTCCATTTCTCTCACTCAATATAGCACTTTGCGCAGCATAAGAAGGGTAGTAGAGAGACTGCAAGCATGTAGTATAGGAATCCAGTTTTACGGTGCATTTAAACTTTCTCTTGTGCATTTTCATAGAGTTCAAAGTTTAGGAAAGTGATGCACTTTGTCTGGTGTGGGCAGTCAACATAACAACCTTAGCTATGTCCTGCTGGAACACTGGTTCTAGAAATTGTTTATTTATTCAAATATTATTCGACGAGATGGTCATAATAAAAAGGGAGTTATGGTGGTTTGTATGCAGTTTGCTACTTGCCGTTTGTTGCGTGCTGCCCTTTCAAAAGATCAGTTGCTTGAATGCTGCATAAAAGACAATGCGAAATTGAAATGAAATGCTCCTCTTTTCAATTAATTCAATTTCATCTCCTTTTGTTTGACAGTGATGGGCGAATTGAAGTCGGAGACGAGATCGTAAACCTGAATGCAACCCGAATCCGAGGAATGAAATGTGAAGATGCGACTGCTGTACTAAATTCGGTAGCGTTTAATTGTCCTCAGTTGGAAGTGTTGATAGCTCGTGGTGCAATAAATACGGCCGAGTGTAGCACCCCCACCTCTTCTTCTTCTTATGGTGGTGGTGACATAACTTTGGGAGATTTCTCCAACCCAGTAGGAATTAAACCCATGAGCCAAAGCCACCCAAGTTTTTATGGAACGTATAATTCTCACTTGGACGAAAAGACCGTGAAAACTAGCGGTGGGACCGTCGCTACCAACAGCATCAAAGAAGAAGACGATGAAGAGGAAAGAACAATGGGGGGAAAAACTGAGTCACCAATGACTTCTCTGCTGAATGAATTAAATCAGTTGCCATATAATGCTTATGCCATTCCGAACAATCCCATTCCGTTCCATGGTGGGCATGTTTCAAGCAAAACTAATCAAGGGTTTGCTGCTGTTGGCAATATGCAATATCCCAACAGTCCCACGATCCACAAGCCTTCCATCTCAATTACACCTTGCTTTTTCAACTCCCCTTGCTCCAGCAATTTTCTTGATCCTGCTCAATCAATGGGTTCATCCTCCTCACCCATGGGCAATTTTCCATCTTCCAATCAATCGTTGCATTTCAATAAAAAGAATAGACGACACAGCACGTTGACTTACTACAATACAGATGCAGATGATGCCATGAACTCTGGACACGGACCATTTCCTTATCCTCACAGCCAAGCAGAGGCAGATGCTCAATACAATGCCAGTACTAATTACTACCTGACAACGACAAATCTGTGTACTCTCCCAAGAAAATCAAAATCAAAGTCATCCAACCTCAACCACCATCCTCCGCCTCCTCCTACTTTCAGAATTATCACTGCTGTCCTAGAAAAGGGGCCAGGAAAGAAGAGTTTAGGATTTTCCATTGTCGGTAATACACGTAAAAAAACATTAACCAGTCCGTTCTCATTAACCCGAATCTCAATCAAGTCGATTTTATATTTCGAAATTTAACTCTAAATAGGAGGACGAGATTCGCCAAAGGGGAACCTTGGAATCTTCATAAAAACCATCTTCCCCACTGGACAGGCAGCTGAGACCAATTTACTGTTTGAAGGTTAGTATATATTTTTTCTTTCGTTTGCTCTATATATATTTTTAGGGCCTTCAATTATGTATGCTGAATCAATGCACATTTTCCTAGTGTTCAAACATATATTTCTCCATATTGCATATTATGTACATTTCATTCTGAATTGTTGAATAGGAAATAAATCGATTTTATCTATAGAATACAATAGAATCCGTATATTCGTTCATGCCGCATGCATTCTAATGTTCGGACCAATCCAAGATTCAAGGATTCTTTGTTTTGTTGTAGGAGACGAAATTCTACAAGTGAATGCAGAGTCGTTCCATGGGTTTTCACATGCAGAAGCCATCGGAGTTTTCAAGAAAATAAAAACGGGCCCCGTAGTGCTTCACATTTTACGGAGACCTAGTGTGGGGAAGCCCAAGTAAGTGTTTTATGAATGATGGTGTGAACCTCTTCTCCGTGTCCAATGCCGATCCTGACGAAGTATATAAGTACTTGAGAAATCCATATATTTCGGATGGAGTAACTACTTTAAGGGATTTACAAGTAGTTTGAGCACGTGCCAAATAAAATAATTCATGATTTATTTTATCTCACAGGCGTTTTTAATGTTTTTGCAGGTCCCCAAAGTCCAAGTCTTGTGATGATTTGGAAAGTATTGAGTACATTGACACTAAAAGCTAACCCTTCACACTATATCCTCAAATTATGGCAATTGTCGCTCTATGCAGCCGTTTTTCTCCATGGATAGTCAACACACTCTATTACCAAAAAATCGCTGAGGTGCTAATTCATCAACAACGATGCTTAACGTAATCTCCAATCACAGACAAAGATGGTCAACCACCATGAATTGAAGAATAGCTCACTACACATTGGAGCTATTAAAAATTGATGACATCATACACGCCCAAGAATTTACACTTTTGTATTTTAGGTAAAATAATATATATAAGAAGCCTTGCTGTTAGAAAAATCACTAAAATGCTCAATTTTGTTTTAATTGGTATGCGCATGCATATTATGCATGTTACGTATCTTTAAAAACCATGTTACCTTTGCGAAGAAAATTTTTACTTTTATTGAGGAAAGAAACTTTTATTTTTTAGTATGTATACTTCATGAATCGTCTGTGTTTTGTTCTCGAAAATCGCAGAATAGCCGCTTGAATTATTTGCATTCTAGTCGGAATGTTATACAAAACATGTTTTACCTTTTAATCGCACTAATTGTAAGATGGATATTTAATTATTTATCAGGGATGAAAATTTCACTATTTTGTTTAAGGCATTTATTTATGTCGGCATTTTAAGTAGTATTTAAAGAACTTATTGACAAGCTTATAATTTTTACTATAGGATTTTACCGCACAACAAGTTGATCCCTGAACCAAAACCACCAATGCTAGACATAAAAAAATAATTTACACGTACACTAAATACATTATTAACGATAACTTGTTATTATTAGTATTATTATAATACATTCTCAATTTTTGTTTGTCAATAAATTTTATACATTTTTGTAAACAAGCCTTGTGTACATACATTATTGTGCATTATTCTTTTGATTGTTACTTCCTAAAAACCTACAGTGTGCAGTGTTTATATAGCCCGAGTCAGGGACAGAGTCCTCTTCCAAATGTTTGTCAAGTGACCGGTACAAACCAACTACTAATAGTAGTTGGTACCGGTCATTATGGGGAAATTTTTGTCGATTGCGAATTATTCGCAATCGTCGCTGCAAAATTGCAGCTTCTTTAACCAATTCCAAAAACCCCACTGGGTCCTCCTGGCAAAAAAATCTTAAAGTTTACTTTACATTTATTAAGCTAATCTAACCCTGCAGGACCACGCCAACTTTTAGTCGTCTACGCCCGTTTTCCAAACCAATGGGGGTGACCAGTGTGTGCAAAAAGTCAGCCTTGTTGCTATTTGTTCCTATTTGCCTATTTGCCTTTTTGCGTGCCTTTTTGAACTGTATAGAAAACGAAATGAATAGCTTTCACTTTAATTTTATTTCTTCTCATCTCGCCAATTCAAGTATGACCAATTTCTCGAATATCAGTTACCAATTTTTAAAATAGCTACTTTAGAAACGGTATGGGTCACCCCCTAGGCTACTCTGGTTCCACTTTGTTCGCTTTTAACTTGATATACTTCCATACGAGACCATTAAGTATCACCATACCGAATTTAATCTTTTTAAGACAATTTATAAAAATCGGTATGGGCCACCCCCTAGGATCGCTCCACATAAAAATTTTACTAATTTAACTTCATATTATTTCATTAGGAGCTATTAGAAACGTCAATGGTAAATTTCAGCTCAATTAAATGATTTTCAAAAATCGATATGGGTCACCCCCTCGGGTCCCTCCAGATAAAAAATTTGACCAATTTCATTTAATGTTCTTCCTTAAACCCCATACGCAACCTATCTACCAAATTTCAACTCGATATGACGATTTTGACAAATCAGTATGGGTCACCCCCTAGGGTCTTTCAAAATAAAATTTTTTCCAACTTAAATTCATACTCTTTCATTAGACACCATTAGCAACCTCAGTGCCAAATTTCTGCCTTCTATGACAATTTTGAAATTTTGATGCATAATACCCCATCCACCTATATGACCCCCACTGGTCAACCACTTGACCGATTTCGCCCATCTTCGAACTTAACTCCTCATTTGCCCCATACTACATGTGTAGCAAATTTCAAGTCGATAGGATGAGTTTAACGAGAGTTATCGTAAGACGGACAGACGGACGGACGGACGGACGGACGGACATGATGGTTCCATAAGCCCTGACTCGGGCTAAAAATGACAGTCAATGGATAATTCACATCTTTCTCAGGTTGCAAAATTAATAGTTATTGGGGCCTGAGCTGATAGAAATATTTCATACAAGGCAAAACTGAATATAAATAAAACTACCAAAATAATCGCTGCCTGTCTCATTTTATCCAGAGATTGGTGTCATGCCAAATCACCCCAACACACATTTCTTGCAGGTCTATTTCAGCATTATAAGACTGCAGCGCTCTCTATTTGACGGAAAAGTTTAGCTTCAAGTTTTACCGTTTGAGTGCCTACATAGTTGACTTGTCTCATTTTGTGTGATTTTCTGAAATTGATAGTCAAAGAGTTCACCAATCTGTCTCACTTTCCTCTTTCCTTGAATGATGTCAAGCTTTAAAAATTAGCGCATTGTTGTATAATCTGTTTGGAGACAAAACATCCTAAAGTAATTGTCCATTATTGTTACGGGGAATAGATATGCAAAACATTAAACCTATGTACATAGTATTATATAAACATGTATACATATGCACAAGTACATACGTACACACAATATTTATAACATGACGAACAGACCGACCAAGCACTAAAAAAATTCCCTGAGAATTCTGAGAATGAGGAAACTGGCCATTAAACCTGCTTCAAGCGTATTGCACGTAACACAAGAAAAAAAAACTATTAAATCGCGTCCAATATTGCATGACAAAATAAATTGTTAAGTGTGACCTTCAACATTCTCAGACCAATAAGTTTCAGAGTGCATGTAATTCATGTCGAGTATGAATTGCAGTAAATTATTTTTATTTGGTTATTTATGAGCACATTGAATTTGAGGATTTTGTTACTCTAAAGTAAAAAAGAATGTTTTCAAATCAACGAATCGACTCACGAGACTGTCATCCTACTGATCCTACTGCGCTACCCTGTCTACAATTTTATGATGTAAATCTATGATAATTCACACAGATGAATGGTGGCTAAAGCAATGAGGAAGAGAAATTGAGTCTCGATAAACTGTGTACAGCTAAAATTAGACAATGCTGGGCGTTGTGGTTCAAATCAAGAGAGAATAATAAGTCTTATAATCGTAAAGGAGCATACATATTTTAAGGATGATTTGGCTTATGAAGTTATGAGTTGTTTGATTAAGTAAATCAGCTATTGTACGATACATGAATATCTCTAAGAAATTAGCAGCACAAATGGAAATGAGGAGGGCAATTAATATCTAGCATATCAAGTATTATTTTTATCTAGTCGGTCATTATTATCGTCACATGGGAATTCACCTTGAAAATGAACTCCTTAAGGTAAGTATTAAGAAGAATATATTCACACGCAGTAAAAATAATTTTCCCGACAACCAATTAGTCCCAGGACTTTTATAATTACAATAAAATTACATTCGTGATGGTGAGGCGATTTTAATAATCTACACCAAAAGCTGGATACACAGCCCGAACTATTATCAATTTTCTCTGTCGTTTTACTTTAACTTTATCATGGTGCAGGCAGACTGGTGGACGTCCCAATGGCCAAAAACAGACTTAACTAAAAATAAGGTATAACATTCAGAGAAGGCAACAATTTTGTATGAATTGAGTTAGGTTTATTTTTAGTACAGTTGTATTAGTATCGCGTATGGGGAACATCGTCTCACTTTAACACAAACAAATCTAATGTATTACCTTCTAGAATGAGACCTGATGTAATAGTTTGTCGTACTTGGTGTTAATGGTATTAAAGCAGAATAAGTAGAAGCAATAACATTGTACAACATTAACCTTCTTCGCTCATGAAAGAAAGTAGCAAGATTTCGAAACTCCAAAGTATCGTACTGGTGACTGTGACGATGCGATAATGATGCAGCAGACTTTGAAACGTGGTGATATGACGCATGATAAAAGATGTATTTATTTAAGTGTCTTATTCTGTCTATTATCACCATTTACTTTCAAGTTCCTAATCCAAGCGTCCTCTCAATTTTAAACTGCAGAATCAAACTCTTGTTGTTCCTTTCTTGGTAAATACAGGGTCTCATTAGGTGTGCATGTAATCTCAAGCAAACTAAATATGTAGTAGGGCAATGTAACACGTTGTTCAAATATTTTGAATATATACATAATTGCATCGCACTACTAGCATTATTAGTAGAGGGTTGTCTAATAATAATGTCCATTGTAAATCCTCACGTCTCATCCTTGAGACAATGTGCAATTGTATAGTCTAAACTCTTATTTTAGTACGTACTTGTCGGACGATGCAAATGTCCAAGTTTTGTTTGAGGAAATTACAGATAATAAAATTTATTTAACAAAATCTTACGAGCTATTTGGGTACTTATTTGTGACATTAAAAACCAGCTCAATTATTATAAATATATTTGAAAACAGGAAATAATAATATTTACACTCGTGTTGAGAATAATTGCATTTTGCATGCACATATGTATTATTGCGCAATCTCAGTTTAGTTTCTAAAGTAAAACACCAAAAAGTGATTGCAAAAATCTGCATACTGATTACATACATGAGACAGTCGACCAGTTACTGCTGCTCAAAAGGTGGTGCAATGCGTGTCATTGAAGAGGAGTTGACATGTTATGTACCTTAACCAAACGCCGTCGTGGTAGGACTAACGATTTCAGCAAGGATTAACCAATGAAGATAATTAAAGTCATCGGATTTCTCATCTAAATATGCATCAATGCAGAGAAGTGCAATTATACGTATGTAATTTAGCCACCCACGCCACGCCACCATCATGTGCAGCCTGCTTTTTAACTTTGTTTCTCTAATGGACTAAAAACCCCGTGGAGGAAAAACAGGGCAAATATCTAGAATGTCGCATATCCCAGCAGCATGCAGAAAAACATTACGTTCCCAGCTGTGAAGGCGGAGAAACTAAAAGTTACACAGCCTTGAGGGAATTTCTCCACTTGGACGACGGAAGCAATAACTAAACCTAAAACCAAAATGCAGGAGTAGTAGTTGGTTAAGTTATTTTACTACTTTATAGTTAATACTTTAGTTAGGAAAGAAGATGATGGCAAAGTTTGCAGCAAAAGTGGTCAGCAGCAAGATGAGTACAAGTTGCTTGGTGGTAGCATTATTGAGAAGAAGTGCAGTAGTAGGATTACTTGGTTATTCAGGAGGAGTTTAATTAATTTGGCTGAACAAAACTGAACGACGATGGAACAAATCGCAAATAGTAGTGACTAAGACTCGCAATTGGCAAGTCATTCATTTGCTCCTTCTATCTTCACATCGCATCATCATCCGTCAGTGAGTGAGAGGATTGCAAATCGTTCTCATCAAAAGGACACAAAAAATTAAAACTCATTTAAGCAGCAAACATGCTTTTTAGGAGATTGAAGTTTTGTGAAAATAAGACACTTTGATTGAACTACTTTGAAGATTCTAAAATACGCATTATTTATCCTACGTACAGGCCACTTGAATGTGCATTTTTATATTTGCAAGGGCTATGTATTAAACACTTTGGTCTAGTCCATTTTAATGTCAATCATCAAACCAACTCGGAGGATGCAATTTACTGCAAAGCCTGTGACTTAGAAATTGAAGTCTCTGCAAACTGTGTCTAATTGTCGCAAGTGGTGCATAGTTTCATGGTGAAGATCAATTATTACATTAGTTGAAAGTATCAATCGAGTGAGTTCAAACGAAACCAAAATTAAACCAAACCTAACAAATAAGTCAACTTGTGTTACAATAAAAGTGTAAGTATTTAGCATTGATTGAAGGTTTTTTCTTCTCTTCTGAGCCTTTCAATGAATGCAAAATTAAAACAGCATCGAAATATTATTGAGGACGTAATTAAGTATTTCAAATTTCTTGTCCATTCCAAGCTTGCATTTCTCAATGCTGCTGAAATTTTATGTATGCTGAATATGCTGAATCAGGGTTCGCTACCCCGGGTTTTTGTGGGTTGGGGTTTTTGGGGTTTTTGTGGGTTTTTGGGGTATCAAATCTCCGGAAAAACCCCAATGCTTAATGGGGTTTTTGCGGGTTTTTGTGGGTTTTTGCGGGGTTTTTGTAAGATTTTGGGACAGATTGAAACAAACTCCCTTAAACTACAACTTAAATCAATGCTAATTAAATTGACGGATTCATCATGAAATTTTGAGAATTTTCATGTGCGACTTGAATTTCCAAGTTTTATTGCATATTTCCAAGTTTGCATGCGAAATATGAATTTTCGATTTAACAGTCCAACTCAATGATAACGCTTAAAATTGCATGTCAAAATCGTATATTAAATTACTTTTTATCTAATATATAATTTAAAGAATTTTGGTTCAACCTGCCCCAAAATCTACAAAAACCCACAAAAACCCACAAAAACCCAAAACCCCACAAAAACCCCGGAAAAACCCGCGGGGTTGGGTTTTTCTAGAAAAACCCCGGGGTTTTCCGAACCCTGTGCTGAATATGTACAAGTTAAATTTTTTAAACGTTGTTTCGTCCATTGCCGCTTCACGTAATTCTTTCTTGCGTAATTGTTGTAATGACTGAAATTTTACAGCCTATTGAATACAGCACATAAATTCCGTTTGATTGTTTTGTCAATGCGGTGATTAGCACACGTATTTATTTGGACTACGTTAATTAGAAATCAATCAAAATTCACAATATGAGTGAAATAATGCACACGTCTGCTTGCCTACCTTTATTTAGCTTAAACGAATTAACATAATGCATTTTTAAGTAACATGTATTATCATTAAGTTATCACTATTTAAAAGTTATTATTAATAATGAATTTGCAATTGTAAATTGGATCGTTAGTTAAATTTACGAGCTAGTTTGCAGTGTATGCATTTCGTGATGGTGATTGACGAAATTTTGGGATATGTATGTAGGTGATTGAGTAGATGAGTGCATATTTTAATTGGCCAATTGAAGAAATGCAGTTTGCGTTGTTCGCCAGTGCTTATAACACTAATTTTATTTAACTTTTAACATTATTAGTCTCATACCATGTTACGAATTTAATAATAATAACCAATCTCATATTCCATAACCACTCGTCGGCTCGGACCATTTCTAATATAAGACGCTTATAGATGAAAGAACGAAGGATGATTTAGGAACACAGGATAATGTACACGTTGTGCATTATGATCAACTCAATATAACTGCTTAAACCTGTAATTGTAATCCACAATCTATCTCGTAGCAAATTGTTTCGTTTTTTTCTCTCTTACAAGTTGCAAGAAGTATTCAGTATGTGTGTGGTAGGCACGTTAAATTCTGCAATCCGATATCCAACCATGCACACTTAACAATTCTGGTGTAATGCAAGCAATATGAGTTGCCTTTGTCTTTACAGTGCAATAATGCAAGCATAGGAGCCAGTCAAAGGATTTGTTAATTTGGTGAGCCATTTTATCAGTGCAAAGCCGTCGAACGCAGTACCTACTGCTGTGTGGCGTCGTATATGCCTGCTTATAATGCAGTTAAGACAAGCACCAGAACACTAAATGGCATATACAGACAACTTTTGCATGTACTGCTGACCACTGTTGACCACCGTTGTTGGACGGATGATAGATTGACAAATGTATCTTGTGGCGGAGATATATAGTGGTCACTTCTCTCTCTCTCATCTCATTCATTGTATTTTGTATTACACTTTAGCAGCAGAAATGATACAACAATGGGAGTACGAGATGGTTTTGTTTTATTCAAGTAACCAACAATTTGGGTTAGTTATGTTCTCGCTTGTTTTTAGTTGTTTGGCTGAACTTCGAGGTGAGTGTGTTAGTGCTGCCTGCGTAATAATAATTTTGTATTTTTGTCTCTCTGCCACCATACACTTATGATTCTCAGATAGATAGATACTTGGAGCTGTTTTTTGTCTATCTATTAAAAATCACTGCATTGAATCCTGCAATATATTTAGTAGGCAACCATAACCAATAATAACTGAGATATTTCCTTTCCTACATTGCCTCGTCTTGCAATGGCCCCGTAAGTTATCGTTGTTTTGAAGAACAGTTTGACTAAATAAATGTGTAGTCTCAGTTTTTTAAATTTTGTTATCATTTCGTAGTTTGACTTGCATAGGGGTTAATAAATTAAACTTCCACAAGGATTGGGCTTTGGTATAATTGTGGAATTTGTGGATGAAATTAGTTGTAGGTCTAGCTAGATATTGCGAAAAGTTGTTAATTTTAGTGATATGCACATATGGACATAATGTATGTGTGTGATATGTAATATAGTTAGCGCTGGGTGGGCGTATATATTTCCAGTTCAATGGTTCAATGATTATTGAAAAATTAAAAGTGAATTGCAATGTACAAGCACAATGTGACATTGATATAGAACAAGCATTAAGTTTCACTTAGCAATTTGTAAATACTTTGTTCGTGAAACAACAACTTTGCTCCTGAGCTGTTACGTTTGTGCTTGATTATTTATACAGTTAACGACGGCTGTGTTGAAAACACAATGTCATTACTTAAGTTAACAGATACCTAGTCTGTCTTACTCAGGGTTAAGCTTGTTTTAAATTACAATAGCACAAATTAACTCACGAATTTGTGTGACATTATAATTACAGATTGCGGACGTGCGAGACTGGAGCTGGACGAGTCGTCTCAATTTTCTCAAACCAAAGAACCTCTCTTCTGGTGATATTCCACATCAGTACACTTTTGTGTTGTGACAATATTTGAGCATTTGACAATATTTCAGTGACGTGGTGACGTATTGCTCTTCTAGTCTTAAAATATTCCTGATGCATGATAACCTTTCAAGTTAGTCAATAATAAGAGTGCCAGTAAATAGACGTGGTGGGCGACCTTCATTACTAGGCGTTGGAAACAAACTAAAATTGGTTTCGGAACACTGGCTGGATGGAAGATTCGACTTTGTCATATCAACCTTGCATTAGGGGTTGATGATGATGATTTCAGAGCGTGGTGTGTTTTGTATGTGATTCTGTTCATGTTCACGTGCTATAAATGATTGACGAAGAATGAAGTAACGAATCATCGCCGATTTGGAAAATCTGAAAATAACTTTTGATCATCACTATAAGCTTGAGTGAACTTGTCAAAGGAAACTATTTTGTCTCCACCACCATCGTCGCCACCACCGCACCGCCTTCAACTCCATTGACCACCATATGGCAAAGTTTCTTTATTGATGACGTAGTGTCTTTCACGACCGGAATGCACCCAAACCCACTCAAATACCGCATCACACCAACTACTTGCTGCTGGTATTCCTAACACGACAGAAAATTGGCCGAGGAAATTGTGATAACAGATTGTACTCGCTCTCGCAGCAGTTGATGGGTGTCGCTCCTAATTTGACGTTGCCTATTCCTATATTGGAGATATATACACAGACTCCCTCGTCAGTGCAGTTTTGCGACACCTGTTAAGCCCAAGATTTCAATTTCGTGTCCAGTCCAACTCATTTCCTCTTGGGTGTGACGGCAGTAAGCGCAAAAAGTGATTGTTTTTGAAGCAACATATCCTGCTGCTACAAACAATTGCAGGATTTATAATTTATAATGGGTGGGATCGAATTGCCATCATGTCTCATTCTGACCTCAATTGATGAAACAACAAGATTAGGATTTTGAAGACATTGAATCATACGTATCGCCGGACACTTATAATCTGACAAACAGCGGTAGAGTTTTTTACTCTATCTGGTCAAATAAATATGAAGCATAATTTCAGAACTTTACTCAGCAACCGTCAAAGTCGTCAACTTTTCTCAGTTTCTAGTTTGGTGAATGTGATACTTATTATAATTTTTTGTTGGATATCGGATACAAATTCGCTGTATTCTAATCATTTCGCCGTCCATGTTCCCAGTGGAGCTGCCAGAGCTGCAGACATTGCTCAGGAGTATGGATTTATCAATATGGGACAGGTATGAGCAATTTACATTTATCCTCTTTCTTCTTTGTGTCTATTTTGTTGAAATACCACAACTAATTCCCGTGTCAGGAACTGATTTTGTTGGTAATTAGTCAAGTGGATTAAATTTATGGTTGACCTGCCTGTCCTATTATAAGTGTGGAAATCACTTTGTCACCAAATTAATAATAACGTGTTCGATGGTGAACAATAAATCTGCTTTTACTTTTGTTGCGTTGCGTGGCTGGCTTCCTGTACGGTCTTGGGTCTCTAGCACATTATTATGAACCATAAACGTCACACCCTTTGATTTAGACTTTCTAATTTTGACGACGACATTGAATGTCACCAACTAAACTGCGGCAATTGAACACATAATTAGGTCAAGTTTAGGGAAATGTTTTGACAACTTTTATAACTTTACGGAACTAGTAGTGAAATCTGGAAGCCAAATTCAACTTTAGACAATTTAGCTCGACTGGATATACATACATACATATGTATAAATCATATTTAGTATACTCGAGGGGTGAATGTTATTACAGAAACATGGCTAATTGTTCGCTTAAGTGATTTATGATTTCATGATTTTAGGTGTACGTACATATGTACATACTGCGCATCCATCTGTCTTATTTATACCTAAGTAAATACGCATATGTACTTGTACATGCATGCAATCAAAACAGATATGTGTAAATCATGGAATTCTGCCTGTTTCATTCAAGTGACACTTCATTTACGACAGAATTTTCAATTGAAATTTATACAATAAGCAAGGTACTATTTAGATTTTCACAAGAAATTGTGGCCACGATGATTTGTATGCTGAAAAGTGCACGGAAAGTTCAAGGCTTGCATTCTTAATGTTTGTCTTCTTTGTGCTGCGTACTGATGACTGAGAATTTGTTGTGACGTGAAACATTAAATTTCAGATTGGGTTATGAATGCAAACTCATGTTACACGCTTTATCGTAAACATGGGTTCAAATCCCAATATTATGTTTCATTGATAAAGGTATCAATCGTTTTTTTTATTATTTTGCTTCCCTCACATCAACTGCGTGCCTTACGTAGACACAGTTTTGAGACACCCATTTACTTACATAATTGTCTCTTTCCTGTCCGGTTACACTCATCCTGCTTGTACGGAGTTTGGCCTTTTTCATTTCTGTAATTTACGACTTGAAGATGCGATTTAATAAACTATAAACTAATTAGACCCATATTTTAAATCTTTAAGATATTGCCTTTAATTTTAATTTTATGGATGCATTTGATGTCCGGTAATTACTTGCCATCTTTGGATTTACATGTTTGACTTTGAACTCACTTACATATTCTTTCTAAGAAATATCGCTTTGATGTTTGAGGTCACCCATAAATAAAGCATACCCACATAACATTTTAGTTTGCACTTTCATTAAAAGATAAAAGCGTATTTTAAATTTCAACAAAATGAAAAGCTTTCATCCTGCACAAGGTAATTTGATGATTAGATTTTAAATATAGGTTCTTATAATTATCAGTCTAATATTAAATTAAAACAGAGAAAACACCCAAATTAAACAATTGACATCAAAGATGAATATGTGTACAACTAACCATCAACAGGAAAAGCATAATGAATAGGTTAACCTTCGCCCTACAATTATTAGTGATCTACAGTCCGTGATTTACTGCCGTAATAACAGTCATTTCCCCTTTTCATGCACAAGAAGAATAAAGGTTTCGGTCTACAAATACGAATGAGGATGAACACTGCAATCCCACATCAAACAGTAAAGTGACAGTAGGAGTCTGTAAAATTGACAGTCCTCAAATTTAGTCTGCAGATCAGACTTTCGCTTTCATTTTCTTTTTTCAACAAGTCATAAACTCCATTTCTATGAATCAGAATAAACTTGGTTGATTTTGATTTTATTAAATTTTCTAATCTTCTATATATGCTATTTATTTGTGGTCTATATCCGCCAAATCATTCTCTAGAGTTCACTAGATCACTTTTAGATATTCGTTGCGTGACCAAGTTTGGGTGCAATAAACTTAATTTTAAAATTGAAAGGGGTTGAAAGCTCAAAAGTGGCATAGTCCTGAACATGCATTTAAATAAACGCTGGAGTTTAGTATGCATATTTTTCAACATATATTACGTACGATGTTCAGAGCTTACTTTCAATATGGTGAATGGAATCGATAAACTGAGTAGTATTACCTAACCATTGCATTATTAGACAGGCAATTATGTAGATTCGGATGTACCTCAGTCCAAGCTAATGATGTCCCCTGTATTAATTTATGAGGGTGTCACAGGTATAATAATTGCCGCAATTCGATAATTCATTCAAGCATAGCCAGCGTTAAAATTATGGGAGGATTTCGTAGAGAAGAATGGACACGAAGATCGTCATTAGTTAGATTGGTGGACGGTGCATGAAGCCGATTTAATTGCGCTGGGTAGCTATTAAATAATGGAATTCAAATTTCAGCTCGCCAGGTGGAAAAAAGAAGCAAAAGCATAATAGTGAAAGTTCTTTCGTGCAATGTGGAGCACTGACTGTCAACCGTGTTGCACTTCAGCACATACGAATAATATTGCACTTTGTGTAGTCATTATTGCATGCACTTCATTATAAATACATACGGTATTGTATTGAGTAAAGTAATTGCATTGCATTGTTGCCTCAATGAATGTGCATATTTAGCACAAGTACATATGAAGCATAAGCCTCCTATATTCTCGTCCTTCTTTTATCTTGATTTACCTGCACTGCAATTTTTGCTTGGCTTTGTGCATTTTAATTTTATGGCACATTGATTTGTTGGCTGCTGCTTGCTTGACGTTCGCGTTCTCTTTGACAATGGATGGGCAATGAATTGGAAATCGAAAACCAACAGAACTTCTCAAGGATAGATCAAAATAGAAATCATCCGCATATTTATATACAAAAGTTGGTCCTGCACAGATAAATATATGGTTTAGTTAGGCATATCAATATCAAACCCTATGTACGTAGATATAATAATACAATAATTGATATAAATATCGATACGCTTGACATGTCTCGTCCAAAAATAATGAAAATATTTCAATTTCTTTAGATTGGCAGCCTTGCAAACTATTATTTGTTTGAGCACCCAAAAGTAAGAAAAAGATCAATCTCATCGAGCGATGAGCATCACACATTGCTGCAAGATGAACCGGATGTAAGTGAATCGACACATGGCTGTTCAGACGTTTATATATTCAATCGTTATTCAGATGGAGACTGTCGCGAGTATTAAATCGGATTCCATAAAAATGTCGTTGTTTTTCAGGTTCACTGGTTCGAACAGCAAGTGGAGAGAAAGAGGACGAAACGTGATTTCCATTATTATGAAGGAAATTCTCAAGCAAGTGGCCAAAATCCTTATTTTGCAACCTCTGCTTTTGGCCCACCATATTCCACCAGTGGCTTTGTAGATCCTTTGTTTAAAGAACAATGGTATTTGGTGAGTATAAATTTAATTTCCAAATATATTTATGTTTTAGCAGCAAAGATCACGGTGTACTGTATTACACATGCATTGTAATATTTTTTTTCGAATTCGTATGAATTAATTTTATAACTTTGATAGACTGGGGGCTCAAAAGACGGTTTCGACATGAATGTGCTGAGTGCTTGGAAGAGAGGCTTCACAGGAAAGGGTGTGGTTGTATCTATCCTTGATGATGGAATTCAAACTAACCATCCTGACTTGATTCTCAACTATGTATGAATTTTTGCTTGAAAATTTACGTAGTTAAAAATATAAAAATACTGGAATTATTTGTAATCTCTATTTGTATATAAAAAGGATCCGCGAGCCTCAACTGACATTAATGACAATGATAGCGATCCAACGCCACAGGACAATGGAGATAATAAACATGGGACTCGATGTGCTGGTGAAGTAGCAGCTACCGCTGGAAATAACATTTGTGGAGTGGGTGTCGCATATAATGCCTCGATTGGTAATTCGCTCTAACTGTTAATTTTCGATTTTATGGAAAATATGTTAACTCGCGCATTCAATTAAGGATATAAACTCTATATTAGTATCACTCCGTAACAATAGCTAAAGTCAGTTGATTGATTGATGTTCATATATAAGCATTATTGTCAGTAATAACTAGTTTAGGGTTAGAATGATTTTTGTATTACTGTGCGCGAAAATAATTATTTTTCGGCAAATGTTCCTATTCAATAACGGTCAATACAATCTTACAGGTGGGGTTCGGATGTTGGATGGAACCGTTAATGACGCTGTGGAGGCGAAAGCCCTGGGTCTGAATCCCGACCATGTGGACATTTACTCGGCGTCGTGGGGTCCGGAGGACGATGTTAAGGATTTTTTGCTTAATTTTGCTTAAATTTAATCAAAATTAATTAACTATTTAATTAATTTTAAATTTTAGATTAAGGAGTAGAAGGTCGCAACTTGTCGTTGCCCGTTTTTGATTTCCTTTGGATATGTTGTAGTACTATATGAGTGTAGGAAAAGTGGAGGGTTAGACTCCATGAGCCCATTTACGCCCGCCACACCCCCTCGAAGGCGCCTAAACCCCCAGAGTCGCACTGAATTCATCGCTAAAATCGAGTTCTGGTCAGATTTTCAAGAAATTTACATTTTTGTGATCCCAGATAGTTGCTCTATCATATCCAATAGCAAACTCAACTTTTTTGAAATTTCGATTTTTTCAATACATCTTGGTCAGAAAATCTTCGAAAATATCGGCAACTCTGGGGGTTTTGGCGCCTTCGAGGGGGTGTGGGGGGCATAAATGGGCTCATGGAGTCTAACCCTCCTTCACTTTTTCTACACTCATGTAGTACTACAACATATCCAAAGGAGATCAAAATCCGGCGCCGACAAGTTGCGACCTTCTACTCCTAAGTATTTAAATATTTATTAACGGTCTAAAAAAATTAAGCTCATCCTATCGACTCGAAATTTGGTACACGTGTAGTATGGGGCAAATGAGGAGTTAAGATGGAAGATGAGCAAAATCGGTTTAGTGGTTGACAATTTTCAATGCATATGGTTTTATTTTAGCAGATGCCACGCACACATAACCAAATAAACTAGAATAGTCATCATGCACCCATGTAGTAAATAATATCATATCAAATAATCCATACTCATCAACGCAGCACAATCAACAACGATAAAAAGAACGAACATAAACAACATAATTACTAATAATAACGGTCTAAAAAAATTAAGCTTATCCTATCGACTCGAAATTAAACTACAAAACCGGTTGTGTCGTGTCGTTTTGTGACTACTTGGGTTTTTTGAGGGGTGGTTCTGCGCTTGGATCAGTTGAGGGTTGACGCTTCTTGTTGGCCTATTAATTATAAACATTAATGTAGTTGACATTGTCATATCGTTATATTATTTCATTTTGTTTTAAATACCTTAAACTCTTCAAAACGGGTAGGATGGCTGTCCTTCATGTGCCTGGTGAGATGATCACTGCGGCTATATTGGATGTTTGGACAAATGAGGCATTTGAATGGCTTCCTCTCGGTATGGACAGTTCTTTTGTGTCTGCGAAGATGTGAAGCATCATTGAAGGCCATCTTGCACACGTCACAGACAAATGGTCTGTCCTTAGTATGGATGGCAAGTACATGTTGATCCAGAGCGTCTTTTCTTGAAAAATCCTTGTCGCACTTGTCGCATTTGAAAGGCCTGGTTTCAACATGAACGGTAGCCTTGTGCGCATTTAGGTTCCTTATCCGCTTGAAACATAGGTCACACTGGTCACATTCATAGGAACGTTCTTCAGAGTGGACTTCCATGTGTTGGCAAAGACTACTGTTTGTCTTGAATGTATCTCCGCATTTATTGCACTGGAAAGACCGTTCCTCGGAGTGTACAGCCAAGTGATTGGATAAAACATCTTGTCGAGTAAAGGCAATGCCACAAACTTCACACTTGAATTTTCTGGCTCCTTCGTGCATCCTCATATGCAGATCCAATGATACTTGGTATCCGAATGCTCGTTTGCACAGCTGGCAGGAGAAGGCCTTGACACCACTATGTTGAACTCCATGGATAAGTAGTCTAGATAAGTAATTGAAGACCTTGTCGCAATCAGGACAAGGATATTCTTTGGGACGCTCGTCATCTTCGTCCTCCTCCTCGATTCCATCAATATCATCATCTTCCTGAATGTAGAATTCCATAACTTGGTTTTTTGTCCTGTACTGGGGATTGAAGAAGCATTCCGGTGGAAACAACACGTCCAGCTCCGACGTATTAGACACCTGTTGGGATGGTCGCCCAGAGTTTAGATGAATGTTGCCGAGGACAATGTCCATTGTTTCTGTTTTATTATGAAGATGTCCGGCAAATCCGAGGTATTCCTCCGTTAGGCTTGGCGGAGGAGAATGGAATCTTGTAGATTCCATTTGTCTGGGGTCTACGACGGCCGAATACAAATACGTGAGGTATGCTTCGTCAAAATCTTTATCGTAATCCTCTGGGATAATTGAATTTGGAAATAACTGTACAACTGTCGTTAATATCTAAATAAGTAAATAAGTAAATAAATAAATAATAAAGTTCAATTGTTGAATAGTTTGAATTCCTACCGATTTAGTTGAAAGATTAGGCGTTGCCTCAATGATCTTTTGAGCCTTGGCAATTCCTATCCCAGGAATGTTTTTGACATATTCACACTTTGACAGTATCATCATCTTGAGAAATTTTTCATGGTTGTATTCTTCCCATCCCAGGACGGTGGGGATATTCGCCGTCTCGTAGAACCATCCCCAACCCTTTTTATTCATGGTGAATAAAACCTGGTATCAAAGAAAATACCCCTGTATGTTTACTTATAACAAATGAGAGAAATTATAGATAAATTTTATTCTAGTAAGTTACCTTTGGACATCCAAACAGCATCATGTCCGAGTCGTGACTAATGACGAGGTCACACAGATTATTCTGAGCCAAGTAGCCAATCTGTGAGTCTGCTTCAAAGAGAGATCCGACATAGAAGCACTTGTTGGGGTACTTGTTGGCAATGCCTTTCAAACTGTTCAAAACAGCTGGCGAGATTATTGTGCTTCGGGCGAGATACTTTCTGGCTTCCTTTTTCCTTCCCAGCTGAAAGTAGTACTCTGCCGTGACAAGGTCATTGTCTCTTTTCTTTGCCCTCGCCTCGTGCTCCTTGGCCTTCTTTGGGAGTTTTTTTCCGTCCGTGACGAGATACACGGTGCACCCGGCATTTATAATAGTTTGGACAATGTCTTCTATCGACGAAACAATCTCAACACTAGACTTGGTGTCGTCGACGGAGGCTAGACCTACTTTTTTCATTATTCTATAATGACCCTGCACAACGTAGCTAAAAAAATCAAAACAATGAAATTAACGGCCATGCCGGAATAGTAATTAATTACAAGATACAGGAGAAATTAATCCTCTTTTTGTAAACATAAATAATTAGCAGAAATACTTACCCCATGACATCAACTGCCACTGTCGCCCCACTGAATCTGGAGATATTGACCCGTTTTTGTCGCATACGTAGATGGGGGAAGGCTCGGGGGACACCCATGGTGACGGGGGGGGGGGCACAAAATATAATCAAGAAGAAACAAATTAAGAAATGGGAAATAAATAGCAAGTTGCTGACAGTATTCACTTGTACTCGCTTCCTTGCAGTGAGTAATGCGTGCAAGCCTTGCGCGCATTACTCGACTTTGTCAAAGACAAAACGTCCAGCAAGCGTCGCATCAATACGTTTTGTTTTATTTTATGTTGTATTTATTTTATTAATTAATTAAATTATTATTAATTATAATCAATGAAATTAACTACTATTAATTAATAGTAGTTAATTTATTTAAGTAGTTCATTTATCGTCTTGGGTTTTTATTGTCTTGCTTTTTTGGAAGTGTTACTCGCAGATGGTTTTGCTCGCTTCTTGTTTTCCTATAAATATTTTTAGTTGGGAAATAGTTGAGTGTTTATATTTATTCGTTAAATTAAATTAAATACCTTAAACTCTTCAAAGAGGGTAGGATGGCTGTCTTTCATGCGCCTACTGCCTGGTGAGATGATCACTTCGTCCATAGCTAATGTTTCGTCATATCAAGCGTCATATTAAGCTAAGCGCTTTATTATATTTACATACTTATGTCAGGTCATTTTGGGTGCTATATTTTATTTAGATATTTAGATATAATTTTGATCTTGAAGTGATCCTTATTTTTTAAAATTATATATTTTATAGTATAAGGGGCATATGTACACAACACAGTGTGGTGCTTATTTGACCCTTCCATATATAAGTGTATCTCGCTTTTGCACATGATGGTTTTGGCAATGAAATTTTTTTATGATACAGGCAAAACAGTGGACGGTCCAGGGCCTCTGGCACGTAGAGCATTCATTTACGGAGTCACAAACGTACGTGTGTCTATATGTATATCTATGTTAGTTATTCGAGCTTGTCTAGATATAATTCGAGACAAACTAACTCGGATAATTCAATTAACTTCATTACAGGGACGTAGAGGTTTGGGTTCCATCTTTATTTGGGCGTCTGGCAATGGAGGACGACACGTGGATTCTTGTAATTGGTGAGTACGAGACTACTGACTATCACTAGAGCATGTCTTGCTACATATTTAGTCACTCGATTCGCCAACTGATTAAAACTTAATTTTTGAACTAGTGATGGATATACAAATTCAATTTTCACCTTATCCATTTCATCGGCGACGCAAGGAGGGTATAAACCATGGTATCTTGAGGAGTGTGCTTCCACCTTAGCCACAACCTACTCAAGTGGGACGCCTACGCTGGATAAAAGCGTGGCCACCGTTGACATGGATGGACGTCTTAGACCTGGTAGGTTTGCACAATTGTGCACATGTTGAAATGCTCGTAAATGTAATGGAAAGGATCAGAAATATTCTAATTTAGTCCAATATTTGGGTGAAATTCACTCATTCCACCGATAAATGTATATACGTAATATAATATTTGTGTAATCTCTACACTTTCAGACCACATTTGTACAGTTGAGCACACAGGAACGAGTGCTAGTGGTAAGAATATTTTTTATGACATTATTCAATAATTCTTAATACTTTGTTATATTAGCATTTGTGGTAATTATTATTGAACTGTGCGTACATTTTTAGCTCCTCTCGCGGCTGGAATTGCTGCTTTAGGTACTAAACACAGTTATAACTCTTCGCTTTATCTGAAATTTAGAATAGTAAGGAGATATATTAATACAAGGTTTTCTTTGATAGCTCTTGAGGCAAACCCCAACTTGACTTGGAGGGATTTGCAACATTTGGTAGTAATGACTAGCAGGTGAGTGAAACATCATTAATTATGTTTGAATAATATTCAAATAAATATTCCCCACCAGACCTGATCCGTTGGTAAAAGAAGAAGGATGGTATGTCAATGGCGTTCAACGAAAATTCAGTCACAAATTCGGATATGGACTAATGGATGCTGGCAAAATGGTGGACTTGGCCGTGGACTGGGGTGGTAAGTTGTACTTCGCTATGTAGGTTTTGAGACTTGAGACTAGTTGAGATACTAACAATTGTAAGTCGAATGAACATCGATTGCATTTCAGGAGTTCCACCTCAACATATTTGCAAGTCTCGAGAAATCAGAGAAGACAGGTAAATAAGCCATAAAGTGATTTTTAACTAAAAACGAAAGTGAATACAAGTAATGAAAAGTTTGAATTTAATTCAAATAGGGAAATTCCGGGTGCCCATCTAGGAAAAGTGAGTTAGAACAATATATACATATATACACATTCAAAGCATACGTACATATATAAATACTTAAATCTATGCGAATCTGTAGGTGAAAGTTTTCATGGACGTTGACGGATGTGCAGGAACAAACTCGGAAATTAGATACCTTGAAGTATGAAACCTAGACTTTTGATTTTCCATCGACATGAAATTAAATAAATGTCTTTCCAGCATGTCCAGTGCAAAATTTCTCTAAGATTCTTTCCGCGTGGAAACCTCCGAATTCTGTTGACCTCTCCAATGGGCACAACTTCCGTTTTGCTATTTGAGAGACCCAGAGATGTGAGTGTTATAAATCCGTTTATCAAATCTTTAAAAAAAGCATTACAAATTTGACATTGAAGTCAACAAGCGATACTTTATGGGTAACAATCAGTATCATGGAAATGTTACTAAAACCTACATAGCTACTTTTTGTACACCTTTTCTTTGGCTTCAACTTAATATTGATTCTTATAGTATTTGATTTCTTTTTCTTATCTTTGTGAACAACATCTTGTGTGCATTATGGATTATTCTCATTGAACAGCGCACAACCAACTAATCGGAAACAAATATTTCTCAGCACATTCATATACCAAACATGAGACTCATCATGTAATTTATCGTTTGCATTCCAAGCATACCAAAGTCATTTTTGAATGTTGGGGTTATTTTCTATTATGTATATTTCTTGACTGAGGATGAGTGATGTAAAATTCCTTGTAGGTCTCGAGCTCAAATTTCGATGACTGGCCATTTTTATCCGTTCATTTTTGGGGGGAACAAGCTCACGGGCAAGTTTACACTGAATTATTTTCTATAATTTACTCTTAATTTATGTATTCATAAGATGCAACATATCATCAGTGTATTTAATTCTTTAATTTTTATGCTCGGTATAGTCGGTGGACCTTGGAAATAATTAATTCTGGAAGTCGACGAATTAATCAACCTGGTATAATGAATAATAAAAAAAATGCTTTTAGTATAGTAAAAATATTTCGAGTCCAATATTTGTACGTTATTAAATTATCTAAAATGGTATGGTAAATGTGCTGCAGGTATTCTTAAAAAATGGCAACTTATCCTGTACGGCACCGACTTAAACCCACAACGCCTTAGATCGCGATCTTTGAGTAATCCTACATTTCAACCGTCATCAAGTCAATTTAGAGAAGCACAGAGTCAAGGATCCCCACGATTTGTTCCACAAGACTATTTGTACCCTGGTGCTTCTGAATCGCTGTCTCAAGTACAAAAACCACAGATGGTTCGGTCACAGTGTCAAATTGAATATTGGATATCGGATTTGGCAATCTGCGTTAATGACTGTCCAGACGGCTACTTTGCTGGTAAATATTTTAACTGGTTTTGTGTATTATTTATTTGTGTCCAACTCCAAATACGTACATACATAATTCATCCCATATAGATGTAGACAAGAAGGAGTGTTTTTCATGTCCTCAACGTTGCAAATCCTGCTACAACAGTACATCATGTACAGCTTGTGACCACAATTTGGTGTTGTTCGGAACAAAATGTCTAGCATCCTGCCCAGCCGGGCATTATGAAGCAGGCAAGATGTTTATTTTTGGATTTATTTTGGATTTATGCAATGAACATAATTATTGTGCACCCACATTTACTTATTTCATGCCACTAAATATATAAATTTCAAGCAGATTCCTCATGCGAAAAGTGTCCAGTCAAGTCATGTGCAGGTAAACAAAAATCAAACTTTTAAATCTGTTTTGCACCCTTAATAGCTAGATCATAGTAACTAAACCTCTGTCTGTCTTAGCCTGTGCTGGACCAATGGGAAATGAATGTGTGCAATGCCTCAAAGGTACATACCTGGAAAACGGAAAATGTTCGCCCAAGTGTGGAACTGGACGGCGTCAATCTAGTTCAGGGAGCTGTATTGCTTGTCCTGTAGGATGCAAGTCTTGTGATGAAAATGTATGCACGTCATGCATTGAAAACTTTACACCTTCTTCAGATTCTTCATCATGTGAACAATCTAATACTGTAAGTCCCATACAGTTTTGCAATTTTTCTTTCATTCTTTAGAACTGTACTGATGATAAGCTGTGCTGATTATTATGAATATCAGGTTTGTCCGCTGGGCCTTTTCCTCGACATTGAGACAGGACAATGCCAAGCTTGTCAAGCTGAAAATTGTCAACGATGTGAAGGTGCTGGTCAATGTCTTCAGTGTGCCCATGGATTTTACGTATATTTAGGAACCTGTTTAGACCAATGCTCTGGTGGTTCTTATCTAACTTCAAATCGAAAAGAATGTTTAGATTGTCCCAAGTTATGCACCAAATGCAAATCCGCCGAGATTTGTGAAGAATGTCGGACTGATGGAATGTTGCAAGAAGGGAAATGCCTCCCGCATTGTTCGGAAGGGTAGGTTTGTTTTTTGCGCACATACAATAAATCCGTACATAACAATTACATATAATTATAATTTGCAAATATATATTTATCTTCAAATCGTATAACTATTTATTACAGGTACTACAATGACGTCGGAACCTGTTCTCGATGTTCACAAAGTTGTAAGACATGTATTGGTCCCGGAGAGAGTGAATGTGTGACATGCGTTAGTGGGCGCAAACTTAGCCGTAGTGGACGATGCGTAAATTTGAATTCAACTACAACAAAATCAGGACCAACCATGAAATCTGAAAAACAATGTGCTGACGGGTATTGGTACAGTCGTACGGAAACAAAATGTCAATCATGTCATCCATCCTGTTCTAAATGCAATGGTATGCAATATGTATTAACGAAATTCTAAAGTTGTTAAAATTTCCCACCTATAAACATTTCCCAAGTGGGATGGGAAATAGCTTTTTAAACTAGAAAATAGATAGCATGTGTACATTCTCTCATTTATAATTCTTTATTGCTAAAGGACCCATGCCATATAACTGTCGCAATTGTGTGACCCCACTAAGGCTTGACCGAGGAAGTAGTCGCTGCATTAGCTGTTGCAAAACTTCTGAAGATTTGGACTGTTGTCATTGTGATACTAAACGGCACACTGGTACTCCGTTAACGGCTGACGTGGATGGTAATAATTAATATTTATATGATTTTCTGCTGTTGCACAGAGCATCAATTTGTTAAAATAATCTGTAATATGTGTATATGTATTAACGTTTAATTGTGTTTTGCGTGTCATAGGTGAATGCCATTTTGTTTCAAGGAGAGTCTCAGAGTCAGAAGAACGGGAAATTAGTTCAGGAAAGTGGAGTGACTCTACCGTACTCAGTGTTTTTTGGTTTTCTGTGTTTACTGTGGTTGTGGTTTCTGTACTTGTGATATTCCGAAGACGAAGGAAAAGTGCTGACAATTCCTACAATTCTGGACCTCGTTACTCTTCACAAAAAAACTTATTCGACCACAACCATACGAGGTCCTCCGCCAAATATTCCCCAGTAAATGTTGAAACAGACAGTTATGAAACAAATCATAATGATGGTGTGGACAGTGAGGATGAAGTTGACTTAACATACGCGGATACAAGACACGGATCAGAAGGCATCCCTCTGGTACTAAAGACTTAGTGGTTGCAAATTAATTTTTTAATTATAATAAACATACCTATCTAAGAATGGTTGTTCCAACCAACTCAACAATTATCAAAGTCCTGTGATGATATATTATGAAATTTGTATATAGGTTAGGTTCATGCATATGTCAAATTATACCGAAACATAATTTGATATGTAAGGAACTGAAATTTATCGCTTAAGACAATTGAATATGTATTCAACGGTTGTTTACAAAATCGAGATTTTATTACGATGTTGCGCATGCGAGAAGAAGTCGCCTGTAATTAATGCCTTAAACTATGGTCGCGAGTGCGCACACGACATTATCGTATAACTAACGGACCGTATTCAAAGTTGCGTATGAACATAATAATCGCATAATAATCAACCTTCCAACGTTTAAGAAGACAAAGGCGCATACTTACCTAAATAGCAGAGTGCAGACAGTCATAAATACACCACGTAGAAAGTGAAACATTACATTACTTATATTATCCTATGTATATATATGAATAGTAATATTTACTGGGTTAAAAAAAGTTGACTATGAGTTAAATCTGTTTGAATGTAGAGTCAAGCCAATTGATAATCATACTTTTTGATTGTGATTAAAAATAAATTTGTTTTTATGAAAATGCAAGACTTGAAGAACTTTAATCGTTAGATTTTCCATATTATCCTATTTTACATTTATTATTAGGTAAATGTAGAAACAATTTTATAACGAAATAAACGTTTTAAAAACACTAGCGATTACCAAATTTGTTAATTCAATTTCAATTTCGTGAATGCTGTAAACATCAAGATTTGAATTGAAATTATACCAACGTTCACTCTTGGACCTGCTGCTTTGTGACCTCTACTAGTCGTAGCTGGTGTGGTTGATGTCCTGGGAGGTCTGGGGCTTGTAGTTGTTTCGACAAATACTACCTCAATTTTGTCAATGAGGATAAAGTCTCCCTCGTCATGAGTTGTGGCGTCAATGGAAAACTAGAGAGATTTTATGATTTTGATTAGCACATATGTAGAGAAATTCAAATATCTAAATATTTACATATAACGCATATTATTATTTATAATTCAGTTAGTACTCTGTTACTGCCATGCAAAGGAACGGTCTCAATAATCCAATCATCAGAAACATTTTGTGGGGTGAACGTATGGACTTTGGTGGAAGAAATGTAGACTGTGATCTCTGGGTGTCCGACAGTAGAGTTAGTTCCAGAGTTGTGAACAATTTTGACACTATCCAGAAGTTGGGCTGACGTCGAGAATGAAAATGTCACCGTGTTTGTCCAACCCGTGGAGTTCAGAGTGTCGAAAGTTGGGTCCAAGCTCGGAAGGACAATCCAAATTCCCCTCGCGTCCCTCACGAACTTATTTGTGAATGGAAACTTTGATGGCAGCTTGTCCTTGAATTCTAAAAGTTGACGACCTATGGGGACGTACATATAATCCCCACGAATTTGCCATTGCCGAAACCTATCAGTTTCAACGTCCAACACCACCACTTGCCTTCGAGCGGTGGTTGATCGCAAAAGTGACAACCACAAGAGTACAACGGGTACAAACATACTCGGATTTAGTGATTTGAAAAGCATTTTACACAAATGTGGTGTAGAAATAAAAAATATTGAGAACGTGATCTATCCAAGTGCAGTGCTGGAGCTCAAAAGACTAGAAATTGAGGGGATGTATGTATTTGTATGTACATGCATGCATACTTATGTACATAGATTCTATAATCTATGTAATAACATCCCAGTATAACTAGACCATGTATGTAATGTTGCTGCACTCTTAAATCATGAATCATCCCACATGCAGCATACTAAATACATATGCATCATGAATCGAAAATAACTTGTAGTGTGTATCTTTTCATAAGTAATAAATAAACTTTATTTTGAGCACATGTATGTATATAAATACTGAGCAAGGTCAAGAAATATGACACAAACATGGACAAGGGTATATTTATCTCAAAAGTATTATTGACTTATTGTCTTAGCACCACCACTGGTTGGGTTGCATAGTTTAATGGAAGGTCAGTAAAAATTTTAAAATAACATAAAAAGTCAAAAAACCAAATGAATACTTCCATACAGTAAATAATCAGGTCCTAATTTTCTTATTACTAACAGCCTGAACGTGACAAACTTCTGCTTTTGCTCCAATAGTCAGTAAAAAGTCCAGCCATACCTTTTGCTTAAATGATAATGAATCACCGGGTCCCTTAACTTCTACAAATATCACATCCTTATAATTCCATAAAACTAAGTCTGGAAAGCCGCTCCTCCAATGTCGAAAGTTTCTAGCAAGTCGCTCACAAATATCACTCATCACTCGTAAGCCCAATCTACTCAATAATGATTTTGCCAACTCAACATCTGGAAATACACTCCAGTTAACAATGGATAGAACGTTGAGATGCTGGTTCCAATTTTTCTCCAAAACATCCATGGCGTCTTGAATTGACCATGATGAGCGCATTCCTTGGAGTTTGTCCAGGATGATACCTTGCCTTCGAGTAAAAAACTCTTTAAAATTCAGATCCAATGGAGCTATTTGGTATTGAGAGTGAAATGCGTCACTGATCTCTTCACTATAAATCTCGTCCCAAAATAAAAGCCCAAATAAAGAACACACAACAGCCCCTTCAGCGTGAATTCCTACAAAAAATAAAACGAACAATTAAAGGGTCGGAAAATACACTTACTACATAAAATTAAATATGCTATATACATATATATGCAAAATAATATTCTTTAGTATTAATATGAATAATGATACCGTGCATGTATCCTTCATGTTTTTGGTAATATGAAATGGCAAACAATTCAACGGATGATGCTTCGGTAGACCCGTCGTCATCTTGTTGGCTAATGAAAACTGATTTCCCAGAGTTCGGATTTAATCTAAAACCACAATCAGTCGATATATTAAGACAATGTAATACACATTGGGTATGAACGTAATTAAAGTGATATGCTTACAATTTTTCTCCAGAAATAGTCCTTACTGGTAGTTCTTCACATACACGAAACAAGTCAATTGAAGTTTCAAGTAACGTATCTAGATTCGCCTTCGATGTTGTTGCATCATTGCTGGCTAAAGTTTTTGCTTTCTTTTTCGGTGGTTTCTGAATTTCTTCCATGAGCCTGTCGAACCGTTCAGAAATGCAAAGCTTGTGCGATTCTTGTAGAAACTCGTCCTTCAGCGCCGAAACCAAAGTAAATTTTCGTTCTTCCAAAGGTGTCTTTAGATACTGTTTTTGATTAATGACGAGTCTTTCGTGCCAACGTCCACGATATTGTGACAAATATATATTTTGCTTTAAAAGAAAGTGTATGTACGAGGTTGCAACTTTGTAATTCTTTAATTTCTGATAACCCTCTACTGCCAACCATACGATTCGAGTCAAAACACTCCCAGCTTTATAAACACGAAGGAACGAAGGAAGGTCTTCATCATTGTTCCTTATTTCTGAATCTTGGAGATTCTCTTGCAAAAGTGCGAAAGCATTTTCTCCTAATTTCACGACTTCCTCCCATTCCTTCGACTCTGTATGCGCCGTAATGCTGCAATGAATTGTCCAAGCGTCATGGAATCTGAACAGTTTTACACAAATGACATTAATTTCGTCAATAGTTATTAACGTTTGAGTTTTTAAAAAAAGTTAGGAACGAACCTTAATAGATCGTCTCGATTTGTATATATTATGGTCGTTTTATTGATGTTACATTGCGGGTACAACATCTTCCCATTATCTGACATTAACATTTTGAGAAGCTGGTTGCTTGATTGCTCCTGTTCGTCTTCCCAGTATTGGGGTGGAGAGTGCATGACGAACATTCTTGAGAAAAGAGCTCGACAAGTTCCGTTGAGTTGATACGTTGGACCAAGTAATTCCAATGTCCTAAAAATATAATAACAAACTCATTATAATACCATAACTGGTTTATTAATTAATACTTCATGTTATTTAATACGCATACGCACTTTCTTTTCATTATGGTCTCCACACTACAAGCTGTAGCAAATACAGGCTTGGTTTTAGTGAGGGCCAAAAGAGCGACTTCCAAACCGTCTTTCGTTTTTTTCTTTGAGGTAACATTCATTTGTTTTGCGAGAGCAGCAATTTGTTCAGCACTCAGTATTTCCAACAGAGACTTCAATTCAAGTTCATCTTTAACATCTATAATGTTTATATGAAGAAAACTTTTTTATATCTGTATTTTCATGTTTTAATTAGTTCACACATAATTAGTTTAAATAAAGATGAGATAAAACTGAACTAAACATTGTAACAATTGTAATATATTTAATGTTTGTGTGTACCTCTAATTTCAACAATAAATGCTGCCGAGTGTAATTCTTCAAATACTGAGGTTAAATCATCCTTGATTTCAGGATACTTGATGGAAGATGCTATCTTCCATTTCCATTTTCTAAGGAACAGTCGCACATATAAAAGTTTCGCGTTAGTGCTTAACGACCGGAATTTGCAAATTATAGATGCATCTTCTTCGTTGAACAAATGAGTGCTGTGTGGATCTTCGCTTACGGAATCTATAATGCTAGTGAAGTTTTTCAAAAAGTATGGAACAAACTGTGGTGTTGAAGTTGAATCAGAAGCGTCTTCTGGAAATCTCAATTTCTTTACTTTCGGACTATTGTCATGTTCTCGCACTACAGATTGTTTCCGATTTGAATTTGGAGATTTAAAGTTTTGACTTGAAGATCTACCCGGTGATGAAGATTTCATACCACCACTATTGCGACTATTTTTTGTTTTACTTGGCGAATTCAGCCTCCGTAGCGGAGAAAAGTAGTTTACTTTGGCTTTTGGCGACTTGGATGAAGATGTGTTTATAACTTTTGGTGTGACATTCTCACTACTGTTGAGTGACGTGTTTGATAATCGGTCACTTTTAGATGGTGATAGCATTTCCTGGGAGCTAATAATTTCATCTATATCTAATTGAGAAAGTATTTCGTCTCCTGAATCAGATCCCATGGAATTGTCGCATTGTTTGGTATCTTCGGTTACGACGGCTTTAGAGGCTTCAACCGCCATTTCAAAGTATTTTGAGCTCTGTAGGCCATCGCTATTGTTTTCACCATTTCCATTGCGGCTTGTCGTACAAGTGTGGGGACCGGAAATTCCTTTCATGGCAGCAGCTGGGATGTCTAACTCATGATCTGATTCTGAATCTGATATAAGAATAACTTCGTCTACCGCCATCACAGGTAATTTTGTAGAACATTGTGCTGTCTTGTTTTTCTCTGCGTCTAGTGTTGGCTTGAAATATATTTTCTTATTTATTTCCAAAACTCCTGGAACGTGAGAACTGGCATTGAGGTTTGGTGGTTCTGGCTGTGCATTTTGTGAAGACGGTTTTTGAAAAAACTTTGTTATTCTTTGCTGATTTGGAGAGGCTTGAAAGCCTTTCGCCTTTATTGATGGTTTTCTATTGTTCTTGGCTGACTTCATGGTACGCTATTTCTGTTGATAATTTGAAAGCGCAACATTAATACTAGTTAAATTATAAACATAAAAAATAAATGCATTACACGATTCCTTGAGCAAGATTCAGCTAGAAATTCATCTTAAACCTTCAAATACAAAATATTAAACATGTGTAATTTAAAAATCGAAATAGGCAAACTTGGCGACTCCAGTTTTGAGGTCATTTCATGCCTTACCACTTATCACAAGAGTAGAGTCCTTATATTTGAAATTAATACGCGCATACTACCGGGAACACCTTAAATGGGACAAATGACAGAAAATTACCAAACTTGTTAATGTTACTGAGCAGTTGAACTTACGCAAATAGCGTCAGAATTAGAAACTCAACCCTCAAACACATCAATAGAAACACAAGATTTTTAACCCAGGCATTGTCAATTCGAACAATGAACGCTTACTAATTCCAATTTCCAAACTTCAACAGATACTTCAACTCACAACAAAAACAAAGAGTGAATTCTGCACGAGTCTGCAGGCGCTTCACTGACGAATTGAGTTGTCTCATTTTCCCTTCTCAGTTCTCAACACCATCAAAACGCAAGGCAAACGCAATATGGAATCTGACATTATTTTAACTATTTAGTCTATTTTACGATGCAATAGATCAAAGCCCTAATTTGTAGTATTTTTCCGGAAACACAACAAATTAAGACAGCATTTTCAAGCGAAACCCATATGCTTTAAACAACTTCAATTCGAACGGATCGTTAGAGGTGCATGCTATTTTATTTCATACTTCCATCAAAAGAAATCTCTAGAAACATGTCCCCTACAAATGTTCAACATGTTCATAATTTTTAAAATTTTAAAAGTTTAGTTGCTTTTCATGTTTTTACTAACTGTAGAAAAGCTGCTACACCTATCGGCCAGCAGCAGGCTGCGAACTTGCGTAATCGTCACAAAAAGTATAATATTGCCTACCTATTCGTATCGTATTTATATACCCCAGACTTCTTGCTTAGCGACATACAATTCACACGAAACGTTCAATGTATGATTCCGACGACGAGAAGAGTTTGAGATTTCATGCTGGTCTTCAATCGAATTAGTCCTCTGTGATATCGAGGCTCATGTGTATGCGACATTCTGTGTTTGTACACCAGACTCGAAGCAGCGAAAAATGCGAGTTTAAAAGATAAGAATGAAGCTCTTTGTCCCCATCGCGTCGAAAAGAGTCTTTTTTTGGATGACGCATTGACGAACTTTGTGGATTCTACACAAGGCTGTTTCTGCTTTCTATAGACCAATGCAATGCACGTCTACTTACCTAACCTCCACTTTCTATCACCACCACACCAATGCAATAGCACAAACTTATATTATCGTGCTTGTTATTATTCCCAGCAGAGAAGAAGACAAGAACAAAAGAAAGTAACTAACTAATCGCGTCCAAGAACAGGACCGTTAAGCAGCAAAAAAATGTAATTATTTTCAAGTTTAATGTAGATTTAATAATGTTTTTTAGGCTGGTTTAGTCAGAGGATTGATAAATCAGTAAAACCTGCTGAGAAGGCAGGAGATTTTTTATTATTGTGTAATTTGTACGCTGTTTGCTGTTGTATCTCGAAATAGTAATTTCATTAAAGCCCTTGTGTTTTTTTTTAGAATATCAAGAACCCTGCTCTATAATTTTAGATTTCATCAATTCATCAACAAAGAATTTCCCAAAACTGTGGATTAGGACGAACGAGGCTTGATGATTTAGGACAGACGGAAGAGACCAACGGTAGCGCAGGATCTCGAGGACTGTAATCAGAAAATATAATTATTGGCTGCGTCTTAATCAGCACATTTTCGTTCGTAAGCGGCAGTTTTGCGGACAATGGCCTGTCTGAATACTTTGAAGCAAGAGATCAAAGCAGTCGAGCGGATTTTCCCTAAAGGTTGACTTTTGTGATTATTGAAACGTTATAATGATATTTAATGATTCCTACTAATCTTTTTTTTATTCCTTAGAACATGATCGCTTTCAAGTTTTAACTGCTAGGTGAGCGGATAATGAATTTAACCTGTAAATCATTAGAACCCTGGGAAATTAATTTAAACTATGATTTATATTTAGTGTTGACGAACTGACGTGTCGCTTTGTTGGGCAAAACGGAAAAAAGCATGATATCACTGGAAACATTACTGTAATCATTGTTCTAATTAATAATATTTTAGTAATGTAGCGTTGTCGTTAAAACAAATGTGTTACCGATCACAGGAAACTTACCCACACACACCACCAGTATGGTTTGCTGATTCAGAGGATATTACGGTTACTGGGTCTGTGGAACGGTTGAGCCGGACGTCAGGTCAGGATAACCACGTCATATCCCAAGTTGGTATGTTGACACGATTACTTGGCTTTTGGTATCTTATGTCCGTGGCAAGCTAAATTTGATCTGCGAATTTATTGAATTTAGGTATATTGGTCCGAGAACTTTGTAAAGCACAAAGGTATGGGAGATATTGTGTTTTTATTACGTAATGATATGATAAGACTTGTTTTTTAAGCACTATTTTTGTATCACCGAAAACTTAATCTCTCTCTTCTCTATTTTCAGTCTTCCAGAACCCACCTCTGATCTCGAAAAGTTGTCAACCGCAATGTCAGGAAGTTCTGCAGATTCGTCCACCGGTTCTTCAAAATCCGCGTCGACTGACAATGGGTCATCTGATATGGATATTGAATATGAATTTGATGACGATGACGATGATGATGATGGTAGTTTGCGTTGTTAAAATTATCCAATTGATTTCTATTGAATGTTTTGTAATGATACCATTTCTCTAAGATACCGAAGATGATATGCATTTGGAACTGGAAGGTAATAATCATCAAATCTAATAAAAATCCAACGTTGTATCCACACGTTGGTTCTGGAACGTTGTTTTTTTCTAAGCGCTATAAATTTGGTCTTGATACGGTATTAAGTTTTTTTATTTATTTTGAAGATGAGTCAGCCAATAAAAATAAGGAAAAGGAAGGTCTCGAAACGGAGCATATTGAAACATTGGAAAGATTGAAAGCTAATCAGCGTCAGGACTACCTGCAAGGAACGGTTACTGGGTCAGTGCAAGCATCTGACCGCTTGATGAAAGAATTGAGAGATATATACAGATCGGATAGTTTTAAGATGGGTAGGAGAACGATTTTTGGCTTTATTTTTCACAGCATACTAAGTACTATGACTCGACCACTCATATTTACGTACTTTTTTGTCCACAGGAATATACACACTTGAATTGGTAAACGTAAGTTATTTTTTGAATTGTTAAAAAATATTGGAATATAATTGAGATTTGTTCAGTGCTATTTATTAGTTCAATAGTATATGTATTCGTATTAGTTATTAATTATATTGTTTTAAACTACAGGATAGCTTATACGAATGGAACATCAAGCTAAAAGGTGTCGACAAAGATTCGCCGCTGTATGGAGATTTAGTGACGCTGAAGGAAAGGGAGGGCAAAGATTTTATCTTGCTAAATATAACATTCCAGGTAATGCACTTAATTTATACGAGTAATTGTTGATTGTGTCTATCTTTCATTGATCATGAATGTTTTCAATAATTTTTTTGTGACGTTATATAATCATTAATCGGATAAAATGATTTTTTTAGGAAAACTACCCATTTATCCCTCCTTTTGTTCGAGTGGTAAGCAATTGTTGATTTCCTCTCAAATTTAAGTAATGCAGTAGAAAAATAAATGCAGGACAACAAGTTGAATACAATTGTAAGACCACTTAATGATTATTTTATGCAATTACAAGGTCCATCCTGTGATTTCTGGGGGATATGTACTTGTTGGAGGAGGTAATGTACTAATTGATGTGCCATTATTGATATTTTAATAAAATATCAATCTTATAAAATAATTTTATAAGATTATTCTTGAACATTGTATTATTTACACCAGCGATATGCATGGAGCTGTTAACCAAGCAAGGATGGAGTTCCGCATATACTGTTGAAGCCATTATAATGGTAAGTGTGAACCAAGTTACAGAATTGGGGCTGTGTTAAAAATAATTACATTTATGTGTGATCATATGTGTGTTTCATTAATGGAACATTTTTTATTATTCATTTCATGATTTATTCAACAGCAAATTGCGGCTACATTTGTGAAAGGAAAAGCACGCATTCATTTTGGAACAAGTAAAGTTTCTTCTACTTCGGTAAATAAAACATAAAGATCTAAACATTTGGTTTGATAAACTTAGTTTAGTAGTTAATCTATTATAATCATTGAAGTAAAACGTAATAAAATTTTTAATTTCAGACTGGCCAGTATAGCTTAGCTCGAGCCCAACAGTCGTACAAGTCTTTGGTCCAAATTCATGAGAAGGTATGCAAAGTTAACGTCTTAATTTCCAAATTAGCTCACAGTATAAATGGTTCAATTTCTCTGTGGCCTTCAGTATTGCATTTTATTATCTAATCAGCAGAAATTGTTATTTTCACTATTTCAGCAAGGATGGTACACACCACCAAAAGCGGATGGATAATAATGCTTTCGCTTGCTCACTCAAACCTACTATACCCTCCTCAACTCCTCGTACTCCTCACTCCTCAGAAGTTCGCAAGTTTTATTTTACTCTTCATCGGCAAGAAACGACCCATCGAGATTTCAAGTACTGCTAGTTTTTTTCGTGAATACCAATAGTTGATAGAATAACTATATTATTTCGATTTCCATCTAATCCGCAGCGCAGCCAGTGTGAATTAAGTGTTTGCTGAAAAGTGATTGTTTTGTGCAAGCGACACCAATACAATATATATATTATGTAGGATCCATCATCTATAAAGTACAACATGGTTATTCGACTACGCAATCGCAACCGTAAAAATTCCATAAATTCCCATTACATCGGCTGCTATATGATATCTTCGTGTACTGTATATTATGAAGACTGATAACCCGATTAATTTAACTTGCAATCACTTGCATATACTGAACATTTCATGTTATGTGAATGGATACGAAATCATGCAAGAAGCCAGTGTATTAAAAAGTGATGCATTTGTTGTCGAACGAAAACCATTCTCCAATGCCACTTTAAACAATTGAGTTCATTATATATTTAATCGCATTAAGGTTCTAATAATTATGTTCGTTTTCCACAATGTAACAGTTAATGTAATTCTTGATCGTAATTAATCAGACAACCCAATCATTAATATTTCACATTATTTTTAAGTCGAGCTGCTGTAAGTTATTTAATTACCATTGAAATTCTTGTTTGAATCCAACATCATTCGGAATAAACAATTACCTGTACAAATTGATCAAGAGCAAATTTCAAATCAGCTTTTAATGTTGTTTTTCCAGTCAATGTTAACGATGATGATGGTTTAGTTAAGTTTACATACAAATTCGTATAGAGAGTTAACCATAAGTAGTTGTAATTCGTGTATGAATAAGGGACGTGAATCTTATTTATGCAACACAATTTATGTATTGCGTGCGATGCCTACTCTTTCATTATATTTTAAAGTCTGCACTACTGACGACTTGCTACGCACTCCTGTGTTTGGTTTTGATGCGACTTTGTTTGTGCTAACTAAAAATTCAAGTTATTTTCAGTCACAGAAATTCTGCCAATTTAAATTGTACTTTGAACTGCTAACAATCTATGTTAATTACGAAAACACGACTATTTCATGATGGCGTAAAATTTGTGTTTACAATTAATTTTTGCAAACCATTTTTTCGATAGTGTTGATTCATGCAAGTAATATGTACAACTTTTGCATCTCCTTCTAACGTGTGTTAGACTTTTTTTAATATTCACCTACTATATAAATAATGACCTGACGAATTTTAGATTGACACCCACGCACGCGAGGGCCACAAACATGAGTAAATTTGTAATTACCTGGTTCCTTTACTTATATATGATGTATTTTTCACATGAGAAACATCATATTCGAATGAGTATGACTTTTACGACGACCATGGAAGAGTCTCAATTTTTACTGATTCTTAGTGTATGTATGCTCAGATGATTATTGTATGAGTGTGAATTGTGTAAGTTATTATGATTTTAAACTGATTTGTGTTAATTTTATTACGATACAAAAAGAAAAGTAATTTCGTTCCATGATGTTTGCTGTAACTTACACCCAATGTTCATCGAAAACTACTACATTTCTTTCTCTAATCATCCCATTAGTTGTAAAAACTAACTGTATTATTCGCGAAATGCAACCTATTTAATTCATTGGCAGGGAGAGAACTAATGTTGTTTATTTACATTAGAAATGCTGTGATGGATTCGTGGAAATAAAGAAGTTTAATTTCAATAAAATCTTTACATGTGCCGAGCTTTTCTTCCTGAGACGAGCCTAAAATTGTGTCCATTTCGTATCTGTAGTTACTCTGAAAGGTCCAACCAAAGAGATTGTAATAACTAAAGTTATCATCACTTCAAAGATTTTAATTTCCTTCTGATATTTAGCGAGTCATAACATGGACAAAGTGTCACCGAAACGCGGAGACCTGCCATTAGTTCGCTCGACTCCACATAGTTCAGATAATGTCAAATTACCAACATTTCATGGAGTGGCACTGCAAAACTCTATCACACAGCAGCCTGATCATTTGATTCCAGGACGAAGGTCATTTATGCTAAGTCCACACGTTAGAATGACTCATGTCCAACCAAATAAAATGTTGAAACTACCGAAACTCCAAGCAGCCTCCTCTTCTGCTCAGGAAGAAAAATCGAAAACCAGCACCCAATCCACAAGAAATGGTAGTTGCGAACGAACCTGCACCCTTCCCCCATTAAAATTGACAAAACATGAGCAACTCCGTAAAGAAACTGCATCAAGTAGCACACTGAACAAAAAAGTGAACAGGTTCAATATTGATATTGACAAAAAGTTATCGTCCGTGCATCAGTCTATGCAAAAATTTGAGAAGAAGTATCGCTCCGTTAATGACAGTATAAAAAATGCTGTTCGCCGCTCACTCTCTGACGCTATGAAAAATAAAAGGACTGCCACCACCTTCAAGCCTACCACATCCGGTTGGTTTATACGTATTTTTTCACAAATCTATAAGTATTTTCAACTAGCTAGTAATTCTCGTGTCATGCATTGTCTGATCTCGAGGACGCGAAATGATGTGCTTAAATATCACATTTTTATCACTTTCTTGGATTTTATAGACAACTATCAACACAAGTATCCAACAACAAGCGCTTTCATTGGGTTGAGAAGAACGGAGACGACGGAAGCTAAAGGACGGACGGATGAGACGGTTACTTTCAGTGACAGCATCACACAAAACTTGGGAAAAGAAGATTTCCGACAACCAAATTCAACGACAATAATGGGATCCAAAGACGACTGTGTAAAAAGTTGTACAGGCGACTCTGATCATTTCACGTCATTCGTTGCATTTCAACGTTCCGAACGGGCTGATGGGGCTACTCAACCTGAAAAACTTTACGATGGCGATAAGTCTCCACGAAGTTGGAGTCCAATCATGGAAAATCTAAGTGATAAAGCGTAATAACTCCTTATCGTTAAATACGGGCTTTTATTTGTTTGAGAAACTGGAACAGCAGACCAATATCATGTTATTTTATGTCGGTCCATTTTTTCGGGGGGCAATCATATAGGAAAAATGGGTTGATTGTGATTTTTTTGCAATGGTTGAATTTGATTTGATTTTTTAGGGGTAGAAATTTATGTATACACACATGTAATTCCATTAAAATATGGTTTGCTATAAACCAAAAACTATTTTTATTAATTTAGATTTGACCAGTAAGCCACTCAGGCTTTATCAGAAATATTTTGACCACCATTTTTAGGACATGTATGACCTTTCATTCCAGGTTTTTAACAAAGCTGAAAATAAAGGATGGCAAAGAGAGTCGAAACATGCAAAAAAAGCAAAACCGTGCAGATGCTATGCAGAATCAGCTACAGATTGATAAACGAAAGGCCAACCACCTTGAGGGAACTAATAGTTTGAAACCATTGTATAAACCACGGAAAGAACACCTCCTGAATACCACGGTACATTTACATATGTTATTATACAGACACATGTATGCTCGAGATAATTATTATAACCGCGGAAAGGTCAAACCTCTAACTTTTCTGGCCAAATATATGTAGGACCAACCACACGAACTAATGGGTTTCATGCAGTCCAATGGAGGAACAACAGGGAATTGGAATATCCAAGACCATGTCAAGTTTGTGAAAATTTATAACACTTGGAAGGACGTAAGCCTTGAGATCGCAATTGAAAAGACAATGAAGGAATTGAAACGTACGTAAGCGTACAATTATGTCACTGACAAAAATAATCATTATTGAACAAGATAAGCATGGTTTATCCGTAATAATAGAAAATATACTGCTTATATTTTGGAAATAAATAAATCAGAGCAGTGCTGTGGTACATAAATTTTTATGACGTTTTCAGACAAGAGCGCCCAGGAAGTTCTGTTACATGCTGAATGGTATGGCACGGCCGAGTCGTTGATTGAATCGAACAAGACCAAGGTCCGACAATGGGACGAAGGGAAACGACGAGAGCGAGAATTGATTTATAAAAGGGCAACCCAAGATCAAAAGGCCAAGTTGGAGGATGAGAAGAGGCGAAAGCAACATTTGAAAACTATTCGAGTCGAAGAGCGTCAACGGGCAAGAGAAAGTGCTTCACAGTGGAAGGTGGGCGATTCTCTCGACTATTTCTCACTTTCCCCACCTCCAAAAGAGATTGGGTTTGCTTATAATTATGTAGGTTGGTAATTCATACGTGCGGATATGATGTAGATTGAGAAAGTCAAGACAAATGCAGCAAATACCAGACCCGTGGACATTGACACGAATGAGCTATGTCACCAAGTGTTGACGTTGGCTAAGAATGTTCAGTCATTGCAACATCCATTTCCGAACTCGGGTAGGAAACAGCAACCGCCTCCGTTGCGACACGTCACTTCGTTGAAATCATTATCCAACAAAACTACAAGTTCTTCCGACTTGAACTCAAAAGTCAAGCGTTCGGGAGTAAAGGATGCCCAAGCAACTGTACAACGTATTACATTACCCCCTTTGATAGACAAGAATGACCTGGATGAAACGAAGAGTATTTGGTAATTGCGATTTGTTACATGCATGTATAATTGAGCCTATAAATATGTATAATTGTGCATGTTAATATTTACTGCTTTTAAACATGCATCATCAAAGTAGCAGCATACAAATGCATCATCACACTAATAATTTTGGGGGTGGCGATTGTAAGGATTCACAAATTCCTAACCAAGGGAAAGTTTTACATCGCACGGTACTTTCTTGTATTTTTGGTTCTTGCATTTAGTAGTTGTCGATTTAATCATTTTTATTTAGGGATCTATTTCTAAGCTAAACGAAGAAACGTTTAGTCATAAAATCAGAAAAGAAGCTCAGATAATTAAAAGAATGGAAATTCGCTCATTAAAAGGCCAGACTCCTCACAGGGTTGAAGAAATACAATTGCAAAGTTTGCCAAATTCTATGCATTCGTTGCAGTAAGATTCAATTAATATTATTCACTGACGATTTCCTGAGATTGCTTTTGATTTAAACTGATAAAATTTATTTGTTTGGGTCAGTGCAAAAAAAGCCACTCCCAACTGGAAGAAGATTACGTAAGTAAGTGTGAACTTGTATCATGTATACACATTGTACATACATATAAATATATGAAGTGCTTGACAAAATGTATAGTATATTTGCGGACATGTGTAAGATAGTGAATATATATTTTTGATAGAACGACACCCCTATCCTCAAAATAAAAGCAATATTTAACGACTCTGTGGTTTTAGTATCATATTTCTAATTTTGTTAAACAAGATCCGTTATTGTTAATGGAATATGACAAGAAAGGAAGTTACAGAGACAGTTTATATCCCGTCATCACGTTATTGGACAAGTTACAAGTATGTATAGCAAAGTTAATTCTATATACATAAATATTTCCTTGATTCATACATATGTACATACACACAAATTCAATATGTGCAGCTTTTCCAGAGTTGACTTTTGACTTTGAGCATCAACCGAGTGTTGAAAAAATCTACACGGATAAATCCTACTGTTGAAATAATCAATCATTCTTTCCTTCTCTTTTTGCTTTGACTGTGTGTTACAAATCAGACATTCGCACATTTCAATGATTCGATTGGAAAATCGTCGTCGTCATTTGATTTATTCCATCACTTTGTATTTCTGACGCGTGACCTAAGCCAAGATATATTTGCTCCATAATGCCCATACATGCACTAAATGTGCTATGAATGTGATACTGGTGATTTAAGTTCTCAAGTCAGAGCTGTAAAATATTTTGCCATGATCATTTTGCAATCCACTTACTTTTTTAACTCTTCCCAATCTCCGTCGTAAAAAAAACTAGTCACCTCAGGACTCCTCAGTTCAATGAAACAGTTAAATTGTGCCAATAAATTTGAGTCGTGAGCACCAACATATTACGTATATGCATATCTTGTTTGTATTTCCAATGAAGGAATTTGGTGCTAAACTTTAATGATTTCACTCGTAGTAATTTATATAAATACATATTACTGTCAGTCGTCAGTTCAACCAGCTATTTCTCACATATTTACAGCGGAAATGAAGAGTGAGACGAAATCTGCAACGGCCCAGCTTTCGACAAAGTTTCAGGAATACTTTGTTGGATTATACAACTTTTATTTTTATTTATAATAAATTCCGACACAAAATAGTATCGCATCTTCCTTTTATCAAATTTTCTACCAAATTATGCTTTTTACAATTATAAGTGTCAAAGAAAATAAGATCCTATGACGAAAGGAACAAGGCAAAGGAACATTTTCTCAAATGGGTGTATTAAATAGGCGGATACGTGGTATTTGATCAAGAGTTCCACCGCTGGACCTTCGCTCTTCTCATAATATCAACCTCACAAATAATGTAACCATGTATGAAATCGTTGTTCTTCGGAAGACTTGAGCAGGTCTGGTCTGACTGGCTTTGGAGGTTGCATACTTTTGGTTCAGTCTCACTTGGGAATCCGAGATTTTAGAGAGAGGTTGAGATTGAGACAGGTTTTGGTTTTGGTTGATAGCACGAAACCAAATAGGCACCAACACCAACATTATTCAAGTAAAAGACCAATGCTGCTTCGACCAGGAGCTGCTGCTGGAGTAAGAAATCTGTGTGATATTCATGGCGATTCTTGTATTCTCTGTGCACAGAAAAATCTCACAAGAATCTCTCTGGTTCGTGTAACAACAAAGTCCCAAAAGCAATCTCTTGAGCCGTGACACAGTGTGTACGCTGCAGACAAATCACATCACTACTTGTGCTTTGGGGTTTGCTTTGGTTCGAGGAGTGTAAAACACGAGTTAACATCTCCTTCTGCCTCTGTTATCTGGTAGGCATCACCTCGACAAGATCACCATTCGGTTTAACAAGGATAAGAAATATCGAGCTGTTCGTCCCAATTTTCCATAGCATTCAGGCAAAGAAGAACTCGTACATTGGAGGTGCGAATAGAAAGTAAAAGTGTAATTAGTCCCTCTCGTAATGTGAGATAGTTAAGTGACGTGCTTTCTCTTCACGAAAAAAGTTACATGTTTCAACTTACCCCCTGCATCTTGCACATTAAATGTCATTGAATCATGGCGAAAACTTGAGACAACGTACTTTGAGTTGAACAGAGACATTTGGTGTAAAATAGTTTTAAACACTCATAAAAATAAGAAATAAAAAAATAATGGTTCAGAATATGCAGTGAGTGGTGCATAAAAATGTCTTGAGTGAAGATGACTTGAAAATATTTCAATTTTTCCAAGATATGGTGAGACACAAATGGTCAAGGTAGGACAACTTTACACATTGTACATATGCGCATTCGTTCAATAAGTCTGCATTTTTGCAGAAAATTAATTAATTAACTTGTTGCCCTTTCTTATGAGTCAAATCTAATGACAGCTCCATTGAGCAACTCTTTTGTAGCTTTCTTTTGTCAAATGTTGCCATTATAACCCTTCACAACTTTTTCACTATGGGTATTTATTAAATGAAGTCATTAATTATTTTGCATGTCAGCCCGACTTCTCCCTACTCGACTTGCAATATTGTAATGACTTTGGTTGCAATCCGCTTTATTCTGCCATTAACCGATTGCACTAAGGAGCTTGGTATGTACTGGTAGAATATGCATGCATGCATATCTGAGCGAAAAGTTTGCATCAAAGAAGGTGGATTGGATTAGCTTCATTCATGAGTCAAGTATTTAAGCTTATTCACGGTACAATGAACATGTAATGACTTTTGAATGCTAATTCTTGATGTGAATCATTAAATAAACCCAATAAGTACGTACGTACAGACACACTTCCAAGTTCGAACGGGCCACTCATTTTAAGTAGTTTGTCTGCAATTTGACTCCAGTCACTTTTGGTGTGGGCTATTTATTTTTGTGTTCTCCATGCAACAACATCATTCGAATGCTGATAGAAAATAGAATAGTGTTGTCGATCATCCAATCTCATCGCTCGATTTGACCTGAGGAATGAGCATTTGTGTGAAGTTGATTGACGCTTAGTGTGTAGTCGTAGTGGTGTTAGAGCTGAAAATGGAAAATTGAATGAACTCCTTGTTCTCAGACAAGCACACCCACATTTATGCTGAATCATAGAAAATTCGTATGTATGCTGTGCAGTATAATCGATTATTTTTGTCCAATTTTTACATAATCATGTATATCGTCGTATGTGTAGTCTCATACCACAGTGGGAAACATCCATGCATATCTACTTATGCATTTTCATATTGCCATTAACAAAATAATACAAAATTAAATATGCTCTTCTCCTGAATGAGATGTTAGCTTTATCTTTTAGGAGGATTACTTTTCGGGGTCTATCAAATCAAGAAGCCGTTGATTACATAACACCTTCAACGAGACGATTATATTAATATCTTTGTAACATTGTCGGCGACACGATATAACTATACGCATGTAGTTTACATTTAGTGCATATGTACGTACGTACACTTGTGGAAGCATACGAATGTAGATAACAAATAAACTGGGCTTTAGCGATTTCTAGTTTCTACTAACTAGATAATTTTCAAATCAGATATTGCATTTTAAATACTTTCCTTTATATCTTCAGAAGTTTATTGTATGTACACATAGTGAACGGTGGTTACACTGTCAATGCGTATGGACAAATGTACATACGTCAAGGACATGTGAATTTGAACTTTCTGTCTCGTAGCTCTTAACCTCTGTCACATTGCAGAAAAAATCATCAAGAGATTTGAGCATTTACTTTATCAATTAGAGTGCTTTGACGCCTAATGAACTAAAACTCATTAGCACAAAAGTAAATGGTTACGAGGAAAATATGGTATACATTTGTAATGATCTTACCAGTAGTAGACATGTATACAACTTGAAATAGTGCCGCATACTTATAAAAATAAGTATATTTCCATAAGTATGACATAAAATTGAGTGAGACTGTAAAACTGTTAGACATATATACGTATGTACGTATAAGAGATCTAGTTTAACGATATATGGCTTTGATTATAAAACTTGTCATACGTTATTTTCATTTACTCATGAATCTAGCCTGGAATGCCTTCTATCTAAATTTGTCGACAACAGTTCTTGACTGGTTTCAGCTAAAATATTTATGTATCTCTGTTGTTTGCAACCGGCTTTTAACTTTTTTATTTTTTCACGAGACCATAAATTAGATGGGTGAGGACTGCCGACAGATTCGATTGGTTGCAAATTCCAATTTTGAATTACTTATTGCCTTCTTCAGCCTGCTGTGAGAAACCTTCCATGAAAGTCAATAGACGGAGAAACACCATCTTCTGCCACCACTTTTATTGTGTTGAATTTTGCACATTTACTAAGTAGAAAGGGATATGCACTGACTATAGCTCGTTTACCTAAGTGTGGATTAACATTAACCGGAGATGGCATCAAACCCTGTTTTTTTATGTACCAGTAAATATATTGAATATCGTTCTTATCTCCATCAACGTATTAGCGCCTTGTCGAACTTGCATAACCTTTTAATATGCCGTAAGAAATAACATACCTTAAATTGTTAACATTTAACGACTCAGACTCACTCAGAATGAGAAAATTGGGTGGTGTTCATTTATCTCTCAGCATGAATTTCGCTCAACATGTTCATGGACTTGTAGAGTGTGTTTCATTAGCTTCAACATTTTTTGCAACTTTACCAACCTGGATCTTCCCAAAATGAAGTGAGTTTGATTGAGCCACCGAAATTTGGTATTTCCTCCTCGGGTAAACAAGAAAGCGGGTGAGTTGCTGCAACCGACGACCTCCTCCATGTTTAGCACGAGCTCGTAAAATGCTCCAGATTTCGGAATTTTGCTTCTTACCCGTGGGTTATACTGACCCTGGTTTTTTACGTAAACAAGTTTGTGACATTTAGGGATTGAGTCATTGCTTTTTTTCTTTCGTGCGAGCCAGGGGATGTATTGCGGTATATTTCAGACTCTCCAGTTTTACGAGTACTTAACTATGTGTTTATGTATCGGACCTTGCTGATTTGACACACAGTAGTGGCTCGGCTCGGCTTTTTAGACAACGTTGAGCAGAATGGAGTACGTTTTTGCCCATGTAGCTTGCAAACCTTCTCCAATTAGGTCAAAGACATAATTTCAGGAAGATGAAACTTTATCCACGCACTGGTTACGTGACTGCAGGCTTATTTACGTATTGAAATTGGTTCACCTTATCGTCTTATTTTGGATTCGCGGAAGTCTGGATCAACTAAAATAAATAATTCCTTCATTTTAGCAATTCCCTCTCCTTTAAATGTAATGCAGAGAAGTGCTAGCAGTGTGGAATATGTAATTGACGTAAAGTAATTAATAATAATCCATACCTATATTCTAAGAAATGGCGAGACAGCTAATTTTAGAATAAAAATGTACCCAAAAAATTATAAATACCAGAATTCTAAACCATAAAAAACAACGGTTGCAAAAATGGCATATCGTCCGTAATGTCATGTTGACATTCACATTTAATGTCAAATATTATATAATGTGTACACTGCACACTACACATGCATATGGCCTTTATTCCATATCTGCTATGAATCTCTCACTCTTAAAAAACAGTCATCACATCGTTGTTTAAATTTCGTTATTTAAAGCTTCCGTGCAATTGAACAGGAATTGTAATTGCGCAATGTGTTTAACTGGTTTGAATGAATTGTGCCTTCCGGTCGTTCATATCTCATCAATGACTATTTAAAAACCTCAAAACAATCAGATAAATGTTACAGCTTCATTACTGCAGATACAGAACCGGATATTTTGTTGAAATAGAGATGTGTTCAGCCTCTCTTTCTTTATTATGTTTCGGTTGTTGCGGGTTTAATAGTGTCAAACATTTTGGACGAAATTGGTTGCTGCGTGAAAGTGAAATGCACGGAGAGATCTATGTAAATGATTTGCAGAGTTGTTTTCTCTTCGTGTGAATGGAATTGGTGATCATTTGGCGCACGTCCAGCTTTTTGAGTTAAGATGCACGATGATTTCACATTTGGTACACGATTTTACTTAAACGGTGCTAAATGAATGGTTATGGAAGCTCCCAGGCTACCCTAAGATGATCATTTTTAACTTTCGGCACACGAACAACGCCCCTTAAATCAAAAATCTGTAATTGACTCGTATCATTTTTCGATTAACAACAACCAATATGTTTTCATGTCGAGTTTTCCAAGATTCAAATTTTGTGCTTCTTTGTGAGATATCCTGTACAAAATTCAGTTACGCATTCCTCACGAATTTTATTATTTTTTATATTAAACGTGAGCTTATTTTTATCGCTCATATAAATTGTAGATTTTGTAATTTGTAACAAGGTTGAAGCATCGTTTCCGTATAAGTAGATCTTGTCTGATTAGCAAATGGATGAGATTATCCCGTACAAGAAACAAGTATAACTTGGGAGAATATAAATTAAAAAACCCATCAAAAAGATAGAGCACATTATATCGAATTACATTAATGATGTTTATCTTTTGTACCAGAATATTAAACTGTAATTCTAGGTAAGATTTCTTACACGTATTTATTCAACTCATAATAAAGGGTTAAAGCATACTTATACGAAAATGGGATTGTGAAACGTGCTCTATATCGACAATTACACATGCATTTGGAACACCATCAAAATATTTGAGCTTATGTTTCAGATCATACCCAAGTGAACGCAGAGTAATCAGATCCACATCGACTACGCACATGTTTCTGTTTTACTATTATTTAAGCCATTCAACTTGATCTCAGTTTTTGTTTCATTGTTCCAGCGGTGGCTCCTGTACTTCCTATTGAGACAGAACGTGATGCAGAATATGTACTGGCTTGCATGACACCAAATTTAACCAGCATTGTAAATTAGAAACTTGTGTGGTTGTAAGTTAACTGATTGAATCCTTATGTAAAAAAAACATTTTGGTCAAGTTGGGAAAGAGGAAAATCGTCTTCAGTAAGTCTTAAAAATATTTTCCTATAAACGACAAGGTTTAAGTTTAGGTTTGTTCCAGTTTATTTATGTTTTAATAAAATGTGCTGTTTATTGATTTTATTCTATGGAGCTATAATACAAAAGGTCTCTGATTATGCAATTCTGTCTTTTGCGTACACATTATATTCCTTTTAATGAACAATGTCCCTGATCTTTTCTCTGACCTTCACAACATTTTCCGTTTTGGCTAAAACTTGCAGCACACCAAAGAAATTGCAAGATATTCGTGCCTAGTCCTGTAAGCACAGTGGGCTAATTTTACTACGTATAAATTAGTTTAAAACCATTACTAAATAAGCAAGTTCAACGACAAGACAAGGCCAAGGAAATAATTTCAAGTGGAGACAGAATTGATCGTTCTCAACCTCAATTCCTGAGCGGTATCTGTTACTGCGAAACTTTGTGTTTTGCTCTCGTCTTCAAACTTGATTTTATATTTGACATCACCAAAATAATTCAACATGTACATAGGATTTTCATGTCGATGCGAAATTGTAAAGTAAATCTCGAGTTTCAAAGCTTTCAGTAGAAGTGACAATAATATGCATAGCCAGCTCATCAAATATCTGGCCATTCATGTGGCAAATAAATGACCGGTTTAATTTATTTATGAGTCCGTGGCTCTAATAATAATTATTTTCTGGTGACAACATACATGGACAAAAAAGACCCAACTAAATTATCGTCTTTTTTTTTACTTCCACTATACAACAAGTCTTGTCTATTATTTAACATTTTTTATTTCATGTTCAACTGCGAAATTGGATACAATTTCTACTTTCTCTCTGACAGAGTGTGAATTTCGTATTGCAGTTCCGAGTCTACATCATGGTCTTTTTGCTGGAATGTAATTCTGAGCGTGGCCAGTTGCATGATGATGAAACAAAATGTATTTAGTGTCTTCCTTAATTCTGTGATGTATGAGATGATGACAAGCTCAAGTGCAAAAAGAGCTTTTAAAAGAAATCAAGAACACTTTGACTTTGGAACTGGTGAAGCACGGACGGACGGACGGACGGAAACTCAATGCGCTACTCATCCACCAAAGTCAACTAATCTGAGCTACATACAGATGTACAAACGTATCCGCCGATCGTGCACAGCCAGCACAAGAATCTATGTAAAACTCACGCAAGAGTGTCTGTGGCAAAAAAGTCGTTTATAGCTTTTCCTGAGAGTTCCGTTCCCAGTTTGCCCTTTTTATTTCCCAGTCCATTAGCTAGGTCACTTGCAGAGATGCAAAAGTCGCATCATGGATCATTCGCTCGCTCTTTTTGAAGTCTATTTCATTACTTGCGTGCAGTGTCTGCGGGCGTGTTTGTTTATGAGTGATTACGATGTAACGATTACTTTTAATGAAAATCCCAATCTCTTGCATGCAGACCACCATTAATTAGATATCAGTTTCCTATCAGATCGACCTTAATTTACAAATGCTATAAATAAAATGACTCTTTCCGCTTCATGCAAGAAAGAGATTACATAGTGTCGAGTATGTAAGATTTATCGTGTAGGGCCTGATTCATAATTGTGGAACTTGATACATTTCTGTAATGTCATAAATATTCTTAGCCAATTTTATTTAAAATGCCTGGACATGTTTAGTTAAGAACTTTTTTCTGGTCTGTCGGGAGCTTCAGGAACGATTAGAGCTAATTCCATAAAATCATAAAGTCGCAATGCGAATCTCATTTATTTATGTGCATGTCATGAACATACTAAATCTGCTATCTGCTTGCTTCAAGGTGTGCTCTACATATTCGGCTTAATTGTATTTTATAAAGTCTTCCCTTCTAAATATAGTTATAGTTTAAGTTGTGGTGTGAAAATTATGAAAGAGCGAATCTTGATGAGCTAAGAAAATTCAGAGCTTTGTTTGTATTACATTTCTGGCACATTTAGTAGTTCTTCTTAGTCTGCAGAGTTTAAAATTATTCTGAAATATGCAATAAGGAATCCTGTGTATACGGTTTTTGCATAATTTTCACCCAGTTCCCTACTAACTATTCAACTGTGTTTCAAGTAGTTGCAATGTAAATGATATTATGTTGCGCTACATTACTCGAATCGATCGGTATGCAAATGTCAGGTAATCATTGCCTATTGTACTAATTGCAGATTAAGCGCTGTGGGTCTGTCTCTGCTGGTGATCTTTGCCTGCTGGGCTGACTCGAAGACCACAAGCAGCAAGAAAGAGGTAAAAATATACTGTCACCATGCATGATATTATTTATTCATTCGTTGTCAAAGTATGTCTTGGTTTGTTAAAATCCTGGTCCTGTGATATAGATATTTGCGCACCTTGTCCCTACAAAGACTTTTATCTCATATTGCATTAGGGCTTTAACTTGTAAATTCTGGAATAATAATTATCTCACACCATCTGAACGATAATTTTGATTTAATATTGCATTAAATAAAACTAGACTTTGGTTGTGGTCATAACTTACGAAGTTTAGCATACAATTTGCCAAAAACATGAAAAAGGACGAGCTGACTTTTCATATAAGTTATTAGCAATGGATACAAAAGTCGTCTTTCGTTGTTCGTCCAAAGATTTCATCGGGCACTTAGCATTACAAAGAGTTTGATTACACTTTAGCTCTCGTTAGTCAATAATCTACGGCTTTGCTCATTACCAGACAAGAAATAAATTGAACAAAGAGATATTGATGCACATAAAATTAGTGAACCCAAATCACGAAGGGAAAGGCCTGACTACGTGTATGTACCTTCATTCACACCGCATATGCACTATTATACATTACACATTACACGTTCTCGTCCAGTGCCAGGCGTCCACGTTTGCAGAGGTGTGGCAGTCGTTGGTAGAAGCCTTTGCTTTGGATAAATTTTGAAAAACAATAACCGATATTTCATATTGAGGAAATGATGTGACAGAACAAAAGACAGCTTTGTTGCACTTTATGTACAACAAAATTGCAGTTCATCTTGCCGTATCCTTGCTTGATTTAAGTAGTAGTCAACACCAGTAAATTCCTCCCAGCCATGCCTGTTGTGAATGCATGCAGACAGACATACGTTCACTTTAAGTACGTCTTCCGTTGTTGCAAAAAGAATTCAAATCGATATGCAAAGAAATAAACGCGGAACTGAAATCCTGCCACACAGCATTTTGTTTAATATCTGAAGCGTCATCCAGTTGATTTACACTGGCTAAAGTGGAATCGTTAAGCTATTCACATATGTGGACAACCACCTGTCAAATCTCTGCTTTTTTACACTTGAACTTGATCTTAAGAGTCTTTGATGTCAGTTAACAATATTGCCTGCGGATTTATTAGGGAGACGACTTTTAGATCATTTTCTTGAAGTTTATGACAACAGCTAGAAAAATTGTAGTCGAGCATTTTGAAAGGTTACTGTACAAAAAAGAAAACGTAATTGACGAATTGATTAGTGATTGTGTTTCCTAACAAATTCATGAAAATGATTCTTTATACGTATTCACATTTATTTGCAAACTTCTGCCTCGTCCTCTAAAACTAGTTTTTTGTTTGGATTATAATAATTATTGGAGCAAGTTGTAAAATTTAGATTGAAAAATTTTAATATATATATAACGAAGCTATTGAAATCCAAATTATGCAAACCAGATAGTTGATTAACAATTTGACAGAATTTGTCTCGTTAAATCTTGGACTTGTAATTGAGGGCTAGGAGCAGATCTGCAAAGTAATCTGCGTGATAACTCGATTGGTTAACAAACAGGACAATAATTTTGCCATCAATCTTTCCTGCTTAGTGAAACAATGAGGTCGTACTTTTAATGAGGCCTTATCTCAACGCCTAATCACATGCGGATTAAGAGTTGAGTTTTCAAGAGGTTGCCATTTCTATACTGGACATATCAATATAAAAGCAATAATTCTACGACCAGGAATGTTGGCGATGACATTGCATCACATACTCACCTTATTAAATACTATACGTAATCAATAAACATTTACCTTTTGACGATTATTTACCCTTCGAAACTCCAATTCCTTAAAAATAATTTATGCTGAAGCTCTTGGATGTTCACCTTCTGACTCGCTGACTTTTACCGCAAATTATGACTAGGATTCTGAAGCATTAATTCACAGCCAATTGTAAATTTATTTCAGCTAAAAATTCGCAATAAGCGTGAGGGAACTTGGACCGTTTGGACGAGTTGGAGCCCTTGCTCTCGAACTTGCGGAGGTGGAATTCGTACACAGACTCGTCAATGTCAAATCAGGTATACAAACTGTTACAAATAAGTAATAATAAGGCGTACCAATTTGTTACGCCGTCAGTTGGACCAGAATGAAAATTTGTCCTGTGATGTCTACAAAAAATGAATTTAAGTTAGTTTTATTATTGTGCTAATACATATGTATATCTTGTAGTTCAATAACTACTAATTCTTATACTACTCTGTAGTATAGCAATTGTAATCTTTTCAGCGGTTGTATCTGAGTTATTAATATATTTAATATGCTGTTTCATGTTCAATGTATTGAGTTGAAAATGTATGTATATGATAATTAGAGTTGAATTTCATTGTTTACCAATTATTAAAGTAGCCTATAAAAAGGTAGTTTTGTAAATGAAATAATTTGAATTAACGTCAAAAGTACCAGGAATAGCCATATAGTAAGAACACTTATCCATAGTTAGTAGTAAGTACCCAACTAACTACTTTATATACACTACATGCTTGTCACACCACAAATTAACTTGGGGAAAAGGTACAATTAGTGTGTTGAAGTGAAGGAGGCCACCTCACAGATAAAGTTGGATAACGAGAACCTCCCATATTTCTCCAAATTGTGAATTTTCGAAAAAATGTAATCGTGATGAAGTGTAACATGGACATCATCCGGTTAAATTAAGAGTGTGGTTTTCACTGTCTCAAATCTAATTTTGTGGATGCTGACGTGGGCTGTGTAATTTTAACTAAATCGCAAGAATTTGATATTTGAATAATATTCTCCTTACATTTTGGATTAGGTTTTATAACTTGGAGAGGACTGCATAATACAAACTAGTTGATCCTGTTTAATTGAGATAATTTTATATTCTGCATGAATTACTGAATCTGCAAACGAAAATCCATGAAAATGTATCATATACTCAATTTGCCGATGTAGGTAAAGTTATTACAGTGAAAATTCCACCTGCATTGAAATTAATGTTCAACGTTGTGAGTAACTGACATTCTTCCAACTTTGAGTAAAACCACCTCCACCGGGCATAATAAAATCTAAATTGCCCATGATTTGGATATTTTTAATGCATTTTAAGAATTAAACAAGAAACCAGATTTTCCGTGAACTAAGCATTACTAGACTAAACATTTTTTATACATTGCTCATCGAATTTTAAGACTATAAACTATATTAAAATACTCAAGTTACTCTTTATGCCTAATTCTAAATGGCATGTGTGTTGTTGATAATTCGTAGACAATTGTGTGGCCTACAATCCAATTCTCAAGTCTAATTCTCATCATACCTGAGTTACTTTTACAGCCAACTCGTGCATTACAAGGCATGAAATAATTGGATTCCTTTATGCAGAGTCAGTTCCAGACTGATTCCATAATCTTATTACATTCACGATCCTCTAATGGACAGATTTTATTGTAGGAAAAATAATATAATAATAAGTTGATTATGCAATTCTGTGTCTGTGTAGAAGAGAACGATCGAAATCCAAGGAAGTCGGAGATGACCCGAGAAACTACAAAAACGTTTCTATTCGTCATTGTGCAGGACATGCGAGCCGGCATCATATTTGTAATGTTGACGTAAGTTTGTTCTCATACAAATCTTCTGGATAATGTTTTTTAGCAATAATTAACATAACTATTGCATATTCATAACCTTTGTCAGTTGCCTTTAGTTGCACAATATTTCCAGCGTTATGTTCTTGCCTCCTCGTGCGGAATCGTGTTCCAAATAGATCGAGCCTCATCTTGCCACGATTAACATAACAACACCAAATACTTACATAATATGCAATGCAACTTTGATATTGCATATTTTTGCGGTTGCACAAAGAACTACATATGCAAATTTTTGGGTTGCAATTAATTATACTTATTTATGATAATCAAGACTAAATTTTAGGAAATTTTAGAAATTAAGTTCATTATTCCAGAGATAAATAAATTGTCAAACTGGGTGTGCAAATGATATGTGAATAAATATTCAATCCAATTTTCTGTTGGAAACAGACTGTGACTAACTTTATGGAAATTGAGCTCTATGACTAAATTTTTGTCGGTCAATTAAATTCAAAGCTTTTTAGAGGGAGACCAACTTTCGCTCAAGTGCATCTTATTTGGTGGCAGTATTCCAAAATCATTTGCGATATAGCTCCAATCCATTTACTTCACAGTGCTCCGAGTGCTGAAGTAAATGCCAGGAATACGTAAGAAGTGAAGTAGAAGGCAGGCCGAGACTTGAACTTTAATCTCATTTTGGTGCAAATGACTTTCACGAAATGCATCCAACTCCTCCTCATCGGGTATCGCACCACAAAGCCGAGGTTCATTAATAGCCCTGTAATTTGCCATTTCCTTTCTTCTAATTCAAATGCAGGCTGCACTAATAATAACTTGCATCCAGCACTTTATACCATGCGATCCAATGGTTTATTGCAGACTTTGTCAGGCTGTGCTGCTTATTTGTAGTAATACGTAATATTCCGTCGTAAATTTATTCATCCTCCTCCTTCTCCTTTACATGACGCAGGAATGCCCTGGAGGGAGCACGGATTTTCGGGAGTCGCAGTGCAAGGTAATTTTCAAAAGTTTTCGGTTTGGTTTAGTTTATTACAAATAAGTAATTATAAAGTGAATTAACACCATGTCTGCCACTACACAATACAAACTGGTGTATTTTAATCTCCGAATGTTGGGAGAACCAATTCGCATGTTGCTCAATTACTTGCAAATCCAATTTGAAGATGTGAGAATTGACCCTGCATATGGGCTTGTGCCTTATGGCTTGTGGAGCCGATATAAAAAAAATAAATCATTATTACTCTCAATCTACCCCGCTTTCCTGTTTTCCCACTTCATGCAAACTCCGCATTTTCATCTTCTCTCAATCACATTGTTGGAGTTTCTTATTTTATCTCTCCACATTAAAATATAAACTTAGTTTCATAATCAGTTTTAACTATGGATAAATTCGTGATTCGGCTAAGCGCCACCCCCTTGACCTCGACCTGTACAAGCAGCACCGTTGACTCTCCTCCTCCCTCGCCAGCAGAACAACCCCCCGTGAAGAAAGCAAAACCTTCCGTCAAGGTCACCCCACCACAACGGGAAACTTCGGTTGATTGGAGAAGCAGGGTCAAGTTCAGAAGCAAGTTCACCCATTTCGATCATGGCTGGGATGAGGATATTTTTAAAGATTTTATTGTTATGATGACGGGAAAAGAGATTGTTGTAAAGAAAGATATGCTCAAAACTGTTCCGAAGGAGGTGGATTTTATGGTTCCGATATTTAAGACTGTAGGGGCTGGGGAGAAGAAGCGACAGGTTTTAGATACCGATAAGATGAAAAAGGAGGGTGTTGAGAAGAAGGTTTACGAAAAACTTGTTATTAATTGGACTTAAGAGCACTTGTTAAACTATGTGATGTTCAACTATTATATTAATAAATGAATTTGTTGGTGGATGTTATCTGAATTGGATTTTAGATTTGTTTTTTATGATTCAATTATTTGGCTTAATGAGAGAGATGTACATAAAGTTAATTTTTCAATTTCGACAGGCTTTTGACAACCGGGCGTACATGGGGAAAGTCTACAGTTGGGAAGCCTTCATCGATGGTACGTATTTTCGGTGTAGGAGCTCATGCTCAACTTGACCAACCGTGACAACCGTTGTTCTTTTCCATCCTGAAGCAGCCAGCCAACCTGTCCGCCTGACTTTTACGTCGGGCTTATTGCTGCTGAAACATTTCATATTCTTTTGTTGAATCACTAGCTGATTTTTATCAATGTCAAATTCCACGACAGCATTTCCGTGATCTTTTCCCATCCTTGCTCAAGTATAGGTATGTACATATGAGGCAAATACATATGTGCATATACCTGTTCTTCTCTTGTCCCCTGATGAACTTGATTCAGCATCTTTTGAGTCAACAAAAGCTGCACCTCGTGAACAAAAGCCCTGTCATATCGTTTACGCCTTATGTCTTATTATATAACTCGTAATATGTAATGGTTTTATATGATTTTACAGAAAGAGCACCCTGTTCTTTGACTTGTAGAGCATCAGGATTTAGGTATGTTTTTCTACTTTCTCTATTTTTAGTCTCAACTTTCCCCTTGCATATTTTTTATGTACAAATTCGTCAGAACTAGTACATATAAACTTTACGCTTAATTTATTTTCTAATCTGGTAATTAAGGAACAAGTACAAATTTAAATTTAAACCAACCAAATTTATTGTTTTTAAAGATTTTTCGCCACGTTAAACAAGAGTGTGATTGATGGAACCTCATGCGACTCTAACCCGTTTGCTACTAAAAGATGTATTTCCGGTATATGCATGGTAAGATCAATTCGATGTTCATATATAAATCTCATAAAAACAAGACTACATTTCAGGTCAATATGACCTGAAATGCGCAATGCACTTTCATGTACATATGTGAATGTGCATGCATAAAATTATAATTTTTTTTGTGGAAGTTTGGTTGATTTATTAAAGTCATCTCTCTATTTGGCTCCCTAGGTCAGTAATTGTAATAATTAGTATGTAATAGGCTTGGAGCAACAAAGTTCAAGCCCAACTTAAGCTAATAGCACGCCATAAGGATCTGAACTTGACTTGTTTGTCAGTTACTCCAACCAAATGTCATAAATAGCCAGGCAAACAGGGTGCATTTACTGAAAGTTATTGATATTTCCCCTCCTCCCCAACCGTGCCGTCGGATATTAGTTAGAGCCCTTTTAACTTGATTCAACTCTGGCTGCGGTGACTACAAATACTCACTCGTTGTTGGAATTGAAACGGATATGCAGAGAACACCAGCAACCAACTCAAAGGATTGTAACATGACAGCTTTATTGTAATCTGCGACTACCAACGTGTAAAAACAAAGTTTGTTAACAGGACGACCCATTCCCCTCGAGGTTCCTGCCTCTTTTACAGAAACTAACTCTGTTCTTACTGCACGCCATAATTCGGTTGGTCTTTTTGTCCTCCAACTCTACATATAAAATCCTCAAACTCGAGAAACTGTTTCACCCAAAGTCTCATTTCCACAAAAACAGGTATTCGCTTGCGTAGTGACTTTCCTCGGTTTTCTTCCTTGACCCCGAGAAATACGACGACATTAATAAATAATATTATGATTACAGACTTTGTCCTTGTTGGCCAATGTCCAGTTTCACCCATTTATGATTAGTCATCAAGAATGTGGGCGATCGTATTACACATTACGCATTTATATATGCACGTAGCAAGGGAGTAAAAAACCAAGCGTCATGAAATCGTAGTAACTATGTCCATACGGTTATTCCATAAAGAATAATATGCGTGCATGACCATGCCCATTAAGAAACGGAAGCCGAACCACATTGTTAATAAGCAAAACAAACTGTCGGCTTAATTATACTTGTAAAACAACTTCGGAAACTTGTCACGTTTTTATGTGAGTCATACTTAATTAACATGTCCATTGGTTCAGTTTATGGAATTACCTGCCGGGCGAGATATTTTTAATGGAAAGAGAGAAATTATTATATACTTAAATAAATAATTAATGTGCACATAGTAAAATTAAAACAAATGTTATGGACAATTCCCCCCGTGAACAGACTCCTAAAAGAAAAGTGCCGATTGGCGTGATTCCGTTCTTTGTAGCACGTCCGACCCAGGCTCATAGTCTTAAAATGTTATCAAAATGCCACTCACCGCACTCGCCACCATCAATATCGTATCAATTCATTCGCATAGAAAGCAACGTCCCAAATTGGAGCTTATTATCAAAAGCAGCGTTTTATTGCCTGCACAAGTAATGCATACGACCCTATTCTGCATGCATATTATTATGGTACATAGTACGTATTTTATGCAATATTCGATAAAGTCTCAACCCTCCTTAGTCTCAACATTTTATGAAGATTTCTCGAGTAGCGAGAGAGTCGAGCGTGCCATCTTTCTGCAAAGAACGGATGAAAAGGAAAGTGAGGATTTCTTCACTTCAGACGGTTTGCATAAGATTGCACAGTGCAATCCGTGCCGACTTTGTGAGTTGCTTGGTAGCTATTTCACCCAGGGATCCGTCTCAAGTTTAATAAAAAGGAGCATCAGGCAGTACGATGGGCGATTGAATCACTAAATGCACAGGCATCACTTGCCTGGTCCAATAACACTTTCAGTTTTAACCTCAGATCCATTCAGAGACCGGAGGGAAAAGGTGGGATGTTGCTCGTTATTCATGGCATTGTTTTTTTATGATTTTTTATGTGAAAAATTTGAATAAATGCAATGTACAAATAACACTAGGACGTATTAATGAGCTATAAATCTTTTAATTTTTCCACCCAGTAGTCTTTTTCACTGCATTTATTAGTTAAAATAAAAGCAGTTGAATTTTCACGTGGAGAATTAACTTGAAGAAGCAAAAAATTGCACCGATGAATAGAACCTTCCACGAGATAGGTATTTTAATCCACGAGCTGACACACAATACATGTGTAAAGGAAAACTGCTTTTGAGATTATGAGATTTTTAACCTGTAGCATAGAGAATATTCGATGCAGGTGTATGTTGTGTATTTATTTGTTGGTGTTACTGTGAGTCACACTACCCCCGACTTTTGCTTCTGGTAACATTACATAAGAAAAGGAAACCCAATGTACATACGTGCAACAGCCGAATCTCGACAAAAGCCATGTGGGTTTTATCAGTGTCACGTAATATGCAGCAGAACGAAATGTCGGATTGAATGGTAAAAGAAACGCATCTTGCCATCATCCATCCAATGAACTAACAACCTAACCGATCCACATTACATCTGGAAAAAACGGTGACTAACTAAATGGCAGAGTGTAGCAGAAGTGTCTTTCACCAGTATTTTATCAGTCTAAATATGTATGATACAGCTTTCTAAATGTTAAAAAAGTCTGCAACTTTGAGCTTGCTCCAATAGGTTTTTGCAAATTTTATTTTCAAAGTTGATGTTTTGGTAAGTCGAGACGAGGAATGGATACGCGGAGGAAATCGTTCCAAGATAATATTCATGATTAATTATTTTGGATGACGGAGAACGTGTTGAGAAACTTGTGCAATTTGGCCAATGTAAACTACCGGAATGTCTAAATGGAAGACAGAATTGGATTAGCTGAAAACAATAGAGTGCAGAAAAGAGTACAAATTATTTATTGCAAAACAGTACGAATTTAAAGTGATTGAGCCAGAGCCTGGCCATAACCTATATCACCGTGCAATTTCACAATGACATAAAGGAAGTACAAATCATTCTGCCACTTCAACAAGTGCAAAAGTTTATGTGCATTCATTTAAATTCTTGGCCAGGATTCAGCTTGCCATTTCTTTTACAGTAATGTAATGTCGAGTTGAGACAAATACAGTATACATAATGGGAAAATAAATTAACCAGACATTAGAAAGTAGCGACAGTCCTCTTATCAGTGACATTAATAATTACATGTCCCGAGTACTAAATAAGTACTTATATTTTGTAGATTTTCTTCAAACATTCCCAGTTTATAACATGGCTTATTATTTAAAATGTAGTGACTTCTGACCCATTACTTATGTGTATGCCTAAAGGATGAGTAGTGGAAACGGACAGATGGACAAAATGTTCGCATAAATGTTCGCATAGCTGCGGCTACTTAATAAATCGGTTCTAAAAGTTTTGCACAAAGATCCAATCCATTCTGACAGCAAAATGTACTTTATCTAAGCTAATTCTACGACTTTGAAGCGCTATGAATGTGCTGAGGTTAAGCAAACACAAGGAGGAACAAAACAAGAGAAATTCATACAAATAGATAGTTGTACACAGTCGCATATTTGTAATGCTGTCTGATCGTTGTCGATCTTGTAATTTTCTTCGAAACAAACCATTTAGTTCAAAATAGTCCAGTTCACAGAAAATCGACGATTTATTTTTGGCAGTATTCCCAATGTAATTTTTTGAATTTTGTATAAAATCCAGCTTCCTAAATATGTAGGTAACGGAAAGAGTCACTAGTTACAGGCAACATCACATCACATCATACTCATATATTCGGGTAATCTTAAGCATGTGCATTGCATAGGATTAGCATACATACTACGCTCATCTTTTTTTAGTAAAATTTTGGTATGAATGTTGATATGAAATGTTCATGTAAGGGAATTTTCGGTCTTGATCCCCATATTTGAGACATGTTTTGAAGATTCAACCAAGCATTACCGTGTCGACAGCAAAAGTGCATTTCACTTGTCCCAGGGCGATTTTAGTTTTAAAAACTTGAGACGTTCATGTAATTAATACGGAATGTCAGTTTAAAGTCCAAAACTAGAAACGTTGTTGAACTCAACATTCTATTTTAAGAATTTTTTTCATTTTAAGTAAAAGTGGTTCAAAATTGGCTATGGGCGACTTGCTCTGAAGATGCAACTTCTCACCCACACAGATAAATCCACATACATACTCACACATACTTGTATTTATTAAGAATATCATTAGTATTTAGATTTAAATCCATTACATAATAACTTATTAAATTGATTTTATGCCCAATTTAGTAAATTTATAGAGAACTACAAGCTCACAAATGCATTTGCACGTACATACATATTTGCTTATTAAAAGTGAAATTCTTCTAGTGTGGTATAGATTTCTTTAAAGTGTTGAAAAACGCCCCTATGAAAAACCCCTCAGCGATAAATATTTTTTTCTAGCCGAGTATAACCAATTAGTTACAATTACGAAGGAAAACGCAGCACACACACAACTTGATTGGTATATATGCACCAGGCTATTACGATAAATTCCATTTGAGGTTTAAATCTTGAAATGTCCAATAGATTCAATTCCAAACTGATAAAATCCACGCCTGCTGTGTTATTAGGTGGTCCAGTAATAAATGCATTCTACATAAATCCAGATCAGGCAGATTTAAGAGATAGCTCCAGAAGAAAATGAGGAGGAAGACTGAATAATCCTTAAGTACCCGCATTTTTTTGGGAAGACGGATGGATGCCAAATGAGAATGCATGAATATTTCGCCCAAGGGCAAAATTGATTTATTTCGAGAGAATAATGGTCTGATTACGGACACCATAATCACGTGTTATCTGATTTAATTCATACATGAAAGATGGACAATTGATTTCTTCGTGACAGTTTTGGTGACACTGCAAAAGATGAAAAATTTTGTCTCGTCGTTTTGTGATCTCGATAAGATTTCATAATTTTTCACTGAGTCTTTCTGGCTTCGATAAAGCCCTATATGCAGAATAGTTCTGAATTATGATTAATGTGGAAATTCATAATTATTAATTCATTTAATTTTTCTTTTTCTTTTGTGATACATGCGTACATATTTCAAATATGTAAGATATGTGCTGTAGAAAGCATATAAAGAAAGTCTGGTGTCTGTAATGCAGCAACGGCTTTCCGGCGTATGATTTATATGCAAGTCTAGTACACTAACATGGTGAACGTTGTCATTATTCTTGTTGCACCAATTGCACCATAAAATCTCAAATCAGGATGAGTAAGGAAATGTCACGGTAATTTTAACTATTCAACAGCCATGCGATTGTCAAATCACTCAAATTCTTCACGGGAGAGAATTTTATTCCGTCATTATTATCATACCAAATAATGCACTCTTATAGCGAAGCCATAAAAGACGAAGACTTTTCATTTTCGTTCAACCAATATTTCCCGTGACGTCCGTTCTATTAAACGAAGGGAATCCTAAGTAAATACTTAAATATTTTGGGAATACTAAAAGCTGAAAAGAAGTCGAACGAAATTTCCCTGAATTAAAAAACGGCGGAATGGTCACCGGGCCTTTCAGTACTGGATTTCCTTTGGTTAATGGTTCTACATTCTGTGTTGATAAGAACTAAAATCTTAACCTCTTAATTTGCATACTGGCATGATATCGACAACGCTATCTTTATTTATGAAACGTTGAGTTCTCCATGTAAATAATGCAACGTGTGTCTGGTATAATTCTGGTGTCACGGCAAATACATAACACGAGAAAGATCTGAGAATGCAAAATTTCTCTAACAAATCACAAGTATCTGATCAATTGTACTACACGGTGATAAAAAGTCTGCTCATAAGAGGTTCAAAAACATTCTACATTCCTGCTAAAAATCCAGTTTTATCAGACTGAAACAAAATTTGAGACATATGCACACAACGTTAAGATTCTACTTTTACAGTTTTTTTATATCCTTACTTAATACAACAATTTGCAGCACTAGCTCACTTTCATGTTGTATACCTAATGAAATTAATTGTATGACACGGAATTTCATGAAGAATTTGGTACGTTGCGTACATATAAAAGCATATTTTTTGTGTTTGTCATTATGCAAAGCCTTCCATCATTGTGAAGTTTGTATGTATCATGGTCGGTCATTTTAAAACAAAGTTGTTGTTTAAGAAAGTTTTACTTGCTTATTTTTAGTTCAACAAACGATAGATTGTTTTTTCTTGGATCTGCTTTTGCTTTGTGATGAAATAATTGATTTGATAAAAGCGTTGCATGTTCCACACCACGAAAGATGTGTTGCATTTGAGAGTTTTATATGCATGCATAAATGTTTTGGAATAATTCCGCGAGTATTTTTGTTCCATGTATCACTAGCAGCACCACTGGATTTACACATTCAATGAGACACTGAAATTCAAGAACATTTCATGTAATAGAATATTCATCGAGATTCAGGTAGATGCAATATTTGCCCCTGACTGTTGAATGTGCTTAGAAAATAAACCACAAAATATAAATGGACGTTTATTTTATGCCAACAAACAAAGTTTGCCTTGCACGAACGAATGCATAACTATTTTGCATCTTAGAGAACACTTTGGTCCGTTTGCTAATTAATTTAATCTACTCGTCGTATGCTGCTTATTCATAAGCAATTGTGCACATCATCGGTTAATCCAATCTTGTACTTGCTGGTTCATTCCATGCAGTCGTTAGTCATCCCAGTTTAGATCTAGAAGTAATAAGGGCTTTAAAATCCCATTTGTTATTTATTCACCAAATCCTTTTCATGCTATGTACCTTGCACATCCACCTGTCAAATGAATGCATTTTTCTACCAAGTTGGTCACTCTTGCAACGAATAAAACCATGTAAGAACCTGAAAATTAAATAATCTCATCCGGCTTACTACACCAGTTTGTCAGTTTGTCTTTCTGAAGCAGTTTATGAGAATGTGTGGTTTGACATTTTTATGCAACAGCTTACTTAAACCCTAATTAAATCACAGAGGGTGGTTCCCCTTCACTTTTGCAGAGAATCACTCTTTTCAATTAATTGCAAAAAAGTTCCCTTCGTATTTAACGAGATATAAACAAACTTTTTTAACCCGAGTTTGTTTACTGCTTATCTTTGACCCAAACAGTGAAAAATACTAAAAAAATGTGCGTCATATTTGGTGGGTTCGATTGATTTCAAAGTATTTATGCAGAAGTTGAGACGTTTTCTTCTCCAACTTGTTCCTACCAGTTTCCCATTGCTGCGTCATATTCCGCGTTCCGATATGTATTAGTAAATAATGAACGGAAATCGAGATTTTAGACGCTGATGAGCTTGCATACACTAACGTGGAAAATAGTCAAAACGTAACCAGGAAAAAATGGATTTGAATACTCATACAGACATTGTATCTGAGTTTGAAGGAAGGAAGGAGACCCGCGGTCATAAATATCAATTAACAATTAACTTCTATTTACAGTAGCATAACCAAAGTGAGCCTTGATTTATGGGTGTGGTTCCCAAAATAACAAACTGCTCACCTCCATAAATTCATTCATCTTATTACGTACTTATTTATGCATGTACCTGTGCCAAGTGGACACGACGGACGCTACTGTGGTTCATACTGGTAGAGTGGCAAAACTGATGATTCATGTATGTATGTACTATTCAGTATGCATGTAATTCCAGTGATCAAATCTCAGTGAGAAACAACGCTGGGTGACGTGAGACAGGTATGATTTCCTGAGCTCACAAAAATTTCTAAGAACTGGAATAAAATTTAATTAAAGTGAACACATCACTCGCATCGCATTCGAGATAGTCGTGAGTAGAGTGGAATTATTTGAAAGTAACAAAAAAACCGAAATTAGATACGATGTAATGGGAATTAGACCGGTATTTTAGCATTAGTCCTGACAGTGTTAAACACTGTCTATTAACAAGCGTCGATTAATAATGGAGAGTCGCGTCCTCCTCGTCGCTAACCAAATATCTGACTAAGTGCATCCAAGTTGAAAAGTCAATGAACAAAACTGGTTGTCGACATGGGATATCTCTCTCTCCTGCTCTTCTGCTGGGTAATTCTGCTTTCCACACGAGGTGACTATGAGCCATCATCAAACCTTGTATAATTCAGATTGTGAGTAACGTGGCTCCTAATTCAGACTTTCTGCAACGCTGATACACAAAGCTGCATATGCACAAGCAGAAGCAGGAGCATTGCAATATTTAAAAAAGCTTGTTGTGTGTGGGGCGATAGTGGTGCCTGGACCTGAGTAAGCTCAGTTTTTGGACCTTTCTATTAAAGAAATGTCTTCACAGCAGCAGCAGCAGCACAGACAGAAGAGAGAGCAAAAGTAGTCGATCGTAGTATTGCGTTGGTTTTGCTCGTTGGTGGGTCTCACTGTTTTGCCAGATCAGGCTTCACAATAATATCACCGTCACATCATCACAATTCTTCTCACCCGCTTTCAATTTGCCCCATCTGCTCACACTTGGTTTCCCATAAAATTTTCAGAATCAACTTGGGATATATTTCCTACGGAGCATTTTATTGAATCGTGCGTCATTGAAATGTTTCCCAGGAATAATCATTATGCAGATTTATTAGGTGGTGCACGGAGCAGTCAGTACGTATTCTGACCTTAATTCGAAATCTGCCCAGCGTGAGGCAAGTCGAGAATGAAGATCTCACACCAATAAGTAATACATAAGTCAGGAATGTTGCCTCCTTTGAATTATCTACAAGTCATCGTTCTTGTTGTGGTCAAATCCTAATCTCGGTATCTGGATGTTGATCTCTAAGTAAGTTGTGCATACGAACGGGCGAACAAAGTTTAATAAAATAGCTCTTCTGATTTAAAATAAGGAAAAAATGAGACGGTCGGGATTAACTTGGAAATTGACAATTTAATTAAACTCAATTCATTGGACATGTGTGCGAGTGAAAATTCATCAGTTCGTCGCGTTTCCTCAGTCAGAGGTAGTAATAAAAACTGCCAAGAGTGAGCATAACACGGATTACACGGTTATAAATACGTAAAAGAAAGCGAGTGAGTTTAATAAGTTGGTGTATTTGCGACACGCCATTTGTTTCCCACCCACAATGAAGTCAACCGAAAAATTTGCTCGTCTCAACTTTGTTGCAGTAGTGGTTGCTCTCTTTTTCTTAAATGTAAGCACCATTTAAATGTCTTAACTCTAACTTTATTGGACCAAGGACAAATTTTGCAGACATTCGTTGAAAACATGAAAATTTATTATCTTGTTACCAAGTTTTGTAGGAAACATGTAGCACTACATCATATCAACTCATATTATTATTATTCCGCAATCCATCTCGTATGACTGTGATCCTTTCACTGCTATACAAAAAAACTTTTGTTTTTCCTCAATTTCGGTTTAAGGAGCAAAAAAATGTGAGATTGCTCTGGAGGAGAAAGATTTCGTCGAATTGAAGTCCGGATTTCGCGAGCGAGTTGACACTTTTATGGGGTTAAGTACTTACGCTAAAAGCAGACAGCGTTTGAAAGATTGAAATCTGCGAAGGAAACAGGCTAATGGACGAAATAGACTTTCCGTGAAGTATTATGAACGGGTTGAAGATGAAAATTATTATTTCTTTGGAGCGTATTGAACCTTATATCGCACACATGCAATTTTTTAGCCGATATCCAAGCATATTTATTTACATAATATCTATGTATTTCTACGTTCGGAATAAAAGTGCATAAATCTGATAAAATTGTGACAATTTAAGATTAATAGTATAGCTGCAAATTAGAGTATATGATCAAATCTCAAAATATGTGCATTCATAGTGCAACTCGATGGTGCTAATTTCCTGTTATGGTCGCATAGGCGCAAATTTGCATGCAAAAATACACCTTAAATAGTATAATTGTAGGTTAAAATGTTAATCAAACCGAATGAATTTCCAATCTGGCAAGTCAAACATCGTCCGAACAAGAGTGTGAGAACGAGCATTATGCAACGTATCTGGGATCCAAAATAGCAGTGACTGTCTGCATCTCAATTTTTCCACTGCAATAACTCACGCAGATCGCATATCCAGGCGATAGTCATAACTCTTCGCACTCAACCCTAATGCATCACTCATCCAAAAACGCCGAGAAAACTTTGAAATCCTTGGGATTAAGGAATTGGGCAAATTGAGTTCCCACTGTAAAGACACCATTTACTCGAATCAAAAGATTTTGTTGACGCAATATGTTTCGAAAAATTTAAAGCACAATATTATTAATACTAACACGAGTGGTAGTCATCGATCCTGATTTTGTCCGACTTACAAATAGTCATTCGCATCATGTTTGTTGGTATGTGTATTTGCTGCACAAATTCCATAAAAAATGGGGCCGATACTCACAACCAATAAATAAATTAACGAAACTTGTAAATCATATGATGCGATAAAGTTTTTATGGTTAATGCGATACACTTACTCAAATTATTTGAAGGAGTGAGTGCGTAAATCTTCTTGCATTACACATATAAATAAGCAAACTTTTAATTCAGAACCGATTAACTAGCTGTGTGCAGTGCTTGCAAACTACAGTTATTTATGTATGTTAATCGAGATCGAATCAATAAAATAGTTGAAAAATGAGCACGCATAATATCGAATTCTCAGCAATCAAATCCCAGAGTTTGCTGGAAATTGCTCCACGTGTAACTGCATCGAAGGACTACCATTAATCCAAAAGTAAAGGTTATTAAACACAAGTTTTATTAAATTCAAATACTTACGTATTAAATATGTAGCCGCATATATTGCCCTCCTCGCCCGTCCTCCTGCTTCTCCTCACGTTCCTCGTTTCCTGCTGTTCTCATGATCTTCATATCTATTTTCAATATGCAAATACAATAAATCTGTGAATTGCGTATCTTACATCATAAGTACCATAAGCTTATTTGTCTAATTGTGCATTCGTGTCTTTCCTTGTCGGCAAGTCTTCAATGGGAGATTTGACGGATATAAAAACAAGGGAAAATGCCTAATTGATAATTGATTTTCATAATTGCAATTAACATCGGCTCGTGAGTACCATCAAGATGTCCTTTAGAAAGTGCATTCTACTTTGTCAGTATGTTGTGTATGCACAGGCGACGGATAAAAATGTGCTTAATGTCATAACGAATATGCATGTGCATAATTTACAACCCTGCTTTGTGGAAGCAAACACTCACCGAGTCATTAGCTGTAGTTACTGACACCATAATTTTTACTTTATTGACACATATTTTTAGATATTTTGTATTTTGTTGCCTTTAGACTTTTTTACGTAGTTAAATATATTTCAAAATTTTGCGATCATTAACATACAATTCCAGGAATTAATGGTACATGAAATTGTGCAAAATTTGTAGTTGATAAGTTAGATTTTACCTCAAGTTATTTTTGCTAAGATCTAAAACTGTCAACGGTTCTTAAGTAACCTTCAGTGTCGTCCCACGTAGATATTCGGCAAACGTGTAAATCCCAGACGTAATGGCAGAATAATGTGTGCCCAAGTTGTAAATAGTAGTCACCAAACTTATATAAGATCAGATTCTCATCGTATTTGGACAGGAGTTTTGAAAGTGAGAGAAGAATCAAGCAAATCAGACACTTTGAAACTTTGTCTCTTGTCCACCTTCAGATTGAAGACTTATTCATCTTTCCATAGTTGTTTGTCCTACATATTTAGCATGATATGGCTCCATTCTCTGTTGATACTGCTAAAATGCTAGTTTTGGGTAGTATGGATCGCACTTATTTATCATGAAACTGACTATTATACTCATATAGAAACTTTTTATGATCATCTTCAAAGAACCATAAATAGGCATGTTGTGCTAAGTAACCATGAGGTGAATCAACTATGTACATACATATATACGTAGAGTGGAAGGTGAGAAAGGGCAGCATTCCTTTTCATTTGTTAATCAATCCAACCCAGAACGGAATGTGTACAGAAATTGGGCATAGATGGACTGGAAATACGGGGAAATTGATACCGTTAAATGACCAATTATCTGGAATTTCGACATATTGTGCGTAAAATATAAAGGAAAAAAAGTTGAAAATAATGTAGAAAACAGGGTATCTCTGTAGTGTACATGTGTGGAACGTATAAATATATAGTCAGACATACACATGTACACACATGTGTAATCCAATGGCATTTAGTTGACTTGTTTTCAGTGATATTTTCTACCAGCCAACTTTTTATGCTCGTTGAAGGAGTAGACATGAAGGGAAGCGTTGAGTGAGATTTGAGATATTGGGTGTTCACGGGGGCCGATTACATGGTCGTTTGTATGCAAAAGCACCACAGGATGAAATCGTCGGATGAGTTGTCACACATTTTAAATTTTCCAAACGAAACAACGTGTTTTTGTCGCATAAGAGATACGACCAGACTTTGACTTCTGCATTGCGTCTCAGTCCACCTCATACTAAACACTAACTAAACACACACTCACCTGCCAACTATGTTGATATTTGGTTGTTGACAATTTGATTTTTTTGTTACTTGATAGCCTATCGGATGTGATGGGGTCGCTGGGTCACAAAGACGCCTTGACAGATGTGGTGTTTGCGGCGGTGATGATTCGAATTGTCGTGTCGTGTCAGGAATTTTCACCAGACCACAAGTAAGTATTTATATTCATTGCTGCAGCTAAATTAAGCACTAAATACATGTCCCACTCATTACATGATGACTGCTTGTAAGTGTGTATGGTAATGGCATGAAAAGTTGTGCTCGACCCACATTCAGTCGATGATCGAATTTTAATTACAAATAAATTTATCTCTTCTTAGCTTCCTGTTGGCTACAGCGTCGTCGCCCATTTACCTCGTGGTGCTTGCAATTTAAATATCACCCAACTGAGAAAGTCAGCTAATCGATTAGGTAAGAAATGGATAACCTTTGGACGTGGGTGACAATTGAAAACAGCGATATAATTTTCCAGCAGCAAATGCATACAGTGAATGTTTAGTGATGCACTTATTTGTAAATTATGTATATCTTGTTGAATTCTTATTAGTTGATGTGATATGCATGGGAAACTTCTTTCTACAAATTTATTTTATGAAACTAGAAATACCATCCAACTTTTTTATGACTCACTGAGACTGTAATTTTCCTCAGCACTGAGGAAAAGTGACGGCACATTCATCTTGAATGGCGATTGGAGACTTTCCTGGCCCGGTGTATACGACGGTGCTGGAACGAAATTTTACTATGCGCGACAGGAAAAGTTGCTGGAATCGATAGCATCTGCAGGACCGCTGAATGAGGCAGTTGATCTAATGGTCAGTCTAATGATTAACGAGACCCTCCCCCAGCTTTGACTTGACCTAATGAACAACAAACTTGTTTCCCATAATTGCTAATAAATCACAGCTGGTTTTCATGGATGTTGATGATTTGTGCATGTGTTGTAGGTGCTGTACCAGCAGCCCAACCCAGGTATTAAATACGAGTACATGCTTCCACTGGGAGACACGCCGATCCCCCCAGTTCCAGTTCTTGACCCATTGGCAACTCTGGTTGGGACGCGTCACCAATCCGCAGCTACTTACAGACCCACTTCTTATGTAAACAATAATCTTCTTCCAAATGGAAATTCAGCCAATGCCTTCAACACAATCTCGTCATTCCCAAAACCCTCACCTTCCGTTGGTTCCAGCCCCAATAACAATGGTCAACAATTACTCTTATATCCTGGGGACTCGGCATCACCTTTCAGTGTTGCTGAGAACCAAGCTACTCACCCACACCTTCACGGTCATCATCATAGCCGCAGAAGGGATCACAACTTGAATAAACTTCCCAGATCTGACAAAAAATTTTACTGGAAAACAATTGGATATACAAATTGTACCGAGCTTTGTGGTGGAGGTGCGCGTGTTGCCAATTTTGCATTTTTTTCGTTTATAAACTTCACTTGATTGATTTTACATAAATTAATATTGTTCAGGAACACAACGGTCTATCATACGATGTGTCAAGTCCCCTGCTGCAAATGCTGTTTCTGATCGACGCTGTGCTGGGGAGGAAAAGCCGGTGGGACAAACCATTCGTTGTAACTTAAAACCATGTCCTGCAGAGTGAGTGTGGTTTTCGCATACCATTTATATGAATGCAAGTATGTGAGTTAATAATATGTTGAACTACTAATTAGGTGGGAGGTGGGAACATGGTCCGCGTGCAGCGAACATTGTGGAGATGGTTTAAAAACACGTCCCGTGTTCTGCAATCAAAGGATTTCGCCAACCTTAACCATGCGTGTGGCCGAAGGAGCATGTTTGAAAGTGAAACCCGAGTCGCAAACCAAATGCTTCGTCAAACCATGTCATAGATGGGAATCGTCAGAATGGAGCCAGGTATACTTGCATACTTTGTTCTGGTTTTATGTATTTTGGGCCAAAAGACAAACCATCAACAAATATTGTAAACTAACAAGGGTTAATCTACATAATATGTATAAAATTCTGGCAACAGTGTTCTGCAAAGTGTGGCAATGGAATTAGAAGACGGCAAATGGAATGCACGGATGCAAACGGTAAAAAGATCGACCCCAAGGACTGCGATGATGCAGAACGACCAACGGAGATACTTCCGTGCAACATGGGTATCAAAAAAGTTTTATCTCTATTTTTATTAGGAGAGAGAAATTTAGATGTGTCCTTCAACGTATTTTTTAAACAGGTCCATGTGACGGCACGGATTGGTTTATGTCTGAGTGGTCATCAGACTGCTCCCAAAAATGCGGGGGTGGTGTGCAGACACGTCATGTGGTTTGTTCTGGAAATCATCACAACTTTACAGGTCGACGAAGGCCTTTGTCAGCAGAGTCGGAAACAAACTCTATTGAAGATGAGGATCAGAATGAAGACGAACCAGCCCCCACGTTTCACTGCGACGAGAGCAAACGTCCAAGTGAGGAAAGAGAATGTTTCAGCGATAAGCAATGCGGCGACCCGGCGTGGTACACTGGTGAATGGAGTGAGGTATTTGAACCACATACAATAAAATGCATCTTGTACATACGTTTGCTCACTGATTTATTTATTTATGAAAGCAAAGAGCATGTGTAATAATGCGAATATGTGTATGCAAATAGAAACATGTATGTAGGATGGCAAACAATCTATACAATATATTTAGCAGTATACGAAGATGAGCCACTTTGATAATCTAAAAGCTTGAGTGTATCGACCTAGACAATCATTAATCACAACATGAGTGCTATTAATTCGTATCCCAGTTAACTACTTTCTAGGAAAGATACACATTGAGCTCGAGAGAAGGTTTTTAACCTCAACACCAAGATAATGAGTTTATTTATTCAAGGAGATGTGTTACGCAAGGGGTATTTTGGGTAGAAGTATAATGGCAATAAACTGACAAGTTGTATCAGGTTGTGGGGATATTTCGTTTGGGTGGAGGTATAGGAATTGAACTGCATCATAAACTGCAATGAACTGTATAAATTATGATTCATTCATTGATTTTCATTTAGTGTTCCACATCTTGCGGCAACGGACTTAAAACCAGGATTTTGCTCTGTGTGATCTTTAGCAGAGGAAAGTTTAAAGTTGTCGAAGAAACATTATGTCCCCTTTCCCAAAAACCAGAAGGAAAACTGCAGTGCGAATCAAATCGACTGTGCTCAGGTAATTGGTCACCACTCGAGGTGTCCATTAACATGAACACTTGTATGCCCAAAAAATTATAAATGAAAACATGTACTTCAATCAAATTATAGATTCATGGTTTAACACTGAATGGAGCGAGGTAATATATACATACATGCATAAAATGCCATTAGTAATAGTAGTTTATATAATATTTGGCATCAAATTTCTACATAAACTCGCTTATTTATGTAGTGTTCAGTACCTTGTGGTGGAGGCACTCAGAAGCGTAGTGTCAGTTGCAGAGCTGGAAATTGGACAAAGCCTTCATCATTTTGCGCAGATATAAATCGACCTTTAGATAAAAGATATTGTAAGTCTAGCACATAACTAATAGTTCACAACTAATACTAAAAAAAGTACTTCATTCACATCAACAGGCAACGAACACAAGTGTTCGAAGATTACGGATCCCAGCGGAATGGTAAAAGATACGTCCCCAAACACCTTGATTGTCGAGTCGGACGAGATTGAGAACAGCAATTTGACAATAATAAGGAGATTCGAAAATGAACAATTGAGTCCTACCATCTCCACCACCACACAAACTCAGCCCAAGGATAAAACATTTGTCGAGGAACCCGAAGATTCAGAATGTACAGACCAATACCGCAATTGTCCTCTGGTTTTACAAGCTCGTCTATGTACATACAAGTATTATCGATCCGTGTGTTGTAATTCATGTGCACAACAACAACATGAGTTTCATAATAAGAATTAATTAACTAGCATAATGTCGCACACACAATCAAGGTATCTCATTATTTTTCGTTCACTTATATGCATACTACTTATTATTTAAAGTCTTTGACTTGAGTTCAGTTGAGATAATTGCTTTGCAACAATCACAATAATTTGTAGTCGTTTATACATAATTTGTATTTCGATTTCGATATCAATAAGTTTGTTTGTTTCTGCATTTATTATTATAAAAATCGTGACATTTTATTATATCCTCCTTTACATAATTCTATCAAGTCCCTGAAACACACCAGTATTTTCCAATTTTTCAAAAAGTGTAACTTTTCGTACGATTTAGTTACCTTTTGTAAAAATACCAGCACCTAAAAATGAAGCAAACTGCCCAGTGCTGTAGCTGTTACATTACTAATTAATTAATTAAAAGGTAAAAAGCTGTAATTCAATTTTGTTAAAAACTAAATTAATTTTTTTTGTAAATACGAACGAGTAAGATAAGAAGCTTACATAATTGTGTTCAAAATGCATACTGATGTCAGGGATTAAACATAGGCTGCTTATGTACAGATGTACAGAACAGACGTATTATTAACATTATTCATCTAAAAAAAGTATGCGAACCACAAAAAGGTTAAATAATAACGGGAAATAAGTAATGTTAACTTGTAGCTACCCGAGTACATATTCAAATATGTACATATAAATGTTAGATATGTATGATGATTTTTATGATAAACAACGTGTGCTTATGTTGTGTGCTGAAATGCAATCACGTTACCGTGTTCTGCAGCTTTAAATGTGCTTTGCATGATGCAGTACTTGAGTTTGTGATAATTTAAATGATCACGAGCTTCAATGGTAAAAACCCATGCACTGTGTGGGATTTGAAAAAAAGTACAATAAAAGATCCAGGTTTTATATAAAAGTGAGGAGTTTTTTTTATTACATATGTATTTATAGGATTCATTTTCAAAATTAAGTTAAGTAATGTCATCATTCATGTTAAATATTGCAATGTCGTAAGTAAAAAATAATCTCTCAAGAAGTAGCAATCAAAGAACTCACTAGTTTTGTTCCATTTGTTATATCTGTGCCCCCACAAATAATATTAAAGCTAAGATTTTTGGCAACGACCTGTAAAGCAGCAATTTCCCCTGCACAACAGACCAAGAAATTCACCCTTTACTAAAAAACATTTAACGAATAAAGTCTCGCATTTTTGTTTATTACATACCTCTCGATATTCCTCCAATGACAAAAACTAGTACGTTACGACCACGACCATACGCTTCTACTCCAGATTTGCATTTCACAGTAGAACTTGTAACATTGTACATTTTCATTAAATCTTCAAGTTTCCTTTCGATTAGAGCAGAGTTCATCTTTGGAGCAATTAGAATTGATATTATTTCTTCAGTTAATTTTGCTACCAACGGTGTATATTTTCCGTTGAAAATGTAAGATGGGTGGTTTTGTGAAATAACATCGACTTGTACGTTACTCGAGGGTGCTGAAAAAATTTAAAAAATTCACGTTTATGAATGATTTCCTGATTTGCCTCTATATTTATGTGCAATAATTAGTACACATTTCTTGCCTAATTTTTTTACGATGTTTTGATAAGGCACCATCGTTTGTTTCTTTACATTTCCGGTGTTTCCAGAAGAAGAAAATGGAGAAGACGATGCCACTCGATTCATCACTTGTGCAACGCCTTTCACATTTGCCTCAATCCCAGTAAAATTATACAGGAGCCCCACTGCTTCCAAATTATGAAGGCTTATCAAATGCTTAAACCCATAACTCTGAACAAATTGTGTTGTCAAAGATTTTAAATCTCTGAGCCCATCTTGAGCTAAGGTGCACAAACAAAACAGCCGCAATATCTGTTTAAAATCCAATTCTCGCGACATGCTATCCTCCAAAAAATTTAAGGTTTCTTTGTTGTCCAGATTGTCTAGAATATTTTCTTGGAGATCGACCAATTTTTTTAAGTTTAGAGATTTGTTCTGCAATTCAAGATTTTTTTAAACTTAGTTTATCACATTCACTCATTTTAGACGCCGCTCTGTATTTTTAAATTCAAGTAAAAATTAATCAATGTATGATTAATTTTACCTTACCAATCATTACCTTATCAATCATCATCTCAAAGGCACCAAAATGCAGAGCTAGCGTTTTCTTTAAGGATTGTATTTTATGAAGGTCTTTTGCAACAAAGTTTTTCATTGCTTGTAGATTTAACCCAGCGCTTTCATCTTGAAGTCGTCTTGTGTCTCTTTCCTTGGCCAAAAGTGAACTAACAACTTGAGAAAAGTGCTGGAACAGATGCATTTTAATTTTCAAAAAAGTATTTTATACATGTAAGTGACATAAACTGACCAGATTTCGAACTTTGTCAAAAATTGGATCCGTAGTTAGATTATGTTTCACAGGTTCTTTGCCTGTAACGTCAGCACCAAAGGTAATAGTTTTTCCCTTAATGCCAAATACTTCGTCCAATACAGCTTCATAACTAAGGGGTATTAAAAGTGGCGACACGAAATCAAGTGCTCGATCCACAAGAATAAGGGTGGGAATGTCAGCCTCTTGCCTGTTGTGTGACCTCAAATTGTTGGAATGAATTCTGTGCGTAAAAATCAAAATATGCAAATTATTATCCACTTGTTTTTGTTATCTTAAGTAGGAAGTTTTAAATTCCATGCTATCAAGTTTGATATACATAAATGTGTCACATGCAAACTTTTAATTAAAATTCCATTAATTTGTCTTGTTAGAAAGGTTTACCTCTCAAATTCCGTTTGCATTTTCAAAACGGACTTTGCATATGGCCCAATACCGACCTGGAAAATTTTTTTCCGGTAAACATTACCAACAACAGCAATCTGTTATTAATTAGTACAAGGTAATTACCACGTGATGAAAATCTCCATAAATTCCCCTGATGTTAAAAATTGCTTTTGCTACACTGGCAAGCCTGGAAGAATAATATTAAACCTTTTTTATTGTATTTATATTCAATTATAAACCACGCTACTAAATGACTCTTAATGACAATTTCTATCATTTTAGTTTATTATGAATACTACGTACATGGAAGTGTCCTGATGTAACCACAGCTGAGGAACCACATCGTCCATCTCCAGTGAAAATATGTTATCTTCCAACGGTATCATTTCATACGCATACTGTCCAAATGAAACGTGTTCATAGATCCCTTCGGATTCAAAAAGGGCAGTTATGATATGCAGAAGGCGTGGAACCACGACCACGCCATACGTCAACGAGATTCCACGACTAATATTGTTTGTAATTTGGTCGCAAACTATTTTAGCGCAAACGATATCTGCCCGAATAAAGTACAACACTTGGTTCACAGAATCCGAAGGCATAGGTGGACCGGCGGACAGATGAACTATTTTTTCCACACCATGATCCCTACAACAGATAATGCAGTTAATACAGATGTAATACATACAGAAGTAATTCCTACTAATTCCTAGTATGCATATGGCGTATCAGCATCAAACCACTTACTGCAGAAATCTATAGTTAGCGATCAGGTCAAGAGTGGGTACCAGTTTTGGATCAATCACCAAAATTTTCTTTCCGCGTTTGAGGCGCAGTGCTCGTGATAAATTCTCTTTCGACACGCTTCGCAGGACGTTAGCATCTGGAGCCATGGTAGAGTTAACTAATTGATTGTCAGCCAGGTGAATCAAGCCATATAAAGTCTTAGAGAAAATAATTAGTCAGTACTAAAGGATGATACAAATGGAAGTGGAGAGAATAAAAATCGAAAGTGTAAATGTTGACAACTGTGATCACAGCCAGCAGGATTTTTCCGCTATTGTGATTCGGGCTGATGGAGTCATGCAAGAACAAAGTTTCATGGTATTCAAAAGTATATGCAAATTACGTCTTTTCTGTTCTTTATTCAGTTCATGCTATATTTTATTTTAACCGTATATATATATTTTTCGATTTATAAAAAGCTATTAAATTCCATCACCAACAGTAGTAAAGAGTCCCGAAAATAAACGTATGATAAATATTTATGTGGGTAATATTAATTAATGGGGTTTTGAACCGTGGGCAAGGTTCGTCGACATGGTTTGGTCCAGGTTTCTCTTAACGGCCAAATCCCCCAATTCCACCGTGTCCAAAGCCTCCACCGTGACCTATCCCGCCCCCATAGCCAGCTCCGAACCCACCCCCATGATTTCCTCCACCCCCACCAAAACCACCTTGTTTTCCTCCAAAACCACCACCAAAATGACCACCATATTGGTTGTTGGAATGCAAACCTAGTGATGGTAACGTGTGTATTAAAAAAAACTATACATTTGGACAGCCTGTGGCACTGTGGCACTAGTTTTAATTACCTTTTCCAAAACCGGAAGCAAAGTTATTCCCACCTGCTTGACCGTACTGAGCATTATGTCCAACCTGTCCCTTATTTCCAAATTGAGCATTTTGCCCTTTGTTTGCGACATTGTGATGGCCTGCAATGAAATCTCCGGCATTGGCTTGATTGTTCTTGTTGAACACATTGGAATGATGGCCTAAAAAATTAATATAATATAAGAATTCCGATATGTCTCACAAATGAAAGAATAATGTGAATTATTTACCATTTGAGAACTGTTTGCCTGTAAATTATTTAAAGAAATAATGTAAATTGGTGGTATTGTAAATTTAATTCTAAATTATATACAAGAATAATTTGCTTGTATCTTTACCGGCAAGATCATTCTTAAAAGCTCCTTCATCGCCAAATTTGTCAAAGAAGTCGACAGCGTTCTTCTCGTCATGGAAGGCATGGTTTTTGCTGTATTCATCCTATAATTTATCGTCGTAACTATTTGTACCATTGTTTAAATTTACTTTCATTTGTCACTAATTCTTACCTTGTGATGAGTATTGTGGAATCCTTTTGTGGCGTGACCCTTCTTGTGGGCACCCTTGGCTCCAAATCTAGTTCCTTTGGCGAATTTGGTAGCAAATTGATTCTTGCCAAACACTGCCCCGTCATTCTTGGCTGCTTTAGATACATGACCCAAGCTGCCAAAATGACCCTTTTTGTTGGCCTTGTTGACGTGACCAGCATCATTTTTCAAATACCCTGAGTCAGCCTTAAAACCTACAAAGTTCAAATTACCCTTAATTAAGCCAGATGCTTATAGTTTACTAAAGATCTGCTGTTAAAGGTTCATTAACATTCAATTTTGTATTGACCTTGATTTCCTTTAAATCCCTTTGTAGCATGTTGAGACTTTTGAAATTTATCATCGACGTGTTTGATTTGCTTGTTGATGCCACCGAAATCAGATCCATATCTAAAAGCGTGACATGTATGATTATCTCTTATCAGCTTGTGTCTTTTTCTCCGCAGTAAAACTTACTTGTTCCCTTGAGCAATCTTTTTGCCACCCCCAAATCCAGTTTGTCCCCCGTAATTTCCACCAAATCCACCCCCGTGGCTAATTCCTCCGCCGAATCCACCCCCATGTCCAATCCCCCCACCGAAACCGTGACCTCCAATTCCTCCAAATCCGCCACCAATCCCACCGTATCCAGTTGCAGCAGCCTTGAGATCTCGTTTAGCAAGAGTTTGAAGTGTTTTACTTTCTGATCCTGTAGCGTCGGTCTCGTTTTTCGTTTCAGTCATTGTACTCGTTGTTTTGTCATCACTGTCACTTTTGGCGTCAATTAACTTCTTTGTCAAGTCGGGTGTTGAGTCGTCGTCAGTTTTAATTTCAGAAACGTCTGAAGAAATTATCTTAGCGTCTGTAGTTTGAACTTCAGGAATGGCAACTGCGATGACGGGTATTTCCGGGTTGGGCTGGATCACATCCTCTGCTATTGCCAGTAAAGGCAATAGTAGTAATGCAAACGTTAACTTCATTTCCACTTTTGTAAGCTCCAAATTATTCTTAAGACTACAAACTACTTTATCCACAGATAAATGTAATATAAGGCTGGACAAAGGTGAAATTGGTTTTATATATGTGGAAATAATTTCATTCTTGGGCGCACACCTCAAAAATATGAATACATATATTTACATAGCGTTGGTCGTGTCAATGCGTGCATATGTATGCACGTGCAAGGAGCTCGTTTCTTTATACTGCGTTGATAAGACAGAAGGGAATTCCCCATTAAATAACTTTGGGCGATATTTAGCGTATCCTTACACAAGAGTCGCAATGCAGAAATACTACGCTGCGCCATCAGCAATGAGAGAAGACATACATATATTAGTTTTGGTGAACATCGATAATTCAATCTGCAATGACGTGTAAATAAATGTGTAATAAAAATAAAGGCAGAAGGTCGAACCGATTTTATCAACATTTATTATACCGTTTATCATGGTACCCTTTTAGCATTCATATTGAGAGAGGTACAAGAAAACACTAATGTGCATACTTTGTTTTTCTGAAAGCCACAACTAATATCGCAATTTTTTTGTGTGTGTCGCACATCACGGTACCGGTACATCGGGTGTCAAGGGAAAGGAAGTACGATATGATGGCGAAAGAAAGAAGTCACTAATGAGGAGTATGGTATCAATACATAGACCAACTAACGCTAAAATTAGATCCAGTTTGACAATGAAAAATTGTGTGCGAATGTTTGCCTACTAAATATTATTATGGAGGATTGATAGATTTTTATGTATATAGGAAGTCTTTGTGCCTGCATTCTCCACGGAATCTTCGTGCATTCAACCGTGAACGTTTGGGGACTTCGCCATTTGGTCTTTTTCAGCAAAAAAGGAATACATCCAACAAACGACTTGAATGTACATGCTAACACTAAATATGTATGTACATACATTCCATTGCCACCTCAAAAAGAAGTGTATTTAAATAGGTGTCAAGCAAGATGACAAGTGCAACAAAGACGGACTTATGCATGTTAGGCAACAATTCCTTTGTTATTGCTTACCCAGTGTGTCAAAAGTCTCACACTCAGCGCTCGTAAAATAAATACCTAAGTCAGTGTCCAGTTTTGCATGATAAATTTATGTATATATATATATATATTCATATATTTAATTTATACCTAGGTATAAATAATAGAACAGTAGGATACTATAGATATACCTGCGTACAAAGCGTACGAGGCACTTGGATGTACCATATCCAATCAAATACAAAATAAAAATATCTAGATGAAGCTTTAAATACGTATTCATAGAATAACAATATTTGCAATTTTAATTACTGTAAGGAACGCGGACATTGTATATGTCGCAGGTTGCAAAGTTTGATGACGTAGCATTTCTTGAAAAGTGCGTACCTATTATTCTGATAACTGAATTGGCGATAACACTGACATCTCAACATTATTTTAGCCTAAACCAAGCGCATTTTAAGGAAGGTCACGTAGTATTTATGTAGCAATTGATTAATCTGATTGAGTAATACTGATACTGAGCAATTATAATCCTCCAATTTAATCCACCTACATAGACGCTGTCTGCCTGTTACCAAAGCATAAAAGTGTTATTCTATTAAGCAAATTACTGCGGTTACTTCTCAACACTTCCGTGTTTAAGGTTAGGTGAGGATGGACGACGACAACGACGACGACGACATCATCACCAGTACTATAAAGTAGTAATAGTTTCTAGTGCTATGATTGTGAGTCACAATTTGTGACAAAAACTCACAGGTTCGAGGTTTAAGCCAACTCTTATTGTAATCAATCATCCAACTCAACAAACCATGACGCACACATTTTTGTCGGTCGGATCACAATAATACAAATATTTGAGTACTATTTTATTATTTTCAGCAAGGGCACAAGTACTTCTTACATAATATGTATGATGAGGAACCACAAGAATGCCTTGCCCCTGATGGTCACTTGATGGAATTTTATGACATAAGGTCTTCAACTAATATTGATTGATATCATTTGATTTATGTTTATCAGAGTTGCATAATATTGTCATAATTAATTAGTATTAATTAATTGATTAATTATCATTGAAATTTTCATGGCGAAAATCATACAGATAAATTTAGGCAGATCGCAGGTCGGGTGAGACAAGACTTCTACAAGAGGGAAAAGCTGTTTTTGCATCTGCAAAAGAAATCAAGCCTGAATCCAACAAATACTTCAAAAATTGCAGAAATATAATAGCTTAATTATAAAAATCAAAACTTTATGTCGTGATCTGAAGTTCAGATTCTGAACCCATATCCATTACTCGTCCGTCTACAAATATTTAACAATGCAAACGTTAAAACGGCTATCGATCGTGTCAGACTTGTTTGGTTTAAGTAAAAACTTTAAAGATATTCGAAGTGTACGACTGTATTTTGGATCTGAAATACACCCAAGGCCATATTCGTCCACGCAGGCAACTATTATTGACGATAAAACTAACGAAACCGCTGTAATTCAAGGTAACGATTAACGATACATAGTGTTGGCTCGATGATTTCCGTGTCTTATGATTTATTAAAACTTACTTAATTGATGACCCCAGATGATGAGCCACCGAAAGAAGCAGCACTCATAATTGGGCGTCAACTAGACTTTTTCAACCCCGATTTACGCCTTGCCCGTCAAGCGTGGGTGGAGAACCTTGACACTGTGGAAGAGAGAAAGTTGGGTCTAGTGGATTTGCACCCAAGCATTTTTGGAGCCTTTCCGAGGACGGAAATCATAAGTGATAATGTCGTTTGGCAAAATCTGTACAAACATGTGGTATGTTAAGAGACTACAAGGAATAAATTGCGTGAACAACTTTTACTACCGAGTTGAAGTTTATGTTAATTTTGTTATAGAACTGGAACAAGATGGAAACTCGAGGGGAAAGACGTGGTGGAGGTCGGAAACCTTGGCCGCAAAAAGGTTTAGGAAAAGCAAGACATGGATCGATTCGAAGTCCGCTTTGGATAGAAGGTGGCAAAGCCCATGGGCCGAGGGGTAAGTTTGAAACATAAAATAAAATTCAATTGCCAACATGTAAAAAGTAAAATTCATTCTGGACTTGGTCCTATTTTGACTTTGCAGGACCCAAAACACACTTTTACATGCTTCCATTTTACAAACGTGTTCATGGACTTTGTGCTACATTATCAGTCAAATTAGCTCAAGACGACTTGAAAATAGTGGACACGCTAGATATACCTTCAGAGGATCCGAAATTCTTGGAACAGTTGGTAGAAGCTAGAAAATGGGGTATATCCGTATTATTTGTTGACGAGTAAGTGTTGTCAGTTTGGAAAACAATATCTGATTTTTATACTACTTGCTTACTGCTAATTTGTTTTTGCAGCTCGGATATTATGCCCCGAAATATAGCTTTGGCGACAGACTCAATCCATCACATTAACTTGATGCCACTGTATGGATTGAATGTTTACTCAATGTTGAAACATGAAACGCTGGTCTTAACTTTAGCAGCCGTTAACAAGCTAGAGGAAAAATTATTATTTCATTTAAACCGAAATGACTCAATGACGCCCGCTAGACGTTATCAAAATGCACATGTCTAAAATAATTTTTCGTAGTCAAGTCGGTTCAATTGCATTTATAGTCAATTTGTCATTTATTTAGGTTTCACTTTGAATTCACAACTATTTGTATAGTTATTGTTAACTTTTAGCATTGTTAATCTAAACATGTAGCACCTTTCACAGTTTATCATAAATTATTATGAGTTTGTACTTAGTTGTTAAGTTAATGAAACAGAGAGGATTTGGGAATAATAATTTTTGACAAAAGTTTTGATAGATATATGTCACGCACCCCTATTATATCTTGTATCTACTCACATATATAAACCGGAGCTTATTAACCGAACGGGTTGGAGCATTTAGTGGTACAAAACGCGTATGAATGTACCTAAAACTGATAAAATTGAAACATACAGTCGGGTAAAAGTAGTTTACACCTCTCATCATAATTATCATGTTATACAATCAATGTTTTTTTCACACGAAGTTTTGTTGATTGTTATACTATGACTTTGACTAATTGACATGGAATATTTTGTGAAGCCTGACTTGTTGTATGGCTCATGAATATACATATGTTGTGGTGTCTGTCAGTCATTCATTCATTTCATTGCAATGAAAGAAATACGGCAGTCTAAAAAAATAAGTTCTTGGTAAGACTTTGGACATAGTTCCAATAATACCCGTTAAAACAATTAATTTGGCCGGCACATTACTGGGACTGGTTCTACTGTTCCTTATTATTGGCAGTCGTCTAAGGCTAAAAGTACCTTGAAAGTAAAAGTACCACAAATCTTTTGCTAAATGCGAACTTCTGAAGACGGACTAAAATTTTGTATAATAGTGAGACACGTCAATTTTTATCTGTTGCAATTTTCAGGAGGAGACGTATGTACCTCCCGTACACCAGCTTCCTTTTACCAATTTTCAATCAACTCATTTTATAAAACTGGTAGGGATTACTAGTGACGTGTCCAAGTTTGGACATGGTGGATGATTGGTGTCATGATGACTTTTTTTGACCTCCTGTACCCCCTCGGAGATGCCCTAATAATATGCTAACTTCATGAAAAGTTGGTCGCAAATCCTGATTAAGATTCCACGCTCTTTTCATTAATTCGTATACTTGTGGAGGACATCCTTCTGGAGCATCCATGACATATCCATGTTCTACTTTGCGAAGAACGTCATTTAGTTGCTAAATTTCCAAATCATTGATAAAATATTTTCAGTCAGTACATTTTTCTAACATAATAATTTGTACGTTAATTACAAATTCTTACAATTCTTGGGTAAGGTACTCTTCCAAACGAATAAATTTCCCACAAAAGTATACCGAAACTCCACATGTCAGATTTGTTTGAGAATTTCTACAAAATCAACATAATAATCCCATCACAGTCATAATAATTACATTAAATAATTACAAGGATCAAATCAATTAATTAACTAAGAAAGCAATAATATGTAGTAGTTTACATTTTTTCTAAGGGCCTCAGGAGCTGTCCATTTTATTGGCAATTTCCGGTCTGAAGATTCAGAGGTTGTGGCTTCCTCCCTCCAAGCCAAACCGAAGTCAGCAACTTTCGCAACACCATCCTCCGAAATTAGCACATTTCGAGCTGAAATAACCAACATAAATGGTTAGCAAATGTGGCAATCGATAAGTGATGAGTCAGAAGTGGAATGACGCTGTTAGTTGTTTGGCTAAAGTTTACTCTTCCTGCTGCAGCGTGTTTTTAAATAATTAACTAAAACATGGACGCTCACAATTAAATTTACTTCGTTTGTCGCAGTCAGTCGATTAAACGTATCAACCTCTAAGGTGGAACCGATGAAAAGGAGGAAAATGCAAGGTGTCTCAGATAGAGCACTTAATATGTATGCGTCATTATCTTGTATGCTGGCCTTTTCATATATTTCCGTCATTATAGATATTCTTTTCTTACCAGCTAAATCTCTGTGAATTATAGAACGTCTTTCCAAGTACTGGAATAAAATAAAATAATTGAAATGTATTTTAGCAAAACTTTTAAAATAAAATGATATGAAAAGTTGAGATCTTACAACCATTCCAGCACATGTGTCACTATAAAAATAAAATGTCGTTCGATTATATGGTAATTAAAAATTAATTAATTAATTAATATGTTGTTGAATATCAATTAATCAATTACAATGCAAAGTTAATTTGATCCGTCTTTGTGACATGCAGTCTTCCACGAGACCTCAAATACTCTAGTAAACTCCCTTTGCTCATGTATTCAGTGACCAGATAAATATTTTTCCCTTCGATTACAACTCCCAAGAGCTGAACTAAATTTGGATGTTTGATTGACCTGCAATTAATCCATGTTCGAAATTTCATTAAAGCTGACAAGAAAATATATATTGTTTTTCATTTTGTTTCGTTTATTACGTCATAAGTGAAGCTTCTGCAAGAAACTTTTGTGCTGCTTTGCTTTGTTCCTTTAATACTTTCACAGCTACTTTCTCTCCTCGTAACATGCCAAGTCTAACTTCACCAAACTCCCCTTTTCCCAATGACTCGAGCATCTGCAAAGAAAATATTGTGCGATAAATATGTGTGTTTAGTTGTACTCTCTTAATTTGGTCACTATTTGTCGCACCAACCTCAACATCTTTGGGTGGAATTGCCCAACCAGCTTCAAGAAACGCCTTGACATCGACACAGTACTCTTGACTTCCAGCTTTCGGAAGAGGTTTACTCAACATTGTGCACAACCCGTCCGCATCTTTTTCATAATGCTGCATATGTTCAGGAAACAAAATATCTTGTGTTACATGCAAATTATTATTTAAAAGAAAGTATTGTTTAATTATCATACTTCTACTAAATTTGATAAATTGTCAAAAAACTCTTCTTCGTCTATTGTCAATTGGTTATCCTTATATATCACACGGTAGTGCTCTACTCTTCCTTGCCAACAGACACAAAGAGTGTAGTCCCCTGGAAAATTCGTGGACTCTCGAACCAAAAATAGGCCATCTTCCCGAGGTCTCAACAATTCCTCAGCCTTGTCTCGAGAAATCTAAGCACATGCACAATTATTGTCAGATTACTTGATGTTAAATTGTTTTACATTGACAAGGCATGTGCTATGCTGTAAGAAATGACTTACCTTCCCATGAAACCAGGGCATAGAATTGAGCTTGACCTCCCCCTTTCTGGGCCTGGGTGGGAGTGCCATATCGGGTGGGGTGGGGCTGGTGGTCATTCGCTCCATGCCGAACGAATCCTTCAGATCCATCCACTAGTGGATCAAGAAAAATTATCCTATAATGTCAATCCTAATGGCCCTTTTAGAAGATTCTATTGACTTACATGATTCACCAAACTGGCAGTCTGATTCATTGAGAGTTGTTTTTTGTTCCTCGTTATCTCCACGTAAGCACAACTTTCTTTCAACTTCTACTGCTTTCCCCTGCTATTCTTCTTGTTGATGAAACTAATCATAAGCACACTTACAATGGAAATTGGAATGGTATCCGTCCTCCTCCAATTTTCCTCTGTTGAGTAGTGTCTATATATTGTATTTGCCGTATGGGTACAATTTGTACAAATAAGTCCAAGTCCAAGTCACAACACAGGAAATGATTATTATTATTGTAAATATTATGGTAAATAACAACGCAACATAATTTGCTCTTTGGCAAGATTGGATTGAATTGTAGTTGATGTTCACGTCAGCGTGATAGTTTTGATTGACTTAAGAACCCTATTAATTCTTCGAAACGGTTGAGTACGAAGATTCGATTATTGATGGGGCAGTTCACCTCTACGCCACGATGAGGTAACAATATGTCGCTACGCACAGGAGGAGTACCACCCAAACACATACACATTTAACTAGTGCCCATTGTTGTGGGAATATTTCAAGCCAAGTTCACAGGCGACAGTCATACATGATTTTAAGTGTTCTTCTTGTTGCACCCGATAAAATGCGAATTTCGTAGTTCTACCCACCATTGTATTGCAGCTTAATATTAAAACACTGTGTTCCATTGTAATTTCGGTTCAGTTACGACTTAACCCCACCTTGCACCTTGTTCTTAATTATTTTCCTAATTATAAATTTAGTAGACCCAGCACAACTTCAGTACAATTTGTATTTTTATTATCATGTTTCTCGACCGACACCCACTCTGCACAAAAGTAGAATTTAGTACATACATATGTTGTCTTTCGTAGGTGATTGTTGTATTAACAAGTTTTCACAATTTGGATCAAAACTTTGTGCAATTAAAGTCTGTCACGTCACGTAGTGGTTGGTTTTAATATTTTTGTGCAACCAAAACCAACACAGTTTTAATTTTAATAGGCCAATTCAACATTCAGCCACCATCACATTATGTATAATTCTAGCAATTAATTTGGTGACTGACTATATTATAAATTATAATGACAGTTGCACAAGTGAATAATTTTCGTCACAGAGGAAGTGAACCCATCTTCTCTCTGAAAAATTAAATATTGAGCAGCTCTTCTATGTATGTAAATAATTCGATAGATTCATTTCAAATACATGGAAAGGTAACTTCAAACTTGCATAGCAGAGTAGCGAATGAATGATTCTGTGGTTGGTATTTATTTGGTAAACAGCGAGTTATGTTATTAGTATATGAGTGCTGGTGAGTATAGAGTCTTCTCAAAAAAGAAGAATGTATGGAGGAGGGTGATATGTGAGCAAATTCCATTGAGATGAGAAAATTACATGACGATGATGTTGTGCAGGTGAGAATCCTCCACGGAATTCCTTCCCGTGGTGGTTGAGGTTTCAAAAGCGCCCTCGCCAGCAAAACATCCCGTTTATTATCACTTGCCTCGTAATAATAATAATAATAATAATAATAGCAAGTGAACTCTCTGTGTAATCCTTTCACTCAAAAGCAACACCACCCCGAATGCTACATAGACTCGGCTCACGGAGGAATGTGAACGAGTTTTTCCATGAATCATTGGGTTTAGGTCGATTTAGAAATCTTCTTAACCCTTTCCCTTCTTCGCAAGGTGACGCTACACACACGCGTCACGTCGTTGCAAATTGTTGAAATTTGCTATAATAAAATTGACCTGTGGGCATGGCCAAAATAAGCTTGGTGTAAGACACTGAAATGATGCTTTCACACCGTGTTAGGAATGCATTGGGGATGTTAATTTTATGCGGAAATCCTCGATGAAATTGTGCATGCGTTCCCCATCGTTTCAAGTAGTTTTTGCGAAGTTGAACATGGAAGTGGAAGCTTCCTTTTTCGTACTAAAATTTGACGATATCGGTCACATTGTCGTCGTTAAATATTTTTTCACGGGATTAATTCGTGTTGAAAAGTGAAAAGAGATCTCAAAAGGGGTGTATCGACTTGCCTCCTGACGAGTCTCATATCGCTCATATCATTGCATTTATACTCTTTTGGTGGTAAACAAATACACGAGGTAGGTGTAACAATAATACATCTTCGTTTCTTCGTCGAGCCGGATTGAATAAAGTCAGAAATTTTGAAGAAAAATGTTGAAATTGTCGTCCAAGCTAATTTTTTCTGGAATCCTATGTGATACTTGTTCTCCGTGCATTACGATTAGAAAACCTAATTGGAGGTCCTACAACGTGTTTAACAATTATTTGCGCACCTCTGCCACATCTTCTGTTAATGCTTCACAGGGTCATCACCAAATAATAATAACTGACCAAACAAAGTCAGATGGCGAATTCATACATCCCTACAAAAGTATTTTTCCGTGGAAGTCAAAACCGGAGTTTGTGCAGCATTTGGTTCAACAAATCGTGCATGCAGATGGTGAGTACAGAGTTACTAAGAAAGTGGAATTGTTGATGATAATCCTTCTTGAATGCTTTAATCTGTTCTAGATGGACTTGTAGTCATAAACAAACCATTTGGAGTTGGAGTTATAAATAGTAAAGCAAAACATAAGGGACAAATTAAACAAGTAGAATATTCCCATTTACGTGGTATTGATCTCACGGATTACAACTTGGAAATTGCACTTCCTCATTTACGAATTGCTCTAAGCAAACCAGATCTGGTACTTGTAAAAAGTACAGAAAGGTAACTATTTATGCTCATGTTTATGATATTGTCACTACTGAAAATAATAAGTGAAAAGTCGGAACGTAAAGGTTTTATTGTTTTCGAGGTAGAATGACGTCTGGACTTGCCGTATTTGCGGACAACTTGCGACATGCAGATACATTTCGTCGCAAGCTACGAAATTCTAAAATGTTGTCTAATACTAAGCCATTATACAACTACCTTGTAATCACGGCAGGGACACCGTTCTCAAATCAAACAACGTTTCATGAACGCGTAGGCGTACAGTTGAAATCTGCACTGCTATCTAATGTTATGCAGGTAATTAATTCCACATTATTAGCTTATTGGACTATTAAATGCAAAATTTGACGAATCATTAGCTATTTATAATTAATAACGTATGTGTGTATGATTTATGTAGCCTTGTATTGAGCGACAATTCTCTCGGAATTCTGTTAAAAGGAAAGATGTAAAACCAGTTAACGTTACAATTAACGTCGCAAAATATGGTGATCACAAGACTGCACTACTGGAAATTGGGACAAGCAGCGTAAAGTGGAACTTTTTGAGGATTTACTGTTCAGATTTATTAATCCCAATTTTGGGTGATCACTTGTACTCTTGTCGAGTTCAATCTATTATGGGTGTACCAACTAAAATGGATATATCGCATGCACCTCCGGGATCATCGGATCAAGTAAAATAAAATTAATATATAAAATTAAACAAGATTTTTATGTATGACAATGCGCTTGCTAATTTCTGGGAATGTTGTTCGTTTCAGAAACTTTCACCTCATATACTGGAAGCACTTAAAGTCAGGGAAAGTATTCAAGTACTTCCTCATATGCATTTGCAATCCTACCTGTTGCAAAACTACGGAAAGAAGGGACACCATTTAGAATTAAAAGCTCCAATACCTCCTCATTTTAAATGGACGCAAAGTCAGCTAAATCTTTTATAGTATTGTAGAAATAAATGAGTTTTATTGCGAAATAAAATATAAATGACACGGATATCTAGTGTTCTAATGCTATTGGAGTCGGTCGTCAGATAATTCAAAGAAATGGTATTTTAACATTAACTTGGGAAAACGATTAAATTTCCTCTGCAATTTGCATCTCTTCATCTGATTCATGAATTTCTTCAATCATTTTTTCCTGTTGCTTTTGTAAAAGACCAGCCGCTGGAGATCTGATAAGTCCGAGATTTCTTTGAACTTCCTTCACGTCCCTCTCCTTATCGATCACCTTGGCTTTCTTTAGTCTTTGAGTAATGAAGCGTCCACTTCGCTTCTGTCTGATTTCCTCCACTTTCTTCATCGCGTCAACTAAAAAAACATAATTGATTACTAATCATATCCATAGTTCAAGTTAGTGCATATAAGAAACATAGTGAACGTAGGCTCGTACCAGTTTTCTGCCACAATTCTCTGTCGTATTTCACTGGAACGTTCCTCCTCTTTTCAAACTCGAACGAAGGGTCTACAGCCAACTCCTTGCCGGCCGATTTCCGGAAGGCCTTAGTCCATCTCACCTTTCTTGGGTTCTTTTTCTTCTTGAAAGCATTATGACATTTCGACCTGCAGAACCTAAAGATCTGAAAATATACAAAATAAACAACAATTTTATCAAAACTATTTTTATATTCTATTTGTCAACTGCTTTTCTAAAACACCTGTACTTACCTTGGAATCGTTTCTTACAAACTGCATTCCATGACCAGGATATACCGGTGCAGAACAAAAATAACACTTTTCAATACGCATTGTTGCGACTTAAAATCAACTAATTTAATGAATAATTATATTTTTGCACGTTTGAAGTTGTTTAACACGATGAAATAAACACATGTGTGTGGAATTCATATCCTCCCGCGCGGAGTCGGCTGATTGGCACAAGAGTAATATTTTCTTACGCGAGAGCGAGCTGAGGGTCATACTTCATAAATGTGGCCAAAAAATTCCTACCAAATATCTGTAAATTGCAGATATTAGTGATTTTCGAACGATTGCAGACTGCAATCGTTCGTAAATCACCATTTGTTGGCATATGTTAATGTCAAGTATCTATTCACATAAGGTATGGCGCTGCTACTTCATAACCAATCAATTCCAATGATACGAGTTAAATTATTTTACGAAAGTTATGCGAGGAAAGTTATGTATTTTATGGGTATCGAAAGACTTCAAAAATTTGATGTTCAAATAGAGCTAATTATGTACGTACATAAATATGTACACTGACATGAAGAAAAGAACGTGTTCCAGTGATCTTGCAAATATCAATCTCTTCATTTTCTCTTCTGGAAATCAAAAACCTATTAAATCTCGAGAGAAGTGAATAAACAGAGTTGAATGCACCCCATGTTCATTATTATTCCTCAAAATTCATCCATCCATGAATAAAAAATTTGTTCTCCGTCATCTCCTTCTTTCTCCTGTCTTAATTAGGGGAGAATGGGTGACATGAATCTAATGCCTTGGAAAAATCTCCATTCTCCAAAAATGATGATACGGCAAGGATGGTACACAGCCTAGCTACTTGTGCTTTCACCCATTTATTGCTGCTATACGTACTTTTATCCACCTCGTTTCTATCTGTAGAATAATAGCTGAGATGAGATTTAAATTTTTTCAAGTGACTTCATCCCCTTCTTAAAAATAAGTTTGTGCCACCCACTGTTTCACGATCCTTTACTGACTGTCATTAGACATTTTCGTACATCTCAAGTTCTTGTAACGGTGCACTTCTCGCTAAATATCTCCTTGAAAAGAGATTAATTTTGATGTGCTCACTCATTTTTATTCCATTATAAAACATTTTACCCAATGATTGCGGTTAAATAAATAGTTTGGAAGCTCAGATTTCATGTACCGCACACATTATTATTCGAGAGATTCATTGTTTGGAAAGCGAGCAGATAGGTCCTCACAGTAGTAGTTTCACGGGACGAGGGGATAATTTTAGAGATGAAAGGTCTCCAGTGCACATGGGAATTGATTTAAATTTGCAAATCAGCGTTGAATTTGAATCGAGCCGACTGAAGATGAGGAGTAGTTTCGTTGGTGCTCACATTGTTGTCTTTGTTTGGGAGGATGAAACTGGAGCAGAGGGCGACAGATCATCATCGGAGGACGGGGTGAAGTGATTGATAAGCAGCAAGTTGGTGGTGGTTGGTGGTGTAGTAATAATGATGATATGGACTGAGGGCGACTCTGCGTGGAATGAGATGAATGGATGCATTCCTATTGGATTTATTTCTATCAATCCCCTTTGGTTTCTTCTTTTCAAGGCAAATTTAATTTGTCACGGCCTATGAAATCGACGACGACGACGACAACGGGAGGATTGTGTAAAGTACACAGTCAACATTCGGTTTTCCCCTTTCTCTCCGCGCAGAATTATTTGTCCTCTGATTCATAAAACCACTTTCAAGCTCTCTGAACCAAGGAAGCGGATCTATTTAATTATACCAAATGCTTCAGTCGGCAAAATCACTGGAATTAAAGGTTTTTTCCTCGTTTTGCGTAAAACAGATTCATGTTTTTTTACATGGCAGTTGGTACATTTATGCTTATAAACGAACTGAAAAAATTTTAACTCATGGACGTTTATGTTTGAACTGCATTTGACAGTTTCGACAGCCACTGCCAACTACAAATTATTGTCATGTGGGTATATTGTTACAATAAAGTGGACTGGATAGAAGATAGTGGGTCACACCTTCATATAGTCCAAACGAAGCACGGGGGGCGTGGATGGCGTAATATGCACTTTTGCTATAAGGTCACTCATCACCTTTATGATCATTTGACTCCGGTTCATAATCTCGTGGTGGTGTAAACAGGCCAAATTAAAGCAACATAATATTCTAGGTATGTATATATGTATCTATACATGCGTTACCTACATACGTATATGTATAATGTGCCAAATACTTGTGATTGTTCACTCGCTCATCAATAGAAGCAAGAATTTCAAACGTGATTCATCAATTTGTTGACAAATAACTCACAAAGGTGTTTACCATGCATAACTTGGAAAGTGCTGAATGAGAAGAAAGGATAACAATGCTTGTTTTGGTGCATGTTATTGTCTATCTAGTTGTTAAGATGTCGAAAGCATAAATGAAAGACAAATTGACTTGTGATTGAAAGCCCTTAAAATATAATACATGTTTATGTTTTAGTGGTATTGCGCAATGTGTTTAATTACTATAATTATGAAAGTAAAAGTCAGTTGAATTAATTGCAAACTTACTGAAAATAACTAATTCCAATCTCACTTTGATTTCATGCAAAAGGGCATAATTCATAACCCAAGTTTCTGATTTAGATAAACCGACTCTCTCAACTATAAATACTTATTCAACTGCAAGAATCTTTAGGATTTTGACTAGGTAAGATTAATGAATGAGATCATCTTTCATCCCTTTTGTGTGCCCATCTGTGTGGTAAGGTAATCCGCAAAAATAATAAGGACAAGAATCGCCTCAATATAGCTTCCCAGAGGGAAAAGCACATGCTACGTAATACCAATATTGAGAACCTCAAACAATAATAATATCGTAACAATTATTCCTTTAGTTCTGGTCAGTTAGCTTAAGGATCATTATGCGGCGTCATTAATTCACTTTTAAAGTCTCCATCTATTCATACAAAGTTCCATTTCAAAACATTCGGATTATTTACAAAGGCTCAGATCAAACAATGTTGTTGGAGGCAAAAAGTTTAAGGTGACATGCCTGTTGGTTCGGTCTTATTATGGTGCACTGACTGACGAGAAGAGGGTCGTCTCATGGAAAGACGAGTGAAATAATAATAATAATGGTCTGGTTGGTTCGTTGTTTGGATTTGGGTAGAGGGATCCCCAGCTCAGGTTGATATTTAGAATATGTCAAATTTGACTAATGATCTTTATGAGAATATTAATGTTCTTCTCTCCCATTCTCTCACCCATTCATGGCATCAAAAGGCCAGCCCAAGACTCTGGGGAGGGCAATTGTCCAGTTTCCTGTCACTCATCCGAAATGAGTATCAAAATCACACAAGAAAACGAACAATAACATGTAATGTGTAATTCCTTTCTGGTCGGACAATTTTCTCATGCGTACGCAATATGATCATGCAGTTTAAATTTATAAATAACATGAATTTATAAATAACATTCAATGAAGCTGGTCAACCCGAATTCCAATCGTTATTTGAAATTAGAGACCTTGATAAATTTCTTCCATTCGTAAAAGTTTTCGTCTCACCACAAAGATTGTGTCGAGACTCATTTTTCATTCGGAATATTATCGAGAAATTCATCGTACAAAGCTACAAATCCCAATGTATAATATAAAAACATGACAAATTTAATATCATACACATATATGCAATGTTAAATTTCTCGACATATAATATATGTACACATCTCATTTTTCCCAGGATCGACTCACAAAATGTTATGCTTAGAAACATATTATGTAAGCATTGAGAGATAAATGGATTTCTTTGTTTGCTTGGTGCATGTCAAAATTGTGAAATCTGTGCAAAAGAGATATGTATTATTACGCCACCTTCTCACCACGTTCAAGGGTTTTGCCCATTTAAAACCAACAGGGCTCGAAGAGTGTGGAATATGTATATTTGGATGAATTAAAATGTTGAATGTGTTCTAGATTGCTTTGCATTTCCATTGTGGTTTGTGTTCCGAGATAATAAAATGTGAATCCCAACCTGTGCCAAGGGGAATATATTTCAAATAATGGAATAAGCGATATGAGAAGATTGAAAGCGTCAGTTTATTGTATTCACTGGAGGAGAAGGAGCAGAGAGAGAGAGCGAAGTGAGAATTGACTCGAGACAGTCTCCCGTACTCAATTGTATCGAGAAAGGAGAAGAGAGAATAAGCGATGGGAATGATGATAGGCAAGTGATGTGGTGATGTTATTGTAAAAGTCAGTAGTAACTAAAAAGCTCAACCAACCAACATTCTTCCACACTTTCACTCTACTCGTCTTGGCGTCTGCTGCTCGGAAACAGGAACCGTTCCATTTCATCATCATCATCATAATACAAACTTGATTCTTCCAAATAGAAGACTTCTCCATTCACTTCTGTCGCTTCCCATTTGCTTGTTAGGGGAGAAAAGAAGCAAATTGCCCAGCCGAGAAGAGAATATCAAATGGAATGCACACCACCAACCACTACGGACGGACGGTGTCTTCTCCAGCAGCAGCAAGTCTCAAATCTTGAGACTCTAGAGACTGGAGAGACGATTTTTTCAAAATAATGTTCATTGCTGGAAGACGACACCATCGCAGGCAAAGAGAGGAGCTGAGGACTGAGGAGAGAGAAAGAGGAAGGAATGAGATGGAATTTTTTGGCATTCTTTCTGCTTCCAAGTAACTCGCATTAGTCGTCTTTCCCGTGAGTTTGCTCGAGTGGGAACAACTAACAGTTATTTTGTATATCTGATTCTTCTTCTCTGGCCACTTATTCCTAATGTATTATATTATTGGGATGTCTCAAAGGATTTGGGTGTCTGACGGCGTTTCTTTTTCCTTGATCAAGCCGGAGAGATGAATGCGATGGGGAAAGGAAGAAAGTTGCGTTGCCCTCAAGTCACCACATCAGCATCAGCATAACAGTCCCTCCTCCTCCTCCCAAGCTCGCACGCTTACTTGGCTGCCTCCACCTGACAAGATTTGCCAAATTTTTGTAGGCATTTGAATTTTAAAATCTATCCCTGGCATCACTCTCCTCAAGGGAACTGTAAATCCATTGAGGAAAGTGGATCACATTATGCAAATTGTGAGAAAGTATGGAAGGAAGGAGGGCCAAAATATTTACATTTCTCTCGAAGCAGACGTCGATTG